GGCAAATAATAAATAATTGTGTTGTCTATCCCTTTATTTGGCTGTAGAAATGTACTACATTCCATGGGAAAGGAATTATTTATAATACACTAATGAGTGCGGTGTCCGTTTCATCACCAAGATAAAGTAACAATTTGTCTATCATCAGTTGGCTTTCCGAACCGGTGGTTCCAGTGACAATTGTTTTAAGAAGTCAAACCCTGATCTGCTTTTGATGTCACTGAATCAGTCACTGAGAAGTCGGAAAAACAATGATTACCCACCCCACACAATGTATGTAACTATTGTAGCTAACGATGGGTTTTTTAAAGGTTAGGGATTTCATGAGGATATGCCCATGTGCTCAATAAACCAAATAATACATGTGAATGGTACGTACCGACATTTTGTAGTTTTGTACAATGTTAGGTTTCTATTATTTGGTGGTACCCCAATGAACCAGTGTTTGCCAACGGCTGAACCCTCTAAAGCCGTGAGAATTTTGTCTTGGAGTGTTTTAATATAGTTAGGTATGTGTTTTAAGAAAATACAGAGGTCATGTGCAATTTATGTTCACGAGTATGTGTGGGTTCCATATCCTTACAGGAGAGTCGTATGAAAGGGTAGGGTGAATTGAAGCCCTCGTGGAAACTGAACATTTCAGCCACAAACTGAAAGGCAGGGAACAGGAGTTTGAGGTCAGATTGGTCCCCATTTCTGCAGAGCCCAATGTAAGGTGTGTATGCTGAGGTCAGCGGGGCGTGGAGAGGTGCAAGCAGACCCTGACTTCCGCCAGGGATGGGCGGGAGTCGATCACCGCTCTGGGACTGATAGGTTGATAAGTTCACCAATGCGTGTGTTAGGTATTCCTTTTTAAGTGCTCCTTTTTCCACACCTCCCCATTCTTTCCCCTGCTCCTTCCTTATATTATTTTTCCCTCCGTCCCCTTTTCCCATATAAAAATACACACCCCACTTGTGGTCCCCACTTGGTGGGGCAGAGAGGCCAATCTTCCCCCTTCTCTAAATTGAGGTGCACTGCGTTTGGGATTTGGGACTTTTGTCCACAGAGTTTCTGCACCCCCTCCCGACGGCGTTTGTGCTCTACCGGGCTCCTATTGAAATTAGTAAAAAACGTAACAAATGGGTGAATGGAAAATACGTTTCGTGTAAAATATTCAATTGAACGATGCTGTTCTTTGCCTTTTTGTATTTTGCCAAACGCTTTTAACAGTGAGATGCATTGGCAAGATTGAAGCCCCAGAATTTCAAAACGAGTTGTATGTGTACCCTGTGTGCTGCTTCTGAAATTGTGACCACCTGCTTTTGTTTCTTCTGTGCGTTTTCCCAGATGAGATTGCTGCTGTTAAAATGCTGCTCGGTTACTGGGTCATCGACATCAGGCCACTCAAGAATCATAGTAAACTAATCATGCGCAGCTCATGATTTGACCCAACATGTCTAGAATTTTGCATTGTCTTTGGGCTGTATGCCTTTTGGCGTCCCCTGGTCGAACACCGTTTGAGACGAGGCTCAAAAGAAAGCTGCCTCTGGTGTGGACCAATCAGTTTCAAGGACAATGCATATATTAGTGTTTATTTGTTTGCATTCTGACAAGCATTGTGGTTAATGCAGACATGACTCCTTGTTAAAGGTTTCAGTTTGGTGCTTTAACATCTTAACACCTGTTTTGTTGCCAGAAAAAAGAGGAAAACCTATTATGTCTAGAATGTGCACGTAGAATGGCTTCAGATGTAAATTAGGACCGGAATGTGCGATGTGTTTGAAGTTTTTACTTGCTCTGGTTTTAATAAAAACACATGAATTTGGATGTGCCGCATCAACTATTTTTGTAATGAGCTAATTAAAAATGAGTGTCAGTCGTTCCTGCACCTTAATATTCTTTCAGCACACTTGAAGGTCATACGCAATTTCTAGCTTTCCATGCCTTTTGTAGATGGCAGTGTAGACCAGCGTGATGTGATTTAATGCATGACCCCTGCATGTACAGTTATAAACTTTGGCAGTTTATAGGTTAACCAATAATATTTAAATTGCCGATAAATTTTGTCAACTTCAATTTTCAGATAAATGTTTTTGGGGCTTTTAAGACCTTGTATGTAAACAAATGTTTCCACCCTGTAACTATGTGTTCATGACACTGTCAAATTGCTAGAAAATGCAGCAATCCCAAGGTCGCATCAAATGAAAACTGGGTGGGTAGAGCAAATGGCGTATACAAAGACCCAAAAGAGATTATAGAAAATCATTGCCCGTGTAATTGAGAGAACCTTCATCAGAAATGGCACCTGACCCGTTTTAAGTGTCAGTCCGCCCAATAAGCTGTAAAGTGACTGGGTCGGGTTCAGTAACGATTCGCAAGCTCGACAAAGCTGTGTCCTTGAGACCACAAATAATGCAGAGCAGAAATAGGCGTGAAATGTTCATGCATTGTTTTCGATCTCTCAGAGCACAGCAGCATCGCGACGATTTCTATGATAGGTGTGGTGGCACATTTTGTAACTCACAACCTTGGATGTGGGGGGGTTGGTGTATATCACGCAGAGATTGTGTTTTGATTACTACTGGCCAGGCGGTAAGGTGACCAGGAGATGGCAGTGCAAAGTTTATTTTGTGTTCCCACCACATTTTGGTACTCCGCTTGGCTTACATTCATATATACAATCTTGATTTGAAGCTTTCGTGACTGTTAGAGCTTTTAACGGACTATAAGACGAGGCTCACATGATCGAGTCTCACCTTTCTCTGTGATTGTCCCACCTGATGACGGATGCTTGTGTTGCACCCGAATCGTCGTGATTTGTTATTTCTAGCTACGTGACTTTACCGAAAGAACCAAATTGATATACAGTTTATATATAAAAGGGAAACTTGTGAATGTGTCTGATCGAAATGTTTAGCATACGTTCCAATATGCTACAAACTTAAATTTGGCATGTGGGTAGCTTCTAGACTGTACACAATGCAAAAAGTATAAAAATAGACTTTTGTATTTTGGGGGGGGCGGGGCGCAATAATTAATGTAATATTTTGCATGGCAAGCGAGAGGTAACGTCACATCTGTGATGTCACCCGCATGCGGCAGCGTTATGCAGTATGCCTGCTGACGTTACGCATTCCCCCCCAACCCTCCACGTAGGCCGTGTATCCCGCACAAATGCGCGGCACAGCTGTCTCGATTTTCTAAGTCAACGCAACTAATTTCAGCTCGCTCTTAAATATAAAGCAGAAAATACATCTGTGTGAAGCAGCAACAACTATTGAACGCCAAGCTCTGACGTCATGTAATTTGCACAGCTAGTGCTGTCTAGCATTTGTAAGGGAACGCGACAATTTTCAGCTCGCCACGTCACCCCCTTCCCGAGTTGCCTAAATCGACCTTGCGTAGAAGTGGGTTAAGGTTGAATTTCCTTCAGTGAAAAACATCCGATTTAGTTAAATAGATTTGTTTCGGATTTTTTCTTTCTTGCAAGCATCCATTTTTTTCAGGGTTTTTCAGTGAAATAAGGAATTATGAAATTATTCCAAGACAAGAATTCAAGTCCCAGGCGAAGCTGATTAGTAAAGCTAGTATACAGTATAAAAAAAGATGTAGCAAACATTTTGACATAGAACCCACCAGAAAAAGTTAATGTACATCTTTCTTGTATAGAGGACAAATTGTTACTGGCTGCTTAACATAGGCCTCTGAGCCTGTGCTCAGCTGCCTTGATAACAAAAAAATTAAACACTTTGAACCTGTATTCATCAACGGAGTTGTTAATTAAGCATTATGCAGTGGCGATGGCACCCAAGTGTTTTCACAGCTTTCACGAGAAAGCAATTCCACGAGAAAGCAATTCCACAGGCACTGCAAGGCCACGACACTGCAGTGACTGTCAGGGGAAGTGTGGCCACATGGGGCTCTGTAAAATCTTCTGAAACCTTGCCAGGGATCCCGCTTGCCACCAGGTAGAGGCGGCGTCAAACCCAGTGCAGAGTGATGGTGGTGAAACTTTTCCCATTTCCTTTGGCAGCTGTGCTACAGATTGCTCAAGCAATTGGGGAATTGAAACTTCTACCATGACTGCAACCGCGGGCCTCAATTCTGCATTGGTAAAGCTGCATGGGATCAAGTTGCAAAGGATTTGCACAGCAAATTGGAGCACATTGAAAAAGCATTAGAATGGCACTTATTTAATCCATATAATTTGGGTTATATTGTCAGCTACATATTTCACAGCTCTATACCTACAACCTATTGTATTAAAGGCTCATAAATGCAGAATGTTCAGAGCCAAACGGGAGTTTTATACATCAGAAAATGCGAGATCCGATAATTGCAATAACCCTTTCATCGGTTAAATAGCTGCAGTGCAGAGTTGTTGTTTTTTATAACAGAATTCGTTTTTGCATGCTTTACACCCATCATCTCCCTTGCAATATGGACATTTGCAGTGGACTCTTAACAGTAAACACTGGGGTGTAGTGGTGCACACGATCCAGGAGCTATGGAGGATTGGTGATCATGCAGTTTTGCGAATCTCCCCAACCTGCTGCTAGGTGGCACAGAAATCACAATACAGCAATATGATTTAAATGCACGAATCTTCATTATCATATGCATAGATTTTCTGAGTTCAGTACTCGGTTACCTTCTGCATGCCAAACACTGGTGAAAGGAATTTGTCAAATATTGAAATGTTGCAGGACCCTCAAGTGTTTTTGGACGTTCTTGTTTAAAGGGCATCTGCAAACCAAGTTAGTGATTTTATTGCTCAAAATGAGCATCGAGGCAATAGTCATCCCCCGTTTACAACCCAAAGCCAGTGGTGAAAACTCCATAGGATAACCACTGTTGACCAACGTTAGATGGGGAAAATCAACCCCCACCTCAGGATTCGAACTTGCAACCTCATGGCAAGCTACTCATTCTTACAGCAGAGCCACCTGGCAGGTTAAATTGCAATTGACAGATGGAAATGGAATTCAACTTTACAAAAACGGGACTGGCATGCAAACCAAATTGCACTAAAAACATTTTATTACAACGTAACTTCAAACTTTACAAACGGGTATTCACAAGCAAAAATCGTGCCGAAGTGATGTGCAGCGCTGCGGTGAGAAAGAGGCAGGAACTGACATGGGGTAGCCAGGTCAAGAGTTGATGAACATGGCAAGGCACAGCCATGGGGGTCTGCAGTGGCCGCCAGGATTTAATCGTAGGGCTGTTCCAGCCAAAAGCATATTTCGGCACTTGTGCCAAGCTATGAATATACACTTCTACTGAATTGTAAAATCGAGATGTTAGGCATCACTTTGGAGATGGCGGGTGGCTGGGATTGCAATGCAATTACAAAACTTGAAATGTGGAACCCCTATTCAGAACGCGGCACATGCTCGCGCATATACATAAGTGATATCAAATCAGTGGGTGAAGAGGGCAAACATAGGCACACAATCGCGTCACTCAGTGGGGGATGGCTGGAGCTTCATTGCGAAAATGCTTGAACAAAAATGTTTTTGGTTTGCAATGGCTTCTGAGACCCCAAACCTGAACAAGCAATTCCCCGATGAACAGAGGTTCACAGTACAATGTCGAGCCACGCCGTTTGTTGACAAAGTATACAAGTCACACTGCACACCACAATCGCCAAGCTAATTTTGTTTGTTGATGACAGTTAAAGCAGCAGAGGGCCAACCTAAGAGATATGCATTGGCATTATTGCTGAACCCTTAATGTTTTTTTTGCAGATTAAAAATATAGTTGACATTTTATTCAGCTTCAGAACTCTCTTTTTTACAATTTCTTAGTGTTATGTATTTCGACTTCATTTTTTTAAGTGTTACAGCAACAACGAACACTTTGTAAAACACACGTGCAATATGGAAGCAGATTATGACATTGATTTTTTTTTTTGGGGGGGGTTATCGCATGTTATCTCTTGAGATTTTAACAAAAACTTGAGGACCTAACAAACAAATGAGAAAGTCACCGTCGTATTAAGGCAGTTCAAGGTTTCATAGTAAGGAATTGTTCAACCTGGCAGGAGCACATTGTATGGAGGGTATATATATATTTTCTACTGCATATAAATGTTATTAATGCCACACTTCTAGTGCTGCAATTGGGAATTAACCCTCCTTAGAAATTCAGTCTGTACATTGAGGATGCTGCGGATCATAGAGTTGCAAACATACATCCAGTTGTTGATGGCATACAAAAACTGAGTGAAGATTTCCCCTTGTTTACTCGGATTTAGACAAATTAACCGTTATATGCCACCAATTACAGATCCCCACTGGCTAGCTTAGAAACTGGAATCCATCTAACATTTTGGTACAATATGCTACAATTTATTTTTTAAACGCAACTCTTACAAACACCACATCGATAGCTGTACACATTTATATTTGGCTTCACTTTCAGTTTTAGAGTTTCACCTTTGAAGAGATTTAGCTGCACGGGTGCGAGCGTTCCAAACTTTTAGACAAATTCGCTGAAGTCGTCCATGGTTGAGATGAGTCTCATGCGCTGGGCTGCGTCGGCAGCGATGTTCACGACCGTCTGCGATGTCCTCATTTGGCGGCTCTGGATCTCCTCTAGCACCTGCCAAGTGCAGCATGAGCAGACGGATAAATCTCACAAAAGCCGCCACCTCCCCGACTTGAATGCACCACTCAGATGGAAAACTCGGCCCTACTTGCAAGCGATTTTGAAGGCCAAGAAACACTTGGGCAATCTCAGCAGTAATTGTGACTGGCACCTCATTTCTTACTTTGAGCAACTATGGCAACTTTGTAAAGTAGTAGCAAAAATCTACGAACTCGCTTTCTGCAGTTTTGGCTATCCACGAATCGCATCTGGAACTCTACATGATTGCATCGAGAGAAAGTTAAGAGATAAAGTGATAAGGGAATGTGATGCGAAAAATGCGAGAGAATGTGATGCGAGAGATGGAACTTCTCAGATGGTAATTAATTGAAAATATACCTTTTCGTAGGCCAATAACCATTATCCGCTAAATTTTCTATTCACGAGCATCTCCGGAACGTTGTCCCTCGCGAATAACGAGGGAATACCGTTGCGATTCCTACGATGGGAAGAAGCAATTTGGGCTGTGCCAAATGCACATTGCTCACTGTCGCCAGTGTGTCTCACATACGCTTAACGGGTGCAGTGTGCTTGGGTGACGAGGTCCCACCTTAGCCCTGCCATGTGGTTTAGCATTCAAGCCATCACCTCAATACATGAATATTCAGGTGTGATGATGGGTGTGCATGGGTTGGCTACGTACAGTGCGAATGAAGTTTAACACTCAAAAAGTACAACGCTGATGAGTGTGCACAAAAGTGTGAAGAAGAGGTGCATAGTTGCAAAAAGGAACACATGGAACAAGGAAGTTAATAAAAAAATTTGCCAATGACAGCAAGGGCAGGACACTGCTAGATGTGCTGATGGCTGGTCGACGACACTGGTGACAATGGCAGCCACGTACAGGAGTGAAACATGAAAACATCGCTGGATTAATGGGTGGCAAAGGCATGGGGAGGCCTTCATCCAGCAGGCCCGATGATGGATGATAATGATGAGCGATGCAGCGAGCATAACGATCCCGCCACATACCCGCTCCCGGATCCGTTTCATCTGCCTCAGCCGTGCCAGCCACTTGGAAGCGTAGGTTTCACGGGGGTTCGCCTTGTACTGATGAGCAAGTGATGCCATCTAACAAACGAAAGCACAGCGAGGCAAAGTGTTTGTGCAGTAGCAGCAGACAAGCCATGCACAGTGGTGTGCACAATCTCTTACGAGGGCAGTAGATATCACGATAACTGGCACAGTGTCCCCTGTCCGCCGATGAGAGCGCAGTGCCAAAATACACAACTTAAATCATCCAGAACACTAAGTGCCGCTGCTCATTTAATGGATGTTAGCGAAGAAAGAAATTAACCTAATACACTACTCCACACAAGCATACGTTTTAAAAAAAAAATTTTAGCCAGCACTGAAGTTTTGGGTAATGAAATTATACAGACGAATGGCATTTACGCAATGGTGTGTTTTTCCAGTAAAAGTGAAAAGGTAAAGAAACGTTGCCAAAACCATTAGCGGGAGATTTAATTACGTGTGCACTTACATTGGCATGCAAAGCCATCTGCCGAGCCAAGAGGGGAAGGTTCTTGTCCGAGACTATCTTTGCCACGGTCGTATCAATCAGCCCTTCAAGATCTGTAGAGGAGAAAGAGAGGCGCTGAAACAATTGCAAGGTTACATTTAAATCCCCCTGTGTGTCTGTGGCGACAGTGTTTTACATGTCCCCGATAAAAAAAAAAGTTTGAAAATCCTCATGACAAATGCAAGGTTATTTGGTGGGCAGGAGAGAGGGCGCGGTGCAGAAAAAAAAATCCATCGTCAGAACAGTACTTGACGAATACAAACACGCACGAGATACCTTTCCTGGCCTGTATAGTCACCAGGCTGCATTCGTAGTCCAGGGGTTTGATCACGACCTCCACAAAATTAAACTGGCCCTGTAAACAAAAACCAAAAAACTATTACAATACACCAGACTCCTTTTCACATTGATCTTTGCCAATCTGTAAATAACGCTGCCTTAGTTATTAGGTAATGAAAATTAGGGACAAATGCAGATTTACAATTTTTCATCGTCACTACAGCTTTGGGGGGATGTTAACCGGATGCGAGACGTACGACGATTCGGATTGCAAAGGACACACGACAAACCAAGAGTCCCAAATAACCGCTGTATTTATTCTTAATTTGTTTATTAGCATGGTACGTAAATGTCGGCACAGGTGTTAATCCTGTCCACATGTCCGCAAAAACATTGGAAATAAGATGCAAGCCGATTACGTAAGTTTTGGTTGGTGGCATGGCCCAGCGGTAAAGCAGTTGCCACCTGTTTGCAGAGATTTGGAAATTCAAATCAGCAGCACACCCTGGTTAACACTGAGGGAGTATTAAGCATAAAATACGAACCGTCTGCTTTGCGGTGGATGTTAAAGATCCCATTAAGTTATTTGGAAAATTAGTCGGTGTGTGCTGGTATCATGCTCCAAATTTAATCAATTGCCCCCTACTGGCAGAATTATGCAGACTCGCGGGCCAGTGCTACATTCATTTTGTGCTGCACAGGGGCAGCTGCCATCACGGCTTGACCACCGCAGGGTGACTCGAGATGTACTACATGGGAGGTGGAGGATATCAAGTGATAAAAATGATAGATAAAACATCATACGACTCCCAAATCCACTGGACTGAGAAGTAGCCAGAAGATGGCAGTACAGCAGAAAGGTTCCTGAACCATAATTTGCACAACTTAAGAATGCCATCCTCTTGTATGTGTGGTGGTTCTGTTGTTCCCAGTCTCCTCCCAAATGTAAACTAATTAAAAAAGGAACAGTTCCCACACGCAAACTCCGGTCGTCTTCGCAGCGGATTTTGGCTAACTATCGAACAATGATGGTCACCGCATTGAGCGCCTTCAAATGTGCTTCTGCGGCCGTCTGGAACTCTTCCTTTCGATATTAGGAAGCCACTGGAGCTACGCACTTTTAATTCTAGATTGAAAACTAATTTATTTAGAACCGAATTGTGTTCATTGTCCTTTCCCCCACACCTCCGATTACCACAGTTGTCTACGTACGGTGCAAAACCAAATAAAACTTTTTTGCAAAAAAAATTCAACTCTGCTCTGCCACAAAATCAGGCGGCGGATGTATGGTGGGGATGTCTGAATTATCCGGTGACCGTGTGCGTTTCTGCACCCTGATGATCCCCATGCGGTAGTCCTCCTGCGAGTCGTTGTACACTATCATGACGAAGTCGTTTCCAACGTGTCGCTTCTTGTTGCAGCACACAGGATCCCTCTCCATGTTGGGCATCAGCGTGGCGACGTGGAATATGGCTGCAGCGGCATCGGGGGGGGGGGGGGGGGGGGGGTGGAGGGGGGGGGGGCGGGAAGACGTTTCATGCTGAACGAGAACTTGTCAAGTCTCATTTCGGAAGCAGCGAACAGGAACACGAAAAATAACGTGTACGCCATTAACGGCTGGAACCATTTTTGAACGGATATCCTCACAATGTTGCATGTCAAAACTAAGATGTCCCCTCTATAGCCTACATAGGCTGTTAGGGCAAGTGCTGTTAGCGAGCACCGGGGGGAGGTGGTGTGGCCAGAATAATGCTCTGCCGCCTTCGTCTCCCCATTGCTGATGTTTACACGCCACACCAGGTGTTCATTTACTGCAGAATCGGTATTAAGGGATGCACACGACTGGTTCAGATATGGCTGGCAGTTGAACGCAGGTCACATGGGCTCATAGGGTAGAGTCAACAGCCAGGATTTAATATCCGACTGCAAGGGAGGGCGATTTGTAAAACCGCACTCATCGAGTACCACGGCCGCATGATGCAAGCAGACCCACTCTGCATGACGTCGTCGTGCCAGCAGTAAGCAAAGTCCCCGTCCTCCCCCTTCGTGTCCAGGCCGCCCAGGTAGATTTGGTCCGCGTCGCAGTCCCGCAAGCTGATGAGGCGGCCCAGGCCCTGCACGAAGCTGACGTAGCGTGGGGAGCCGTGTTCGTTCATCAGCATGGCCGTCTGGTTCTTCACCTGTCCGCCAAACACCACACAAAGCATTATGGGGGATGGGGGGCATTTTCAATACCTTTCCTGAATGGCTATGGCCCCTGGGAGGACTCCCTGGGGACTATTTGGTGCTTCCCCGGCTGCCCCTGGGGTTCGTTCTTGTTGGAGCAGGGCCTTCTGTTGCTTGGTCCCAGGTTGTGCCAGGGTGCTTGCACTTTTCTCCTCTCTAAACCAACCCAGCCCTTCGGCAATAATGTAAGGTTGCTTATTTCTTTTATTTAATAAAGCTTTTTGAGATATGATTGAAATTAGATGCTATACAAAATCTAAATACTGTTGTTGTTTTTCATGCCTGCATGACTAGTCTTCCCGAATAAGTCAACGAGCAGGTTTGCTTGGCTACCCTTAGCTATTACATCATTTGCACATGTTCTCATTCAACGCTCTTCCTCCCACATGCAACACCCATTAAAAAACCTGGATGAAGGCCTCAAAATCCATCAACATCTCTCATGGTCCTGAGACGCAACAATCCACCCTAGCATAATGCACGAGCAGATTTTATCACTCCATCTCTGCGGGAGATGTCCTCTCGGGTATGTTTTCTCCCACAAAAAAGTTTACCAGCTATCTCAATTTCCTCCGAGGGTTGCACACTTCTACCCATCATTCTTACTGTTAAGAAAAAAAAAATCTTCAAACTTAAAACGGGCAAGTTACCCCTAGAATTTTAATAACATCTAGATTCACACTTATATGATTTGTACAACCAACTTGCAAATGTAATAGCAGCAGTGATTTTCAATGACCGCATTCTTCTGTGCGAGATAGTAAACCTCACCTGCCCCTCGCCTACGTAAATCACGCCAATCTTGTGCGTGTCGTACGGTGGGATTCTGTCCATCATCTTGATTGATCGCTCGACCGCCTAAGCCAGGCAGACAACATACGCGCAAGCTGAGTGCATAGCGCAGCCGTGTGCAGCGTGCACACCAGGACTGCAGAGTTCAGTTCAGGCCACATAACGGTGCAAAACAAGTTTATTGCGTTTTATTTATCGACTCATAAACATCATCATCTGGCCAGGCAGTGCTGCTGGTCAAGAGCTAGACAAGCAATTGACCGATTGAAAGTTCATATCTGGGTCAGCGGTAAACCGAGCCCACCTCCCACCCCAGCATCAATAAAATGAGTACCACTCTGCATAAGTCAGAAGTGATTATTTTGTGGAGAGATCGGCTCCTGGTTCGAGGAACGTAAAATGTCCACCCCACTCACCAAGGGGCTGCAGACGCTGACGAGTACTACTGGAAAGCTTGCCCAAATAGGCTTTGTAATGTTTCAGAGCTGCCCGTGAATGAAGTACATTCTTTGAATAATCTGCACGAGTACATGAAAGCCAGTGTAGTACGTCAATATAAGTGGGCGCTCGGTCAAAAGACGTTTTTTTGTGCCACTGAACAATGACAACGCAATTCTGACCTGAGTCTTGGGACAAAGGATGGGGCGACTGGCCTCGGTTCCAAAGAGAGGCGAGTAGTAGAACTGCAAAAACACGAAGCTGAAAAACAAAACACAGACACAAGCTCTGTACTCCACACTCCTCACCCTTGACGTTGAGCAGTCCAACAAGGAACTGACACAATCAGTGTTGCTTCCGTGATTTCGCAGGTCAGCGATAAGCCGCTTAAAATTGTTTAATTAAAATAATTTACACCAATTCACGTGTTGTTTCCCGCAATGGAACAACCAAGTTCATCTGATCCCAGATTAGATAAACCACACACACACCATTTTTTGTACGAATTTCCACCCTTTTTTCCTCAAATATGATTCCTTCCCGACTCATCATTTTTACACGCGCTCCCTCGTCTGTATGGTCGTCACGCTCCGCGAGCCTCGTAAATCCGCACAAGATGCACAAATCAGAAATATCCCACTGTTCCAAGCGCGATTCGATGTGCATTTCGCGAGCACAAGAGTCGCGTTCAAACCGATAAACAGACGACTCGTTACCGCCCAACAGTTCACCAACAAGGATCACAGTGCTGTTGCTATTTCCGAGGCTCAGCCACTGGGAATTCCCGCCGCAAATTCGCACGAGGCTTTTTTTTTACTGGACACCGAACTTGGCCAATGAGTTTCCCCCTCAGCCATTCTGGGGTCCCGTTCCATGCTTTTTAACGGACAATTTGAGTGTATCGATTGCGCAAGTGTGGACCCATGTTTAGTCTTAAACTGCCTCACCCCTGAAGGCAGGGTGCGTAGGACCGTTTAACGCAGCGATTCCTCGTCGTTGTTGGCTCAAAACTGATGCCAGCGACACAATTATTTGCTTAAATTGTTGGACTTTGATTTAATTTGTTTTGCTTGTGTCACTTCGATGACCCAGGTCACTTTTCACAAAATAAGATTATTCTGCTCTTGGAGTTCCCACCTGGTTCAAATAATATAAACTTGGAAATTAAAAAAGATTCGGAGACAATAAAACCTAACGTTGGGCCAGCCCAGCTGATTTTAGAATTATCAATACATTCCTGGTGTACTCCATAATACTCCACAACAGTGCATAATGAGATTTTACACATGCCAGTACACAGTACACTGCTAGGAAGTGGTGTAAATGTGCTGTACTGGCCAGGTTTATTGGTACAGTACAGCAAGTAGGTTGTTGGCTTAACCATGTGGTGCTTGTTGCTCACATGACATTATTTTGTCACATCATGAGATTCCTCCCACGTGTAAAAATCTAACCATGGAGAAAGTAGCAGGGTTTGTCAACCAAGACCCTGCTAAAAAGGAGTAGAAACTCGATTCAGGTATTCCTGAGTATCTAAAATAACCATTATTATTAGTGTAAGGTTACATTGAAAGCAAACTAAAAATGTACCATTAGGTGTAAGGATTCACCCCCACCCCTAGAAAATTTAATAAAGTGTTGCATTGCAGGGTGGAGATTAAATTGGAGGATTATTTTTTTGTAAAAATGTGGCGAATGTAGCAGCCACTAATGATGGCAGAAGTGACGTGAATTTATAGACATGCGATATACACAAATTGAAAAAAAGAGGGTTCTTAAAACATTCAATTTAAAAACAATTTTCAGGAGCTCAAGTATCAATATTAAGGAGTTGATGCATCATTACAGCTCCTGCATTTACTTTGAAATAACCCCGCAGCCGAGTGCTCAAGCCTCTGGACAACCGTGGTTAGAGTCAATTTAGATTCTAGGTCGGATCGCGATTACAATGATTTCACGAACTCGGGCGGCCGTGTTTCACATTAAACAGATTACCCTTCCACAAAAGGCACTGAAAGGCGCCGCAATGCAGCGTTGTGTGTAAAGCAGGGCGATAACACAGCACGGGGCAGAGATAGTAATTCCCGGGCCCTGGAGATTCAATTACATTTCACGCCTCTACAAAAGGCTTTGGCAGCGATAGTTCGTTAACTTGGGAGACGCAATACAATGGGGCAGCGGCCTCGATCTTCAGTGCATTCCTCGTGGCTTCACACTGCAGCTAATTCCTTTCGAATGAATGGAACATCATGACCTTGACAAGAGCAGTAATAACCTTGCAATATCGCGCGAAGAATTAGACAAATGACATCTTCCTTTCCCTGGGAAGGCTGCCCAGGAGCCAAGGCCTTTTCAGGATGGATGATTGGCCAATTCCTTAGTATATTTTGTAATAAGAGAACATCTAAATGATAATTTTATATCACATCATTCATGCACACTGCATCTCATAATCGATGATGAACCACAGAAAAGCTGGAAGGTTGCCAGGCGGTGAGCTAGTGTAAAAATGCTCTGCAATTTAGTATACAGTAAATGTGTTTTCAGACATTAATTTGGCGTTTATACGCGTGGGGGAAACCAGAGCACCCGAAGAAAAGCCACACATGCCAGGGGGCAACAATATAACCTATACAAAAGGACCAGACGATATCAGTCCACACTTTGCTGTATGGCATTCCGCTAGAAAGCCAGGGTATTGCACCTCAATGCTCAAGGGAAGGGAGTCTCTCAACATTGTCAATTGTGCAATCCACCAACCCTCGCCTGCAGTGTTGGATTACAGGCTACGTGCACAACCACCACCGCACTGTGGTGTATGGGAAGATATCGCAGTGTCTCCTGAAAATACAAAATATGGGAGGTGGCGGAAAACCACAATATCTCAAAGGATTGGTCAACAACCTATTTGCTGTAGAGTCATCCCCTGGCCAAGTTGTGACCCAAGTAGATTTGATAATCTCACGCATGATCGATGCTAAGGGCTGGGCGATTTGCATGCTTTATAGCCTAGAATCGTATTTGCACCCTCCTGCTGTTCAGGCAAGAGGAGGGCACCCATGGAGCTTGTCTGGCCAAGTGAAATCACCATTGAAGTGAATGGACAATGTCGATGCAATACGTTTCCAATGGCGATTCTGGGTTGATATCGCCAAGCTTGTATCACCACGATACCGGCCGGCTACTTATCACAGCTCGCACAACGAGGACTCCCGCCTGCCGGCGCTGGGCACCGCACCCCTACGCGCTGCGCCATCCCCCCACCTGGGGCTGATGCCAGCGGTCATCTTCTCCGCGGCGCTCTTGTTGACCTTGAACTCTGCCCTCTTGCGGCGCCAGTACGACGCGCTCTCCGAGATCGTGTGGCCACGCGGGCGGTGCTGGCAGGAGGTTGAGGGCGACGTCGCCAATGCCGGCTCTGTGTCCGCAGCTGCCGCCGCCACTCCTCCTGCCGCCGCCGCCACTGCCGCCGTTGCCGTCGCAGGTGCAGGCGGGCTCAGAGTCGCGCCACGATTGGCCTCATCTCGGCTGCCCCGAGCCCCTGCTGTGTCGGCCACTGGGCTCGAAGACTCGAATAAGGGAGCAGATGAGAGTTCGACGGCACAAACCTGCAGCTCCCACTCGCGGTCGTGGAGTGTGGAGAGCTCAGGTGAGGAGCTTGACTTATTCAGAACCTGCAGGGCAGGAGTGGTGGACACAGCGATGGGACGATTAAATCGATTAAGCAACTAGAAGTTGTACAAATCTAATACAAATTTCCCGATCAAGAGAGTGACCTTCAAACACAGCGAACGATCCTGACAGGCCCAAAAAAATGTGTGTGACACTGCGGTGACAGTGGTGGACAAGCACAAATAACAAAAACTCACATTTGTCAATAACACTGCGAAAGAAGACAATTATATATCCAATAGACAACTTTTCAGGCCTTGGCCCTTCTCCGTTATAAAGAAGGCCGTTGCCTGAAACGTCTCCTACCATATAAAAGGGTTTCCCCTTTTAGGGCATCATTGACTCACCTGCAGGTGCTGCAGCTGTTCCTCCTCGCTGTCGTGCGACCCCCCTGGGGCTGCGCTCGAGCGGTCGATGGGAACGCCCGCGGTCGTGGGCAAGCTCTCCTCCCCCTGGCTCGACGATGATGATGACTAAAGCAGGGTTGGGGGTGGGGTGGGGTGGGGTGTTCACACACACCCAGGAGGCGTCGGGGCAGCTCGACGGAAAGACCGCAGCCGTGCGGTCAAGAGCCAGAGGGTGCCAGTGACAACCCATTGGTGGCATGCTATATGCAAGCCGGGCTGAGTGCTTCTGTCTTGTCAGCATATTCCATCACAGCACCACCACCACCCCCCCCCTCCCATTTATTCAGAGCCACAATTTGATCCAGGAACCGATTATTATTAATCACTACACTTTTTACGGTCTCATTTGTGCTCTGCCAAATTTAGATTCCTCAAAGTTCCCTTTCCATCCACGATACCAGGGTGCGCAAGTTTCCAGATGCCCTGCCACAGACAAAGGTTTGGTCACATAGCCAAACCGATGCATATTTTTTTATGCAGGCACATTCTTATTCTCAGCTAACTTAAAGCAAAAAATGTTAAAAGGGAAAATCCAGTAGTTTTTCCTCTGGTTTGTCTATCAAATTTAATGAATGTGTTCAAAAAATGAAAAGTTTTTCAATAGGGCAAGTCCCTAAGAGTAATACAACTTTATATTACAGGGTCGCTTATTTTGGATTGGCTTTACGAGATGCATCGTGCCCAACTATTATGGGCGTACAGCACCAATGTAAAAACGTACTCAGCCTTAGATGGAAAGCGATAAGAGAAAAAAAAGCTTTCAAAACTTTAGCGGCCACTCCCAAAGGGCTCCAGCCATGTGGGCCACGTTGCCCGCCCCCCCCCCCCAACTCACCCTGCTCACGAGCATCCTTTGTCGTCCTTCATTGCCGTCACCGTGGATTGAGAGGGAGGGCAGGGGCTCGGAGCGCATAAACTTGCTCTCCACCTCCGACGTTGGCATGAAGACGTGGAAGTCGTCAAACCTTTCGATGGCATTAGAGGGCGACGAGGAGGCCTTGCTCCCAGACGCAATTAGTTCCTCCATCACCACAGACTCTGGCCGAGGGGGGGGGGGGGGGGGGGGGGGGGGGGGAGCATTCCATGTAATTCACAGGGTGTCCATGAAGAAGATGTCGTAACTCGCATGATTGGGATCAAGAGAATTTGATTCATGTGAAATAAAATTGGACCGTTTTTTTTAGATGTTCAACTTGTCATTCAACAAAATGTTTCTCTAACGGCCGCTGCTGTCATCGCGAACTGTAATGTACACCATTTTTCCACATTTGTGTGACGATTATAACTGCAAATAGATGGGATTTGCAACACACAGCTTATTTTGACTTCAAAACACATTAAACCACATCGCGAAGCCATTGAGTTGACAGAATATAAAGGAAGCATATTTTCATCCTTTTCGCAAGTAACGCGCTCGGAAGCATGTCCACATTTTTATCTGTCTTGTTGATTGATTTTCCAAATAGATTTTCAAATATACTGCAATTATTCAAATGAGCAAGTAAACAGGGAGAAACAGCCATGATCATCGTTCAAACTCCTTTCTCATATCCCAATCATGCCGTGAATGAAGGTATGGAAAGAGCGAGGCAGTGAAAACATCGCTCAATCGAAACTAATAATCGTGGACATAAAATAACCGTATAGGGAAGCAACGTGAACAATAAAAAAAAAACTTTAAGCATTTGCCAGAATTGTGATTAGTCAAGACCAAGATCCATTGATATAACTCTACACTGACCATTGCTCCTGTCTTTCTCTTGACCTCCCACATTTTGGTATCATCTCACAACCACTAAAAGTCAGCTTTTAATTTCCCCTTGCCACAATTTGTATGTCCTTCACGGACCACTAAGATAAGTCTCATCATAACGAATTTCTGCGTTTACATGTTCCCATTGGTGATAGACCACAAAAAATCTGTCTCCGTAACCTGGTCTCCTTAATCCTCCAATTGTGCCCCCACTTCTTCCAGATTAAGCTCTTCAACGCTTTTCTGCCATGTTCTCTTATGGACTTTATAGCTGCTTCACGATCCTGAAAAGCCAAGAAAAACTATAAAACCAAAGCCATTCATCAATGCAACCTTTGGTGCTTGAAAAGAAACGCACGATGCCAAACGGTTTCCCAGCAGTTGCCTTGTCCCCACGCAGGATTCCCAATAATCTATTCCCCTAAAAGGAGAATAAAATTATTCCAAAGATAAACACAATAGCACGCGTTAATATACACCCAGTTTATCACGACCCAACCATGTTCCAAAGTATATAGGGCAGCTTTGTCATATGGACAAAGCCAGTTCTATTGACGTCATACTGGCCTTTATGATGTGATACAGTTGTGTACCATGCGTGCCAAAAGCCACGAGTGTCTTGGAAAACATCACAGGGTGGTTTTCCTAATGGGGTAGCAGCTATTGAGATGAGCACAATTTATATAAAGCAAAGTGCCTTGAATAATGAGAATCAACCTCCTATTCCAGCATCAATGCAATGGATGCTATCATAAACCAAGTGGAATGAGTCACTTTGCTGTGTGCTGCACCACCGCATCGAATGTTATGTCACAGTTGCATTCAACCCACCCCTGCCATGTTTTGGCACCATGCCGAAACAATTACTGGCAACAAAAAACCTTTTGCGATCCAAACAGGTGAGCAGATACACTTTAAGGGCAATATAACCGAAGCTGATTAATACAATTACAAATTTGAGGACGTCAAAGTCTTTCACAAATGTTAAACTTAACCAGTTGGTGACACTGGGGTATCTTATCAAATAGAATATGAAAGGGCACACATAAAAGCAGACATGCAATAAGGTTTCATGTGAGTGACAACACCTTCCACCCAAGTTCTAACGAATAAAACTAACCATTAATTTGTTTCTCGCAGCATCCTTGCTTCACAAATGCACACAAGTGAATGTAGCCAAACATGGCAACTTCTAATGCAGATTGCGTGGCACATCGAGTTAAATGAAAAACACACGCGCTTACATGTTTAGTTTTCAATTCTCCAATTGCAAACAATTCAGTTATTAGAACAGTTATTTTGAAACATATATTCGAAGGAATAGAGGTTTTTTTGTCACAAAAAAACTTCAAATCATCATCTCATAAGCAAACTACGTGTACTGAAATTCAACACACGGTGGATCATCCAGAACCAGAAAACGCATCAAACGTTTTAACGGACTATAAATTCACACGAGCAGAGCAATTACGCAGGTTATAGAGAAGCCACACATGAAATCGGTGCCCAATCTTTCAAAGCCTGAGACACCCCCAACTGCGTACGGCAGGGGCTTGCCAAACTTGAAAGCGTCAGTACGTCGGGGCCAGTTGGTCTGACCGTGGAGCGGTGGTAATGTGCCACCGAACAGGTAGGGGGATGCACGAGTTTGGAACTTGGGCAAATGAACCATATTTGAGGTTGAAATGCGGAGTATTTAGTTGCCGAAATGAAAGAGAGGGGCCCACCAGCAGCCATGGGCCTCCTGCGGGCCTCCTGTGGATCAAGTTCTCATCACTGACTGCATTGTGCATGCATGGCCCAATGTGTTCTTAAAACACAATGGACCAGTTGTGTTCTTTAAAAAAGACAATTTTCTGAAAATTGCAACCCCACTACAATCATTAACAAAACCTATTTCAGATATACGAATTATAAACTGTGTGAATAAAAAATAGGAAGGCCTTTTTTGTTGACATGTTATTCAAACATTGCTTTCTGTAGCAACTTAAAACCAATTAAAATTCAGGAGAGAATATTTCAGTAAATTCTGGCACCGCATGAAATCGATTAAAGGCTTTTACAGATACAACATTTAGGTTACAATCCAATTAAGCTAAAAACAGTCAAGAGTTTTACAGCTGCACGCCAATTGTTGCTGTGCTCGTAGCAGATTTATTTTCAGTATGATTTTACCCAGGAAGGTTAAAAAATCGAGCTGGATTTTAAAAAATGGCCCTAGCTCAAACTATCCGCATACGTTTTCAATGATGAGACTTGCTTGCTCTCGCTCAAAGTATTGCAAGAAACTGTGCAAAGTGGAGCAGAGTCAAGACGTACCACTCCACATTTAAACGAAGGCACCTCTTCACAAATTACACCATGAAAGAAAAGGTGGAAGTGATCCTTATCTCTGCGCCAAGTGTACTGGCACATGCCTGTCATTTACAGCTTGAAGGTGAGCTTGAGGGTACGGGGTCTCTACAAATCCCAAAAAAGTCCTTCCACTTATTCTAGGAAAGTGTCTGGTTTGGTTCAGTTGAAACAGAGCTGGCACCGCAGAGATCCTGGGTTCGAATCCACGTTTCACCGACACGTGATTCACATAAGTGTAGCGGAGTTGTCAGTTTCATCCATAGGACCAAGGACTGCACAAAGTGTTATAAAAACAGGATTGTTTTCACTTAATTTGGCTTATTCTAGCTCTGATAACTTAATAGTTCAGTTTGATTGATGTGCTAAAGGGCACTGCTGAAGTGGACTGCTAGCTCTGGATGGAAATGTACTCATCTTGTGACATGTCCCATTGGCACAATTGGGATTAAAATCAGGGGGAAATGGAAAGACAAATTTTTATAAATAAATTGGCCAAAACATCTCAGTGCAGGGCCATCCGGAAATAACAGGAGTCACACAATCAGCCATTGCGAGGCATCTCTCACCCACAGGGCAGAGAAATGGTTAAAACACATTTGTCTGCCGCGCAGTACGCCACAATTAAAGTGCAAATTGCATGTTTTGCAGTGTTGCACGCTTCAAAAAAACAATTCACACAAACATTTGTGACTATTAGCAACTTTTATTCTTGAAATGTTTTCTCCTTTCATATTATCGTGTTTCAATTTCCACTTTTAGTTTTTATCTATGTGATCATGTACAAACTTGTAGCATGGTGTCACTTCAATCCCAATTTTCTTATTGGAACATTTTATTTAATGAAAGCCCTGGCTAGAGTTATTTATCAGGTGGTAAACTAATACGTGTAATGCATGCCAAATCAAGTGAAGTCGCTATATATTACATTTCTTTGTGCAGTCATTGGTGACCGGGATGAGAAAGCAACTCACCGGTACTTGAAAACAAATTGTAATTCAGGGTAGCTGAAGCCCAAACAGAAACTAAAATCTCAGTGGTGCCCACTAAATGATGTGACCCTGAAGCTACCCCAGCCCTCTTATTTATCTTACAATATTTAATCTGGAAAATATTTATTAAAAAAACAAAGTTCTTATTTTCAGGTGCCCTGCAATGGTGCCAAAAGAACACAATTGACCCACACATACCAACAATTTTTTTTTTATCTCTAATTATGGCCGAACCCTTCTGAACTTTTGTTTTTCAACTACATTTTTTCACATTTTGGCCAGCAAGTTGAGCAAGCCACTGCCCCCAAATGGTCAATTGCCAAGTCTCAGAGATAGTGTGTGCTCAGGGTAACTCCACAAGGAGGAAAGCTGCCAAAAGGAGGGGGGGGGGGAGGACAGTGTAGGCAGACCCTGAGGACTGGGTTGGGGTTAAATGAACGCCAAGTTTGCTGACAAATCAGCTCAGAAATCCACCCAAGCACTGTTGTACCATCATTGTTCGGCCAAACTCCGTTACGTTTCAGATTTTAGAAACGACGATTGGCACATTTTAACACTAGAATTTCCCAGCGGAAGTTCAGCCCCGAGCAAATCTTAAGAGCTGCTGTTTGAGGTATGGAGTACGTTTAATAAATCTCAACAAAGTGCTCCTCGAAAACAGTGTGGCCTTTTAACTGAAGAACAATTACTGAAGACTGGTTCATTTGAATTAGAATATTGTAAAACTTCAAAATGCTCAAAAACAGAATAGTTTATTTAGTTGACAAAGATGTCAGCCCGATACTTAAGTTAGGACAAGCATTTAAAATATATCTCCAGAATATTGAGATAATTTATATTTTCATTAAGGATTTTATTAAAACTGCATTACACTGTCATATTTTAGTTTCTGCATGATAAATAATTGTGATAAAAGGCTCACATTTCCATTTTAGTATGACGAACATTGTAATCCCACTTTTGCACGGCTTATATAATTACGTGATATTTTAGTATAAGCGACAGCATAGAGTAAAATTTCAATTGAAGTAAAATTTCAATTATTTTGATTGCCATGATATAGATTGTACGAGTCATAATAAAAAAAATGCACAAATAAAAAAAGGGAACGAATTCGTTGTCAAAATCTTTTTGAAAGGAAAAACGCAGAGGAAGGTGTTGCGGAATATAATAAATTGGAGGCCCCTAACCCAGCCGCCTGCAGCAACTTTTGAACAATTTGTTCCAAAATAGAGTTTGCGAAGAACCAGGCCAGTGTTTGGGTGGACTTTCTGCTGTGCCTGTGGATGACAGCGGCAGCAGTGAAAGCTATACCTGCCCACGAAATGCTTCTGCTTAACTTATTCTTGCAACTGGATTGCCAGGGAGAGCAGTCACCTGACACTGTGGAGCAAATCAAACTCGTTACTGCGCCGCACGCAAGGACAGCAGTTCACACACATCAAGCAACGCACGACAAAACACCACCTCTCTCGTGCGACTCTTGCACCCTGTTGGTGGAATTACCGGATGTGGTTAACTCTCGATTATCCGTGGGGAGTGGGTTATTTGGACTGCAGTTTAACCATGCCTGCGAGAAGAAATCTTAATATGCAACACAGGTTTGCGCTCCTCACTCGGGGTCAGTCCTGAAAAATTGTACATTATTCATATTAAACAAACGTAAGAAAAGTCAAAATGTCTCCCTGCTCATAACAGCATGGGCATGGTGGGGTGGGGGGGAGGGGGGGGGTTTGCTAAATTTCCACTGGCAGCCTCAATTCTGTGGTGGAGATTCCAAATTCCTATGGCTGGGATCTGTCTCTCCACCGACACCAATGTTGGAAAATATTGTAATACATTTTTTAACCTAGGGAGTGATGTTGGGCCAAGTTAACTCCCAACAGGGATTGGAAGTCGCAAACTTCCGGGTTGGATTTCACATCTGGCTATGCGGCCAATCATTATTAATCAACTGTATGAAGGAAATATGTGCACTACCATTTTAAAAAGGGTAAATGTACATGACGTTTATTAATTCAATCTAAGGAGGGCCCTCTCCCTGCTGTGGGTTGGTTGACTATACTTCACCACACTGGTGGGTTCAGGTTGGTGAATGCAGGCAAGCACAAACCTTAGAACACAGTACAGTACAACAGATGTTGTTACCACTACCCTGCAAGCAGCAGCCTACAGCACTTGTCTCATGCATGGCAGTCGTCCATGCAAGCACTATCCAGCCTTAAAATCCTGCTTAGTTTAAGCAAATGTGAACTAAGGTACCTAGGGGTTAATTTCAGCCGGGTCTGTCTGGGTCAGCGACCCGTAAAATATTCCCGCAACCACCATACCACGTCCAGTAGACAACAGTCAAGGAGATTTAGTCAATCTTTTTAAACGTATCGCTAAGCACACACACTCGCGTATCCAAACTCACCGTCACGCATGGCTATACCTGTATTAGACCTCTGCAGAGTGTGATGTCGGCTGGCGTCCGGGTCCATCACCTGACTTTTCATGGACGTCTTGCGTGTCCGCCCCTCCGAGTTCTCGCCATCTCTGCGCCCGGGGTCGCTAGGGTCGCGGGGTTCGTCATGCTTGCTCCCCGCTGGGTAGCCAGCAGTCGAGTCTGGGGCGAGCAGCACGGCAGAGAGGTCCTGCAGTGGCAAAGTCTTGATCGCGGATGAGTAAGGGCTCGCCGGGTTCTCAATCTTCATCATCCAGCAAGTATTCCCTGCAGCAGGCGGTCAGGTGTGGAAGAAAAAAATAAATAAATCGCACGTCAAATCACGTTGAACAAGTTTAAAATAAAAACATGCTCTCGGAAGGTGCACATTGCACTGGTTATGTAATGCTCGTCTTCACAAAGTGTTGCATATCAAACGTTTATTTTCCTCTGGATCGGGTCTCCCAAGTTTTGGGCAACACTTTGATCAATTCATGCATTTTAAATCGAGCAAGTCCCTAATGGAAAAAAAACTTTATACAACAGTTTGGTTCGTATTTATGAGTTACAGTAAAACCTTGCATTGCAAGTAACTTGGTCTGCGAGTGTTTTGCAAGACGAGCAAACATTTTAAATAAATATTAATTTGATAAACGCCCGAGGTCTTGCATTACGAGTAATACGTATACGCTTTGTCTGCCGAGCGTCACGTGATCACAACTAATATACGAGTGCTTTGGATTACAAACACGTTTCCGGAATGAATTATCCTCGCAATCCAAGGTTTTATTGTATAGTGTTCATCCTCAGTACGGATGGATGGAGATGATGCATCAACACTTTCAACTTTTGTTGAAAAGCATTTCAAAAAGCTCTCCACGTTCATCAATAACACCACCTTACCAGTGAAATGACCACTGATATGCTGAATGAGCCATAACGTTAATATTGACACTGCCCCAATTAACTTTATTTTCACATTACAGAGATCTCCATTGACATGACGAATTTAACTTTTAATTTGAATATAATTAAGCATGAATGTTTGACTTTCTGTTTACTAAAAGAAAGCTGTTCACAACTCAAAAGTTAATTAATCAACTTAATCCTAGTTTTGTATTTTGAACTTCTTTCACACCATACATAGCCAACTGTGCTAATCGGGAGGTGCGGGGAAAGGACAAACAAACTAAACAGAAAAAGCAGTTTCTTAGGGGTCCCACAGTGTTAACTGTACCACACAACAAGATCTGGCCACATGGCAGTAAGAAGATTGAAGTCCTCGATCCTCGCAGCCCGTGAAGAACGTCATCTCCAGAACCCCCGCTGCCAGTCCACTCACCTGTCGGCCGTCGGATGAGAATCTCGGCCCATCCCTGCGTGATCATGGAGGCGCAATCGGACAGCCGAGGGGGCTCTTTCTCCTTGGGCTTTTTCGCTTGTGATGCTGCCGCTTCCTTGGCCGGGGTGGCGGCTTTCACTGGAGCGGCGGCGGCGGTGGAAGTGGCGCTGCTGGTGGTGGTGGCAGTGGTTGCAGTGTCTGTGGTGGTGGAACCCGGTCCCGTTGCAGCCGACGTTGCCATGCTGGTACCGCTGGGCTCTGCTGCCACGGAGAGGGGGCTCAGGTCGCTGGAGTAGCAGGCCCTCAGGGCGTGCCCACCTGCGCACGACAGACAATCGCGCCGTGACGTTACGGCCGAAAGAAAAAACTATTCATTTCTATAAATTTTGTTTCACAAAATATACGTACCGTACGTAGCCAACCATGCTAATTAGAGGTGCAGGGAAGGAAAAAACTAACACAAAAGACAGACACTTTTCATTGGTTTTTTTGAATGGACTCAAGAGAAAGGAAAGTTTTTGATCTGGATGATAGTTGTAATTATGAGCGGAGCTGTAGTGGTGCAAGCCATAAGGGAGCAATCATTAAGGGAATTTAATTGTTGCACCATTTTCTTTTGTAAAAAAAATGTTTTTGCACAAATTCAGGACACATCTGATTGCTGTTACTCCGAGTAGAAAAAAGGATGGCAAGAGGTGACATGCCTACTCAAAGCTGTGTGCTCTTTAGAGCAGTCAGTGTCCAATCAGTGCCATGTTTTACAATGGCTAGAGAGAGCCCATCACTCTATACCACTGCCATGCCAAGTTGCCATAGTTACTCACAGTAAATGCGTTGTTGGCAAAGACTACCCTAAACTGCCTTTGCGCACCACGCTCTAGAATCCATCACTTTGGGAGGTCGTGTTTGGTTGATCATGCAGCTTGGGGAGACCACCCGGCAATGAATTAATCATGGCCGATGATAACAATCGACACGTGAATAAAGATAACAGTTCAGGCCTACATGTCTATTAGCATGTACCACGCCATGGCTGATGAGCGGTGTACGGTTTGAACGCTCGCGTGTGTAAAAATCAACGGAGAGTTAAATGCCAATCAAAGTTGGAAACCCAAAATGAATGCAAAAAGCCATCTTCTGTCCCTGCCCTGTTGTGGGCGCGCCACCTGAGACGGATCGCTGGCGCACTCGACCGGAGTGCACGGGCTGCTGGCTCTCCTGGCTCTCCAGCTTCCCCGGAGCCTCCTTGGATGCCCCCGCCTGCCCGCTGCCTGGAGATCTGCACGCAAAACCGCAACGCGCCAAACCCATCGATACATTTTCCATTATTACGTTTGCGTCGTCACTTTTTAAAGTTGTATCCTCATTGTGCTAGCGGTATCACGTCGCGAGACGAAGTATCCATTCGGAACGCTCGCACAGCGGGGGGGAGGACTCTTTCGCATGAGAGAACGGCTCGCAGAAGCGGATATCAGAGTTGGCTTGAGATGACCTCTGTTTTCATCTGATCTCTGGTTCATACAGTGGAGGGCAGCCCATTCTCACCTGTTCTACCATATAAGGAGTAATGTTCGATGCACAACCGAACCTTATGGCAGGAACCCGGGGTCCCATAAGTCCCCGGCTCTCACATAAACTGCGTTGCGACGTCATTTTATGTCTGTTGAAGGCGAACAATACGGCAATCTATTCCTCTCGACGAGCTCTACACGATGTGCTCATCAAAGCTTCAACGTTTTGTTTAGGACTACAGAAATTTTGGCAACGACAGGTGCTTGGTGAAGAACGAGGGGATTGATTTCTGGTGGGTCACGGCATTTATGTGCACTTGAAAATCTGGTTTAAGCATAGGTGGCTGAATCCTGGATTTTAACTCAGGATCTGAGCACCGTTAGTTCAACACTCTGAGCTGTTGATACACCTGACAATTAACAATTCCTGGTCGCTGTGAACATCTGGCCATATTGGTGGCACTCTTGGTACAGAGGTTTGCAGTTGGGGAAAAAATAACTGGCAAAATCCTGGTTGCATGCTCACTTAGTTCAGACCATCATTCCTCCAAGTTTCAATGGAATTTGAACCACTTCGTGAGAAATAGATCGTGGTCATGCGATGGAGACGCTGGATACTTCTGCTGCTTCCAGAGTCCGGAATTCCCTTCTCTCTCTCTCTAACCATCCCTGGTGTTGACTGCCTTTCTGCTTAAGCCCAGGGTGCAATACCTGAATTTTTTCCTATGACTAACTGCCTGTATAAAACACATCTACCCACAGTTTCCATATACAGTATCTGAGGATGCGGTCAAATGTATGCTTTATAAATACACATTTTATTGAAGTGTAAATTGTATTTACAGGTCAATTTCATGGCCACTGCCATCACGTGGAATTTCTACTGGTGGCTCAGGGCCGCTAATGTAAACAAGCTGGGCAAGATCTTTTGTTCCTTTACCAAAAAAAAGACCAAACTCGCATGCAGAAAAGAAATACCGCAACGAGGGACAAAGTGCAGTCGTGAAACACGGGTAGACACTGCAAATGAGGAACACTGCACACCGAGTAATTCAAAATCACATACCTTTAAAGAAACAATTAAACGCCCATCTCTTTCACCTGGCTTTCGCTTTATACCGAGCTTGGCTTCGCTCCTCAGAATCACAGTCATTCATGTCACGTGTATACGTGAAATATTGCGCGTGTTATAAATTGCATTACTGTTAGGAAATGACATCACTGACGAGAGGTCGCGGGCAGTCACGTGATACACCGAGACGCAATCACGAACTCCGCTGGTTATTGACAAAAAGGCGCTTTAAAAACGCCAAGGTCACCTGTCGCCGTCGCGGTCCGAGTCGCTGCTCTGAGAGTCCTTCGAGCGTGGCCCCAGCAGGGACTTGGGCCCGGCGCCGGCACTGGTGGTGATGGTGATGATTTTGTTGCCCACGAGCCACGACATGGTCTGCCCGCCGGCCAGAAGGAACTCCGCCGCAGGTGACCTTCAAATGCGAACGGCGAGCGCCCAGGTGAGGGTTGCCAAATCGCAAAGAAGCATGGAATTACAACACATCGGGAGACGGGTGGTGAAAACACGTGGATTCAGTTGATCATGAGCAGGTTGAAAGATGCCACAAACCGTGAAGAAAAGCAAATGCGCTTGGGTAGGGACATGTTGCTTGAAAGAATGATGGAGGCAGCAGCCAAGGGATTGAATGCTTCCGAGAGGAAATTCACCACGTAGATGGAGCATTAAAATCAGTTCGTGCCCAGCTGCATTGTTGCATCATGGGATCACGAAGGATGGCGATGAGTGGGGAAAGCCTTCAGCCAACAGTGGATTGATCATGGCAATCACAAGTGGGAAAAAAATTACGAGCATTTGCAGCTTAGATTATCAACTTCAAAAGTCAAATTAATAATCGAATGCAGCTTCTAATTAACAAGGACTCAGACGATTTATGCATGGGAGAACGCTCACATTGCACAACGCGTTTCAATGCGAGCGTGGTGCAAGGTAGGAAATGAGCAGCGGAGGGGCGAGGTGGGCGACATCCTCACCGTTTGGGCATCGTGGAGAAGTTGGAGAAGGCGAAGCGGGCAATCATGTCGAGGCAGATCTCCGTGAGCTCCAGGTGAACCAGCTTGAGGCTGTCGTCAGCGAGAGGAGCGTTCTCCTCCATCGAGCCGGAAGTCATCCCGCCCAGCCGCGTCTCCATCCTGCGTCCGCACAGTCACACGTGGAGGGGGGCGGGGGTCGGGAAGTCGACAGAGAGGAGGATGCAGGGATTCGATTGTCGCTAAATAATTCATTAGATTCTAATTTTTTTCTCGTTTGTATATTTTTATTACTCATCCCCTGCCCCCCTCCACCCATCTCGTTTGTGGAATTGTTCACCCTGCAAACTGCAAATGGAACATTTGAAGAAAAAAAGTCTGGATATAAACTTTTACTCGTACCGAGATCAATTATCATGCGTGCGATGCGACTTGCACACCGTGAACCGAAGAAAACCTTTTTGAAATCAACGCACTGGTACATACCTATGGTGGTGGGTGGATGGAGCACGAGGGGTGATCGCATAGGTGGGGGACAGGGAAAAACAAGGGAGGGAGAGACTGGACTCATAACCGTGATCTTCTTCAACCAGGCACACGACGTTTAAGACAACCACACGACTGCATTATCTCTACAGTATGTGGCTTAAGCAGTTGGATAGAATTACCATATTCTAATATCTGAAAACACTTTCAATTGTTATTCAAAAGTAGAAGACAATGTTCAAAACTTTCACAAAGTGTGTTCAAGGTGTGTAATAACTGAGCAACGATCTGCTGGAAAGAGCCGGTGAGGAGAGGCATGCGTCCGTTAGTGAGAAATAGCACGTACGCTCACTTGAGGGAAATCGTTCTGGATAGAGACTAGAAGACGTCATGAAAAAGTTAACACGCACAAGCCACCACTATTACCACCTCCATGCAAACCTAACACTCTTGGTTTTGTTGTCCCTCGAGTCATCTTATTATTTTGGTGTAGATTATACCATATTAGCATTCTTAACTGAACAGATTCAAATGAATTGTACGTGACAGATTGCATAGACGTCTCCTTCTGACTTTGAGGGGGGGGGGGGGGGGGGGGGGGGAAGGGATCAAGATTTACAAGTTCTGTCCTCTGGTCACAACCAACATGGGAGCATGCTCAGAGATCAGAAATCGAGGGGTTGGTAACCACAGGGGCAGCCACCAATTGTAGAAAGGCAGGAAAGAAAAAGGGCACTCGAAAGCCAGTGGCCAGAGGAAATTGCAGATGGCTATGTTCCCATCCAATTATTCCACATTGATAAAATTCCAAAAAGTGCTCCCTTGCTAAAAAAACAATGGGGCGCAGTGCTCATCTCCATTGGCTGCCCTGAGGTCATAGGAAAAAAATTCAACATTCCAATTAGACATCCCCGTTTGTCCATGTCTTCAGTTGTACTCATTTGTATTGGTCACGTAGGGATGGTGGAGCAAAATTGACCCTCTGCCCAAGATCACAACCTGGCAAACCAGCAACCTTAGTATTGGGAGACTTGAGCATTTTAACCAGAGCACTCCAGGACGCCCCGGAGTAAAGGGTGCTAATACAACAAGTACATCGTAATCGTTATGAGTGCCACTTGGTCAGATACGCAAGTGACGATGGCCTTTAAATCTGCACAGTTTATGAGGGAGGTGGTGGCAAGGCCTTGACAAATGGCAGACAAGATGCCGTGCACAATACCCCCCCCACACCACGTTAATGCTGCTGGTTCTCAAAAGAATCAGGCACCTGGTTTCACCGTTGCATCGGCACGCGAGTGCAACACTAAGCAATCCCCCCCGGGGATTCCTCAGCCGGCAGTGGCACATGCCTGCGCGCTATCGCCATGCAACGGTGGGTCAAGCAGATTTTAGTAACGAAACTCCAGGCGAAAAACAAAAATTAGTTCGGGATCAAAAAAAGTATCACGATAGAAAATCATCATCGACAAGTCATCGTCGTCATCATCATCATCAGCACCATGCAGCCGAGCCGACAGTAACCGCTGCAACCACCCATAAAAAAGAGTCCTCGGCAAAAACATGCGTCGCTCGCGGGTGCGAGAGTTCACTTACCAGAGCAGGGATCGTCCGAGGTGCCGTCCCCTCTGGCTGTAACGTCCCCCGGCCATCCATAACCATTAACTTACCTGCTTATTGATGTGGGGCATCCCTACCACAATGTATCCTGCCTGTTTCTTGTCCCATCACCCTACTGCACTCTTTCACTTGACCGTTGCTCCGGCAACCAAGGCTTCCTATCAAAGACTCTGGATCAACCTCACGAGATTTTAAGGCTGCTGCTCTTTCTTTGCTGCAGTTTACACCATCTGGAAAGCTCTTTCCCTCAGGCCTTCTGCACTGCCCAGATCCCTCCCTTGTTCAAGTCCAATAACCAGACGTTCCTCTGCTCCTCTGCCTACGAGTATTAATAGTGTATATAGTGTCATGCGCACTTAAAGCACGATAAATTACCTCCTAGACTTGTAGAATTCTACACTAATTTCTAAGTTCGATAAAGGAAAAACCCATCTTCAAACTCTAAATGGGCACGTCTTTTTCTCTTTGTACAGCATCATGGGATGCGGTCACATTTCACTGCCTTAGAAATTCAAATCATATCCTAACAGGTGATGTTTTGGCCACAGTTGTGTGGCACGGTGCTCGGTTAGCACAGAGCTCTACAGCGATTGGATTTTACGAACACCCATCGAAAGACATAACGCACGCACATTTTTTTGAGCAAGTGTTGGAATTTGCCATGAGCACTGCCCTTTTAAGGAGCGAAAGTTGTACACAAAACAAAAACTATAAGTGCACAAAATATTTCAGTGGAGAAATATTACAAAGGAATCGTAACTGGAAATGAGATTAGTGGCGAAAATGATTTGATGCTAGTTTACTGGAGTTGCACGAATTGTTTTATGAGAGGAAAGTATACAAATTCTAGCAGAGGTGAAAAGGGTAATTTTCTCAGGCAAGCGTGGTAGCAATATTACTCAGTGCGAATGCAATGCTTGTTACTTTTTATATTTGAGATGCACTCTGGAATTTTGTTCATATCTTCACAACAGTAGACGTGTTCAGAAATACCGAGTAGGCAGATTTGTAGCCCGATTTTGGGTTTGTTATTCTTGTTCGATTGTTTAAAACATTATTTTATTTTAAGAAATAGCATGTTTCTAACCATATTTTATATTAATTGCATTTTAAAAAGCTATATATTTCATACAATTATAATCTTCATCATAGACATAATAACCAAACTTAATTAGCTTTGCACAACATGCAATACATTATAATGTGGCGAAATAACCTGGCCAAGCCGAAATGCCAACGTGTGCATTATATCAACAAAACCCAATTTACTTTCTATTAGGTTCGAGAAGAAAATAACCAACGGACCTGCCTCGATAAAATAAGTCATTTTACAGCTCAGTTCACGTGTGCAAAAAACGAAATCCCAAGAGACCTCAAAAAACCACTGCTGGTGCAAAACTCTAGGAGCAAAAAACCGCAACGTTTTGGTTGACGAGGTTTTCATACGCTCCCCCGCCTTCCGCCGCCAGAGGTTCACGCTTAAACGGCAATCCCATTCACTCATTAAATGTCCTTCGGGCAGCTTGGCCGTGTGACACTGGACTTAGAAATGTCGGCGACAGAGTTGGACTCCTGCCTCGAGCGGACGTTTTTAGTTGCTACCTGCGGTGGACTTGATCCGACACACTGATGCTTCGCGACCTGAACGACGCTGCCAGAGGGAGCTCGCGAACGTCTTTAATCGGGGACGAGCTACCCAAGCCTGGCTGCCTGCTTGGCCGCGCAGAACGCAGGCTAAATGGCCGTGACGCATTTTCGTAGGTGGAGGAGCAAGGTGTGGTGTTACGCACAAGGCACAAATGGGAGAAAAGGTCCGGGAAGGAGGGGAGGGAGGGTGGGGGGGAAGCAGAAGCATAGCGGTGTAAACATTCAAGGACAAAACAGCAAAGACAAATCAGAGCAAAATTAATTTTAAATTAAATCGAGCGGCACATTTAAAACACGTTTACCGAAGTCTTTAAACACCGATGTCTTGAATTTGCTCAATAATATCTAGGCCTTGGATTGGCTACAATGCATCTCCCTGTTATTTGTGTGATGGTTTAAATTGGAGAGTGAAAGAGAATCACTTTTCAATGAATTGCTACCATGCGCATGTGTCATGAACACTGCCTGATAAAAAGAGAGCAGTGGGCCAAGTTTCACAAATGGTCATTTATCTTTCTTCTGGAGGGGTGAAATTTAGCAGAATAAAAAAAAACAAATTAAAAACCAACATAACAGTGGTACCAGCAGAATGCTCTAACACCTAGCCACTGCGCTACCTCCAGATTGCTATATATTGTTTAGATGGTACGTTTTACTTGAAGGTGAATTTTTATAAATCTTTTGGCACAGGCCTTGAGAGCTTTGAATAATATCAATACGGGGGATTCCTCAGCAATGGGGCACTCGGATAAGTTTCAAATTCATAAGAGCTCATCAGTTAGCCATGCAGTTACAGACGACCAAGAATATACAGTACTAGAAGCAAGGAAACCACAGCAAAGACACGTGTCTCCTGAATTTTTTTTTTTACACATTGCTCTGTTAGTCATTAATCTCACTAAAGAGGAGCAAACGTGAAACATTTTTTTTTACATTTGTGGAAGCTAAAAAAATAAACCTTTATTATTTTTGTCTTTTGTAGCTTTAAAACTAAAAGCGATATATATAGTGGTGCACTTTAAACATTAGAAATAACCCAATATTGCCTTTTTGTGCATTCTCCACTCTAGGGAAATCTTTCTTTAAAGATGAACAAACACAAGGCACACGGGGAGACTCATGGACACATCCAAATCTGAATTGCAGTGACATGAGACATCGGCTTTAAAGAAAACAAAAATATTTTTTAAACGCACAAGTAAAATACAAAAAGACGACTGCACAAGAGCATGTAAACCAAAAATAACGCAAAGTCAAGGTCAGGAGTCGATAGCAGAAAATGCTGCAGATGCCACCACACTGCCATCTCTTCCTTCCTTCTGCAAGACCGCACAGCTATAGAACAGGTCTCATTGCCACCATACGAGCGCCACGGCGGTGAGATGTTAACTACCTCGTCTGGTATACAGGAGGTCGTGGGTTCGATCCTGACCCCGATGCCTGTATATTTGGAGTTTGCAGGTCTTCCACTCTAGCGTTTAGAGTATTTGGTTACCATACATTTCCACATAAGCCACTTCATTGAGCGATCATTTGTGGCCAGGTCGCTTCGGAAAAGTATATAGCTCAGTGGGCTTTAACTGGTTAAATAAAATTGTTAGTCATATGACTTTACATCTTATAATTGGGTAAGATTTCTGGTTGTCAAATGTATCTCAAAATCCTGCCCCCCTTCTATTTCTGCATGTGTACCCTCATCCGTTACAAATTACTTTGCCCGATTAAATCCACAATATTTCCCCGCCACATTCTACTCCAAACTTCCAAGCTGTTTATACGAAGCTTAATCTCGGCACAAGTGCATCTGATCTTGCCATTTAGAACTTGGCCATGTGCAGTTGTTTGTTAACTTTTTTTATTGCTGAAATCAGGTTTAGTGTGTACAGTAACCAGGTCCCTACTGAAAAATGGCCATTCTTTGACCAATGGGTTTTAATTGTGATGGAATATATCAAACTAATCAATATTCAAAAAGTATCTTATTTTTTAGTTGCTTGTTAAAGTCTAAATGAGAGTTGTAAATTAGGTATCTAACAGCTTTCAGGACAGGTGGTGACAGACTAGGTCTGCTTTAATTAGAAACCTTCTGGAAACATATTTGGCTTGTGGCATCAATTTTACACCAATTTTGCAGAGGACAAATAAAACTCTGCTCGTTTCACCGACGGTGTGAAGGTTATAACAGCAGGAACGTATATTTCATGATTACAGAAGGGTAAACGTGTAAAGAACTGAGGTCGGCAAAAATATTTCCAGTATGTGCAAGTTTTTTTTTGGCAACCGGTAATGTGAAAATCATATGGGTCAGGCCATACCAAATGCAACATTTCATAAGTGCAATGGTCATTCATGCAGAAATAATGAAAGTTTAATAACATTTAATTTTTGGGAGCGCACAGTACCAATAATTGAAACTTAAAACAAAACTCCACGTTTAAAAAATAATCAATAGGGGGGGGTGGGCAAATAACTTTTGTTGTTAGTCATGAGCCAGGAGCCGAAGTTGCACGTGGTGGCAGGGATCAGCGCCTCCATGAAAACAACCAATGTGGATTGTTTAAGCCCCATGAAGAAGTGGTACTCAAAGTTATACCCTGGGAGGGACTATCGGTCGACTGAACCCTCAATCAGCGATTTTAATGAATGAGGCGCTTCACTACGGCGCAACCTTTGCTGGAAAACAATCGTAGAATTATATGCGTCTGAGTACAAAGCATTTTTATGATGACTGTTTTCCCCATGTCTGCTTACCACAGTGTAACCTAGCATCAAACCCCAAAAACCTGCATTATGGATGATATTGGTTGTGAAAGCCTACGTGTTAAACATAACCTAGCACATCCATGTGGCTTCAAAAGAAATACATAATCTAGAGCTCCCAAGGCAATGGAGAAGGTAACGGTTTTGAGAGTGCAGCACGTGTGTTATTGCCCCAAATGCGCTCCACTGGCAAAACATCAACCTGCACTAACAAATGCGTCAACGACAACTTCGCTTGCTCAACACAGCCTGATGTGTGCGCGAGTGACCTACAATTCAATCTTGACTTAAAGCTTTCGTGACTGCAGGAATTCATATTCTCTGGGTCTTTCGGTAAAGTTACGTAGATAGGTTCAAAGAAAATAACAATAACACAAAACTACGCTGTTTCAATTGAAACGTCGTAGTTTTGTGTTATTGCTATTTTCTTTGAACCTATCTACGTGACTTTACCGAATTGAAACGTCGTAGTTTTGTGTTATTGCTATTTTCTTTGAACCTATCTACGTGACTTTACCGAAAGACCCAAAGAATATGACCTACAATTGCCACGGATAACAAAACCTCTCAACATTCATCAACAACACCGTGGCCTTAAAAAGGAGAGATATATATAACAGGTGCTGATGTTATATTCTTGGTTCTTTCGGTAAAGTCACGTAGAAGGGAAACAATAAAATAATAAAAATATAAAACAATAAAATTATCACGTTTCGACTGCAACACAAGCAATCATCATCAGGTGTGAAAACCCACAGCAAGAAATTTTTCTTATTTTATTATTTCCCTTCTACGTGACTTTACCGAAAGAACCAAGAATATGAATCCCTGCAGTCACGAAAGCTTTAAATCAAAATGTAGGTGCTGATTTTGTTTCGGGCAATGATCCTTCCTTGCAACACAATACAATCGCGGTAGTGGCCGAAAACTGAAAAACGTGCAACGCGTACAGCCACCAGGGGTTGGCGAATAACGAGTCCGGTGTTCTCTGACAGCGGAAAACCCAAAGCACAAATGTCGTTTTGCAAAAAAGAAAAAACCTGTTAATTTTTTTACTTTGTAAATTGATAACAGTTAGGTTTCAGCCACTTCATGGCGGCATGCGCCGGTGACATTCAAGTGAAGGGTAGCATTGTTCTGTGCTCAGTGGGGCCAAGAAGTCAGGCATAAACCCACAGATGAGAGAAGAGCCGAGTCAACGAATCGTAGCCACTGCCCCGAACAGTCCGGAAAGCAGCGATGAAACAAACATGTGCGGCGATGACACGAATGTCGAAACAATGCTTCTTCAGAGTGACATTACAATGGGTGATTTGGACTCATTGCTGGGTCAATACGAATGCAAGTGATTTTTGGAGCGGTGCATCTTTCTCTATTTTTTTTATGCTATTCAAAAGTGTGAATGTGTAATTGTCATCGATCCTGAATGTTTTAAAATTACTATTTGGGGAGCATTGGTATAAGTGGTGAACATACTGCACTGTAAACCAAGCCACCAGAGTTCAATTCATGGTGCACAGTGGCGAGTGATAACACGGAACCTTTCTTACCAGTATCAAAGGAAAAGAATAGGTTTTACCTTGTCTGGCAATAAAAAAACAGGTCTTAAGATGTTCAAACACCAAACAGAATCCTTTCGCATGGAATCATATCTGCATTAACCAAGCATACTTGTGAACATGCAACAAAACATGCTCTGATAATATATACATTGTCTTTGTCTCTGGTGTAGACCAATCAGTTTCAGCCTTCATTCCTTGCAAAAGGTTTCCGTTTGGCGCTTGAACATCTTAACACCTACTCTTTGGTTTTTTCGGTAAAGTCACGTAGGTAAAATATAATAAAACAACATCTTAACACCTGTTTATTGCCAGAAAAGGGTAAAACCTATTCTAATACAAGTGGCGAGTGATATCTGCACCAGGGTCCTGGGTCCCTCTTTCACCAAACCACACTGACCAGCTTGGTGAAGTATGCTCAAACACCCCCATGGCTGACACGGCATAGAGGAGGCCCTCATCCAGCAGCAGATTGATGAAAGGGCTTCACTACTAGCACTACATACCTGGGTACACTTTTGCATAAAGTTTAGTATGCTTGGGCAAAAACTAAAGTCATGAATTCACATAATAACCTTTTTCATCACTCCTTGACTCCGACTTAAGAGCTTATCCCATCAATCAGAGGCTTTGGCTCGGTACCCTGGACTTGTGCATCAACATTATCCTTTGTGGCGATGCCGCTAACCCACTTCTTTCATCTCATCTCTCCACTATCATCCCTCCCCTGCTGACAGATGCAGCCAGCACTGTCGCTTTGCACCACCCCCCAATCCCGACCCTTATTTATTCTAAATTGTGCCGCCGGTGTCACAAGACGAATATTCCATTCAGAAATCTCGCAGGGCAGCACACCCATGTGTCAGAATGGCCAGAGGAGATTTATTTCACAGGACCTTTCAATTGGCCTTTTAAAATCGAAGGCAAATACTGCACTGGTTAAAAAAGGCACAATCTCCCACCAGTTAAACCAACACGACCTGAGAAACAGTGACTTGGATGGCCAATTCACCACTGGATTGAACTCCGTTTAATTTTGGCAATGACAACCACCTTTGAATGCTTATTTTGTAATGAGCCAGCATCAGCCAACATGGGGTTCACTTTTCCAAAATACAATCAGGAATGAAACTGCATTGCATGGGTAAACCCAAACCTCATTAGGCTTTGCAGTACAGCAGGTTGCTAACGACTTGTATAAGCCATGTAAGCAGTATAAACGTACGCTGCCCTATAGGTGGTGGTTTAATAATTATATAAATCACACTTTCATCTGTTGGTCACTTTTTTTCCCTTCAAAAAAAGGTCACAAGCCATGCAATAATCATCAGGACAAACCTTAGCTCCCCAGCTTCTTCCAGTCAGAATGAGTCTTTACCTCGGACCTGACGATCAAAACTTCTGAAGCATTGTGGATTCGAAGCCAAGTGTCCTGTATTTTAAAAGACAACCCGCAATTCCTCAGGGCGGTCCATAACTACAATGAACGAAATAATGGATACAACTTGCGTTGACGCTACATGGCCACCCGCCACCTGCATCTCAAATATCACCACTACCGTTAACCTCGTCGCTCCCCCGGAAACATCAAATGGAATGCGCAGGAGAGGGTGCTGGGAGCTGGACACACCTGCGTGTGGGCTTGTCGCTCAGGCTCGTACTGCGTGCGCGGAAGTTGCTCTGGTCGGCGTTCTGCTGAGCGCTCTCCTGAGCGCTCTGCTGAGCACTCTGCTGAGCGCTCCTCAAATGCTGCTCATCAAACGGCAGTAGCGCGTTGGAGCGCAGGCCCTGTACCACAGGAGGTACATGAATTCAAAATTATTAGACCTTGCCTTTGAACCGAACACTCGAAAAAGACCTGAAAATCGTCGGACCTCTGACAATAAGCTGGAGAGGTGGTGCGCTGTGTGTGTGTGTGTGCGCAAGACCGTACCTTAGTGATGTACTGCACAAAGTCCTTTCTGAATGGAAGGCGGCAACGGATGAACCACATGGCAATCACATGGTGCGCCAGTGACACAACGTACTGGGTGAACCTGCAGTAACACAAGATTCGTTGATGCCGTTGTTTTTGCAATTGTCGTAATTTTAAAACATGTAGCAATTACAACAGTGAGTAATCCATTTTCCCATGTGCAGTGGCTTGATCATCCAAGCCTGGTTACCAAATTCCTGCATAAAACAATGATATATATATTATTTCAATTAGCTATATTACAGCCATAAGAATTGCAACATTATAATCTTACTTCTATGCAATGAACACTCTTTTGAGGGCATGAGGATAGGCCATCTAGCAGGTGGATGAGAGGTCTATTGAAGGGACTAAACTCGAAAAAGACCTGAAAATAAAACCCATCTCTGAACAATAAATTAAATTTGATAGCAGTTTGAGCCGAGTCAACAGGCTACACACGTACATGTGGGTAGTACATGAAGAGTAAACATCGTACAGAGATTTGAGAGAATCCCAGGTGTTCGCCAACAATGCAAATGTTCCAAATTATTTTTTTGCAATGCCAATGAAAATCACTCAAAAGTTTGATTTAAAAAATAAATATAAAAAGGACTATGTAGTCAATAATTATCCCCTCATCTTCCGGGGCCACTCCCTGACGTGGTGTGACACTGCACTGCTCGATGTTAGAGAGTTTCTTGTTACCGCATTACACAAAACTAATAACAAAAATAGAAATAACTGCAAATTAGAAACTGTGGATATATTATATTTTCTCTTCACGTTATTTTCATTGAAACGTGGAGGTGATACGTGTGTTTCTACAAAGTCCATGACAAAAACACATTATATAAAAATCATGAAAACTACAATTCCCAAATGTAAATATGCACTGTTGCGATAATGGTAATTGGTCACAATATTACCTGCCTTTATCTGCAAATGATATTTTCTAAAATAAGCCCATAACAATCTACAATTGAATTTACACAACGAGTCCAGTCAAAGAGTGTTGAAATCAGAATTGGGGCAGCACGTATCTCCATCGGCAGCCCTGTACCACAGTGGGAAATTCCATATTCCAATTGTGCGAGCAAGAATTTCCCACGGGAGGTCCACAGATGTCTCACAGGTGGTACGAATCTTATCGACAATGGAGGGGGCAATGAGCGATGGGATGAGTAGACACCCAACCAAGATTTTAACTCGCAACTTTCTGACTGTGTGTCAAGGTGTGAAAACGAGTTGGGCACAAAATCGGAGATGAAGAATCAAGTTTACGAGATTGAGAATCCATTTTGAACTCCGCAAGAGCAATGCAGCATTCCATGTTCAGGAATGATCCGTGGAATCAGATAGTCACAGCGCTACCTCCGAGATGTCTTCAATGGACCTTTTAGCCACACTCGAGGGGCAGCACTTTCCCACCCGCCGTTAAGAGACTTTTTTTTTTAAATCACACGTCGGTCAAAGTGCAACACCAAATTAGATTTTTTTTTGTGTGTGTGTGCAGTCATTGGTGTCCAGGCTGAAACCATTAAATCGATTTAAAAAGACAGATGGTTGAAACCTGGATTTGACCAAGATTTCAGCAGCGCAAGCTCAGCATCTCTGACCGCCGACCGACCCAAGCATTCATTTTTAATAAAACACAAGCATTGGTATTGTGGGAAACGGGCTCACTTGAAAGAGTTGGTGTACGGGAGGGAGATTGCAAACACGCTGATGTACTGCTCTGCCACGAAGTTTGTGTAGAGGTGGGGCAGGCGAACCAAAACTGTTGAGAAGATGCGCAAGCATTAAAAATTCCAGATTACGTTAAAACATCAAAATCTAAAGAAATTAATATAGCGGGAAGTGCGGAGCAAGTCTGTAATGCAGCACTTCGGGAGGGGCGTTGCAGACTGCACCAAGTAGCATGTGCCCGAAACTCCCAACCTCGGGTTAGGAAGTGGCCAGATAGGAGCCAAGCAAGCGGGTTGCGGTTCTATTTACATAGCATTTTGGATGTCAACACCTCATATGCGCGTGGGCTTCACCAGTTCATCCTCCCACATGGCAAATAACTGGCTAAACGCCCAAGCACTCCTGAAAAATGAGTCCCAAATCAGCGAGGCCTCGCTGGGTAAATAATGGATCACCGTTTTGAAAACTTAGTATGTAAATATACACTCCAGGGTTACAAATAAGATGTTTTTGGCACGGGAGTTATGTAGTTAAATAAAGCTGTAGAAAACACTGTCCGAAAGCCATAATGGAGGTCAATGATAACATTTATTTAACCCCGTAAATTTTACACATTTTCATAAGTGGTCCCAACATGCAGTGGAGAATGCTGAATTTTAACTCATTACACATCACCATAAAAGACGATATCTGCATGAGATAATTCCAGGTATCATTAAAATAAATGGCTTAATTATAAAAAATATATATATAAAGACCACTGTCTTTGTAAATTGGAAAAACTGTTTGAAAATAGGCATCTATATAAGGGGTCATTAAAAGTAAAGTGAAATCTGCAGTCTTGTATAAACTGGAGAATATTTTTTTTAATTGGGAACAAAAAACGATTACATCTCAAGTTGAAAGCATGGAATTCTTGGCTGAAAACACTTTCCAACCACTACCATAATACTTATTATTACCATCATGCATGTGAAGCGAGTCCAAATGTGTCGCAAAGAGGTAACTGCCCCTTCACCAGATACAGCCTAGGGTGGCGTCCACCCAGCTAACGACTCTATACGTAGGAATTACAGCTACGAAGGGTCAGACCCTCACTCGGGTCCCGACCCCGTGTTGAAGCCTCGTAGTATGTAGAGCTTCCAGCTTGTAAACATGGAGCTTCAGCTTGGGGAATGCAGCGACCCCAGTCCCTCTCAGGGACCCGCCTTATATCCTCCTGGGTCGGGGCCGCTCCGCCCTTGGCCCCGCCCGCCTTCGAGCCTTCTAGCTCCCTCTCGATCCCTCTCAAGAGCTCTCCCCGGACACGTGATCGGCCCCTAGCCCCCCCACCGCCATGGCACCCTGGGCTCAACCAGGGTGCCATGGCCCGAGGCAACCCTGCCCCTGGGCTGACACTCTCCCACTCCCCCTTGTGGGAGCCCGCACTACATGCTATGCGTGGTGCCTGCGCAATCCCAGCGCACACCAAACCCCGCTAGGGCTGGTACTACACCCGCCTACGGGGTGTACGCGATGACGGTGCATCGCGCGCCACAGCCCTCTCGGGCCGGCACCATACAGTGACATCCCCGATGTGACTACACGTTTACCCAGGAGAACCTCATCAAGTCTCGTGGCTTTCTCAGGAGGGTCCAGTGAGGTTTTTCAAAGTCAGGCCGATCGTTACATTGTCGCAACCCGTGAGTAATCTGCGGGTACTCTTTAAAATTTGGCAAAATTTCGACCATGACACTGACGCACAATGGCTTTACTCTGGCGAATTATGCCACAGTATCTTAAAACATACAGAAGCAGACGGCACATATCTCTACAGTTAATACGAGCGCAGTATAAATCGGGGACAGCCACTGGAGTCAACCCACAAATTTTTTCAACCAGAGAACGTGCTACCACTTGGCCACGTCATATCAATATAATAATAGGTTTATCCCTTTCTGGCAATAAAACCTGTGTCAAGATGTTAAAACACCAAACAGAATCCTTATTCAATGAATCATGTCTGCATTAACCACACGTACTTGTGGTGAACATGCAAACAAAAAAACATGCTCTGATAATATATGCATTGTCTTTGAAACTGATTGGTTCCATATCATGCCAGAGGGTAAAACCTTTTGTTATATTTTTAATACTGGCAAGAAAGGTCCGATATCACATCATCAATATCGGTTTTCAACAAGATATCGGTTTGGCAATGACCCTTTTTCAGATAAGGCAGAAAGGAGATAATTGCATTACAATTTCTACAAACCACCACTCCCCCCTCACCCTGGCAATCATTTAGCTCTTGACACAATTGTAAATGTGCACCTTTATAACCACAGACACCAACAAGCGACAGACGCAGCCAAGACGCCCAACTCACATGACAGGAACTCGAGCACGGAGGACGCCATGCCCACAGTGGCGGAGATGTGCGTGAGCTTGAGCAGGATGGAAGGCAGCATCTTGAACATGATGTCACTCATCTCAAGCACGCACATGGTCAGCGCCATGACGCACTGCTTCGCACAGCGCGAGATCAGCCCCGCATCCAGACACTGCACCAGCTCCCTCTGCAGACAGCGGCACAGGCAAGCCACAGTGAGCAGCCGAAACAGCAGGTACATAGAGACAGCAGCAGGCAGCAGACACAGCCTACAGCAGTTGCAGCGAGCAGCCAGGTGTGAGCAACAGAACAGCACTGACAAATCTGTGAATATACATGGGGCAGACGCTTGGTCTATCATTCTGGTACATTCACAATTCAATGTCTAATTTTAGGCGTCTAGGTGCAACAGAAGCAGTGCAGCATTCACCAGGGGGGCAATTTTAGGGCTCACACAATTACAGGTATTGCCTATACAGGCATGGGTGGCTATTAACATTCATCTTGTAGAAAAAGCACTGCCCCAATATCGGTTGAATAGTGGAGATGTCCAAATGAGAATGATGACTTAGTCTGGAACTACCCTCCCGCAGCCATCTCTGCCGTCAACTCCCAGCCTCTGCTCAAGTCCAGACCTCAAGACCTTCCTCTTCTGCCGTGGCTACGACCGACTGCCTCTATAATAATGAAATAAACACGGCCGCCGTTTCTGTGCAGCATCCTGGGATGAAATTCCATTCACAGTCTATACATATATTTGAACATAATTCATCATTTTATCAATGACTCCACGGTCGGTTGCTTCTCAATGTTAATGCCCAATTATCACGTGCGATCCATGAAACGAGCGTTGGAAATCACGTGTAACCGGACATTTCACAAGCTGAAATATAGCAATCAATCATTTTATGCTCCACGTTTCAGTTAATTATATGCCGGTTACACGTCTATTTAAAACATCGACTAAAAATAAGGCAATTAAAATGTTCAAGAGGCCTTTATGGCAGCAACAAAACACTTCTTAAAGCTTTTTTTCATCAAATGAGTGTTAAAATATGGACGCAAGGCACTGGAGATTTTAAATTCACATCACATGCCTGTTAAAAGTACCATCAGGATGACGCTTACCTTGGTTAGTGGCTCTGAGCCAGATGCCAATAATCCACATTCCTATGGCACTATGGCAGGAACAATCGTGTCCCAATAACAACCAATCCTGTTAATTAATCCAAGTTGACCAGGACACAAGTCCAACCGCATGCCCAAGTCACGCACCCTGCCACAACACCTTGCTGGTGTTGACGAGAATGCCACCAGCATTTTATACCGAAACCTATTCTAAAACACTTTCCCTGAACGAGGAGAATCGAGGCCAGGACAGCGCATGTAGGCTGAAAACGATTTAGAGTAATACAACACTCAAAAGGTGATTTAGAGACTAATGCATGACCATAACCGTCAGTCCTGTGTTAAGCAACAGTGATAAAAAAAAACAGGACTGGTTTCACCTTCAAGGTCAAAGCTCTTGAACGTGAACATACCCATATCATTACACAGGCTCCAGTAGCTGCCGCAAGCAGGTTCATCTGTAGTGGACGTTCTCACTTGTATTGTATTGTTTATTCCAGTTATCGTGCTTTCACGCTACTGCTGCGGATCAGGGCGGTGGGTCACCTGTCTTGCGGTGTCCAGCAGGCTGTGGTAGGATGTGAGCGCGTTGAGGATGGGGAAGATGACCATCTGGAGGTCGGTGCATGAGAATACTTCCCCGGCAACGATGTTGGACTCCTTGATCTTTTTACTGCTCACCTGCGCAACCCAAAACGCCCGGCTTTATGCATGCAGCACAATGCACATGCGTACAGCCTCCTTTTGTCGATCCACTGCTGGATGAGGGTCGCAGTGCTTATCTGACCATACGTCACGTCGATGGCAAGCGAGGGATGAAGGTGGGCAGCGTAGGTGTGGGAGCAAAGTAGTACTGTACAACTATGGATTTTTATATTCTGCCCACAATGTAGCACCCATTCACCATAAAAAAATCCATATTATTACTATGGCAGTGGGTTGGTGGACCAAAGAATAATGTGCGCATGACACTCCCGCACAGGGCTATATGGTAGCCTGTGACGCAGCAGAGCGAAATGTTTGTAGCCATAACGAAGCCAATTATTTTAGTGTTAACTCCCTTGTCTCACTTTAGCCAGGTAGGTTCCTCCCACGCGCACTCTCAATAAGTGGCCACTTATAAGTGAAGCACTCGTAAAAAGCGAGTTGTAAGGCTTAATTGGAGGTTTTGCTGGATACAATTTGTAAACTATCAATATTATTATTTGGACAGCAAAATGTATCATTGCCCCAGCTAGCACTTACCATTTTGCAAAGGCAATTGCAGAGGGTATCCACAGAGCACTGGGAGCTCATGATGAGGATCTTGTTCTGCAGCAGGGACGGGATCTTGCCCAGAACAAACCGCAGCACCTTCCAGTCCTCCTCCTGCAGACACAGGGCAGAAACGCTCCACGTCACCGCAAAACAGTTTTGCACACCACAGTTTGGCCATCAAGGCAAGCACTTGTAAAACATTTTTTTTTATTTTAGGACTACTCTTATTCTAGTCGATGACAAGCCTTTGAATGTTCATCAAATCTTAGTCTGTGCATTCAATGTATTCACGCCAAGTCAAGTCAACTGAAGCAGTCACAATATTAGTCCACTGTTGAGTTATTAAATCCGAGTGTTAAGCATGCATTCCACCCCCCCCCCCCCCCAAAGTATATTTTGATTTACATATATAGCCAATTACTATATTTTTCCTTCCTCAGTAGACCGCAGTTTCAAATAATGTTAGTAAATTACCCGAACGTTCCGTCGGACGAGTCGATTTCATCTCGTCATCATCGGTCGTGCTTTCGCATGTAGTGGGCTGTCGTAGCAATCTCTCGGGCTTGGCCATTTCTACCGACTCAAGTCAGTCATTGTTGACGTATTATTATTAAAAAAACTAATATTTCTGCACGTAAACTTTTATCAAAATTAACAATGGACGCAGAGCTCGAGCGGGCCCAGCTGTACCTGCTGGATGCACTGCAGCAGGGTGCTGAACGTGCGGCAGAAGGGCAGGTGGCCGAAGCGGAAGGGAAGGCTCTGCTGGTGCAGGGCAATGGGACTGTCCGACGGCACGGAAGCCACGTCGCTGGTTCGCTTCTCCACGTCACTGAGCACACAAAGACAAATATCCCCGTGTAGCCTTAACAGACTGTTGGGGCAAGTGCTGTTAAGCGAGCACCCTATTAAGGCCGGCACGGCAAACGAGGCGGTGGGTGGACAACACTACGCCTATCCGCCTTTGTCTCCCGAGTGGTGATGTTTACACACAGCACCAGGTACTATTTTGAGGCAGTCGAACTTGAGACGTCGGGTTTGTAACGCAGTGCGCTAACCCGCTATACTACCGCTCCCCACCGAGCACACACACACACACAAAAAACACGCGCGCGCTTTTACTTTCCAGGCGGTTCATGTTAAACCTGTGAGCAGCACCAATAAATGGGCCACTCTTAAAAAAAGTCAGGTAATGTAAGACGTTTTTATTTGAAAAAACTAGGTCTTTGGAACACGTGTATATCGAGTACACTTTAATACTTAAAGAATCCACAATTGTGGACACAACTGAATTATTGGACGGGAATTCTTCTACGAGTGTCTAGAATATATAAACTTAAAAAAACTATTTGCAGACTTTAATACATATATTTTTGGCCCATGCTTCAATGCTAGGATGCTTCCATGCTGGAAGTGTAATTCTTCCCCTCCCCCACTCCCTCGTAACCCAAACCCTTCACACCCCCCCCCCACTCAATGTGTTCAACACCGTTACCAATTAATCTTGTACCCCCCCTACTGGCCACTCACGGTTTTATTACAGCACTAACAAATGCCTGGGGCAGATGTTTGAACAATTCTGATTAATCATGCACTCTTTAATGCATTTAACCTTGGCATAAAAAAAACATTACCAATCCAGGCCAACGTGGCAGTTTAAAATTAATTTTGCATAAGAAAAATCCCGATTACAAGCCTCCCACAGCTTGATGGCAGTGCGCCGCCATCACGGGTTTAAATGTCCCCTCCACGCGATACGTTTTGTACACCGAATCTGCATTGAACATCCAAAAAGACATACATCCATAACTACAGAATACCACCCAATTAATATTATTTTGGCTGCGTCCGCTTTGAAATAAACGCACCGCCGAGACGTGCGACAGGAGGCGCGCGCACCTGGTGTCGCAGAGGCAGTAGACGCTGAAGCGGAGCTCGCCGCGCTTGTCCACAAACCCCATGCGAGCAGTCGAGTCCGCCCGCAAGGACAGCAAGAAGCCGAAGACCTGTAGGAAGTGTAGGACATGGGTTAGGAGACTCCAGTTTAGCAAACTAGATTCGAAGCTTTCGTGACTGCAGGAATTACTCTTTGGTTCTTTCGGTAAAGGTCACGTAGAAAATAAAATAATAATATACGACGTTTCGCTCGCGACACAAGCAACCGTCATCAGGTAAGAGTGAATGATAAAACAGACACGGAGACACACATGCAGAGAGAGAGAGACACACACAAAGACACAACGAGCATGACACACACCAGGGAAACAGACACGAAGACAACATAGGCAGACAACCACTCAAGTAATTTTGACATTTGTCGTAGACCTCGGGAAGGCGGCGCTGTGACCTGACCGTCCCAAGTAGGGAGATGTGGAGACACGCCCCCCACCCCCCGCCCAAAGACACAACGACCATGACACACACCAGGGAAACAGACACGAAGACAACATAGGCAGACAACCACTCAAGTAATTTTGACATTTGTCGTAGACCTCGGGAAGGCAGCGCTGTGACCTGACCGTCCCAAGTAGGGAGATGTGGAGACACGCCCCCCACCCCCCGCCCCCGCAGTTCTATACTGCGTTCGGGGCCCATCTACTCATGCGCTCGGTTACTCACTCACTTAGCACACTCATTCACACCCTCGCATACTTTTATCCATCTGCATTAAAACACACTTGCTGGTCACCGTCTGGGATTTATAAACCAGTCCTGCAGCACTTAAGGTGGAAATGTTCTGTAAAGCTTACAAAGCATAAACAGGGCCTCGGTGATAGCTTTTGCGCCATAAGTATGCCGTGAACACTGAATGTACGATTACTCCTCATTACACACAAGACGATTAATCCCCCCGACAGCGATTTGATGAACTGAAATAACTTTAAAAATTCAAGCTTTCATTTGAATGCAATTAAATGTTGCCATATTTACATTGTCAAAAGTTCCAGATATCTACTCATTAGGCAACCCTTTAGTTCCAACAGTAGAAGGTACATTGTTCAAAACTAATTATTTGCACAGGTCTTGCTCAGCATGTTAGTTTTAAAATGAAGCCTGGCGTATGGTGACATTTCCGATCTTTGGAAGTTTAGTTCCCTTGGTAATTAAATTTGGTTAATCTTTCGGTGCGCAGTGTACGGTGATGTGGCTATGAAGTGGATGGCAATGTTCATCTTCTGAGAAGAAAAAAAAATTGGTCCACGTCAATGTACACTAGTAATTTTCATCTTTACCCTTGGGAACTAAAAGTTAATAAAAAAAAAACACCTGCCAAATTTAAACTTGTAAAGTTTTAATAAATACATTTAAGTTTTAATAGAAAAGATGGAGGCTGGTGGAGAACAGGTACATTTCTGAAGAAAATAAAAAAACATGAATCAAATGCTTCCCTATTATATTAATAAATCATTAAATTATCCAAACGACTACTATTAGCCAACCAGAGTTGTCGAATGCCTGCAAATACTATTTATAGGTCGGACCGGTGGATCATACAGGCACGATGTGCCTGTATGATGGCCAGCAAGAATCCATCATCTGCGAGTATTTGGGTGTTATCCTCGGAGATCTATTGGTTCTCTCTGGGTAACCAGGGCTTCCTCCCACACCCAAAGCTCCAATTATATAATTCCAAAACGCGACTACCCTAAGAGTATATTCTTGGTTCTTTCGGTAAAGTCACGTAGAAGGGAAACAATAAAATAATAAAAATATAAAACAATAAAATTCTCACGACGTTTCGACTGCAACACAAGCAATCAGCATCAGGTCATCACACCTGATCATCAGGTCGTCACACCTGATAATGATTGCTTGTGTTGCAGTCGAAACGTCGTGAGAATTTTATTGTTTTACATTTTTATTATTTTATTGTTTCCCTTCTACGTGACTTACCGAAAGAACCAAGAATATGAATCCCTGCAGTCACGAAAGCTTTAAATCAAAATTTACCCTAAGAGTCTTGAAGCATAAGGAGCCATGGCTGGGTAAACACAAGTGAAATGAATCATATTTTTATATTGCATTACAGGAATACTTTGTGTATACATAAGCACGATTACTTGGAATTAAATATTTAAAATTGTGGCATGCAAAAACTCGTGATTAAGGCCTCCCCCATGCCATTACGGTCATGGGGGTTGTTTGACCATACTTCACCACACCTATCAGTGCAGTTTAGTGAAGTAAATATCACCCACCACAGATGCAAATCCAATTAAGATTGTCGGGTTCTCGTACAGTGCGTTAACCACTTGTCTTCCCGGTATAAATTTAACGATAAGATACCATTGTGGTGAAAACTGCATTACCAAATTATTTGTACAGACCTGAATTCTAATAGCATTAGCCACATCCATGTTGTAGCCCATCCTGTAGTGTTTCTGGAGGTGTGCTATCAGAATCTCATACACTTGAACAGCATGGTTGGCTGGCAACAAAAACAGCTTGCTCTGAAACGAGAGACAAAGGGGAAAGCAGCTTTCATGCATCAGAAACTCATACCCAACGACGTTAGCCTTTGAAATAGAGCAGAGGTAAGTGTCAGTAAGATACGTTGCTATCCATCACGTGACTATAGTTGGGGAGGGATCCTTTTTTTTCTTTTTCAAAAGGTTAAGCAGGGGAGGAACGATTCACCCACCTCAATGCATTTAACAACTGCAATTCAGGGACTGTCGCAATTCGATTAAAAAAACAGATGACTACACACACCCCATTATATGCACCGTTCTATTATCTCGCACCTCCGATGAGCACGGTTGGTGACGTACGGCGCGAAAGAAGCTCAATATACGTACACGTTCATGAGCACACCACAAACCTGCAGGATTTCTAAAAGTCCAAACACCGCAGTCTTGATATCGTCATAAGGCGATTCCATGAGCTCCTCCTCCACGGCCTCAGAGGCCGTGTGCTCCACCATCTCTCGACTGCTTATCTGTGGCACGGGTAAAAACGCATGCAGTACTGCAGGTCGCACACATCCACATTTACTATTGTGTTCGTGGTAAAATGGAGCCGTTGTACAACATGGTGTTATGTACCCCACGCAGATTAAAAGCACGGGCAAATCTCATATTTGCACAATGCCAGGAGGAAACTTTGCAAATTGCAGAAAGACCTATTTTTCGCAAAGAGTTTAAATTCAGCGCGGTGTTGAAAAATGCATCTGCGTGTATGCAGGCACGTAGATATGGCAAGGCTGTAACTGAAAATTGCTTTGCAGAACCGAGGTGGTGGTTTTTTTTTACAAATTAACTTTACATAATTTGCAAACAGCTGCACCTCCAGTGCAGTGTTGAGAGCACAGTGCTCCGAAACCAATGATCCGAGTTCAATTCCCAGGCACGGTTCAAAATAAGCGGAGAGTGATATCTTAAACGGATCAAATATAATGCGATTGTGGCAGCAGCAGCAGCAGATGGCAGTGAAGAAAAAGCTACTGTTGTACTGTACTTCTATGCCCCCACATCTATGCTGGCCAGCCACCAGTGAGCAGTGAAGTATGGTCAAACACCTCCCAAGACCCGGACGGCACGAGGCCCTTAAGAATTGGATCGACAAAAGGAATGCACACGTACAAAGAAGAAAAATCATGCGCATGCATGAATTCCGTGACACTTTCTGACATGCGGAAGTATTTAACCAGAGGTAACAACATCATAACGGTGCACGACACGTGATGTCACAAAGAGGTGAGGCATGTGAGTGGCGTGCGACGCCATTGCACTGGCTGACAAAGCTAGTTGTATTTACTTCTGTGTTTTTTTAAATCAAAGTTTTTGGCAACCCACTTAACAATTTGACTGGTTTTCTATAGGGGAAGTCCAGAATAGAAACAATTACAAACTACAATTTAATTTATATCGGATCGTCTCGACGAGTCATCATTTCTTCAGCACCGCTTTGTGCATCGTTTGGCGTGTTGTCCTTCCCCCACACCTCCGATTAAGCAGGGCTGGCTACGTACAGGTGCGCAAAAAAAATTTAACACGCATATGTACGATGATCAACCACTTGCGGGCACATCGACGGCGCAAATGCATTAATAAATGCTTTCAAACTTTTTTTTTTAGTTGAACATTGAAACTTGGATGGGTGACCCATCACCTTCTGCAGGGCGTCGAGGAGGCTGTTGAAGTGGCTCGAACTGCAGGTCAGCGCCAGCTCCACCAGCTTCTGGGTGGCGAACTTGCGCACGGCCACCTCGCGGTCCTCCACCACGGCGTTCAGGTGTGGGATGAGGACCGATTCCATCAACTCCTCCTGTAACACACACACACATACACACAGGAGCAGCAAGAGAGCATCTGAATTAAAACAGGATAAGTAGTCATACGTGGGCGTGGGAACAACATTTAATTGCAAGAGTGGCAGGAATATCCATACATTGAGTGCGCATGTTGATCATCATTCGCAAAAAAATCATTGCTGGATGAAGACCACTCCTCCTCCCCCCCCCCCAACAACACAATCCCCCCACAACAGCTGTGGTCATCTCTAACAATCCTGAGATGTAATCATCGAGCTCAAACCGATTTCATGGATCCATCTCGTCGCTGGACATACTCTTGGTCACGCACCATGCCCGAGCTGCCACTCCCATCGTTCTTAATCATCAGCCGTCACTGACACTTGCGATGCGTTCAGGCCAAGCGCACATTTATTGTGCATACATTATATAATTCACGTGTTATATGCATTAAAAAGGAGGCTAACAGCTGCAATAGTAAAAAAAAAAATCGTATGCCAATTTTTAATAAAAAAAAATTGATTCTTATATAGTATGATTACTACACTTGTTTTATCGAACCCATGCCTTTCTTATTTGTGAAGCAGAGTTACCACTGAGACACCCTGTCCCCAATCACAACTCTGAATCAGTCGTGACAATGAAATCAAATCGCTGGATGGGGTGAAATGTTATATGCCTGTGTGTTCCTCTGCCACTCTCTGCCGTACCTCGTAGACATGCCTGTGCGTGCCGAGCACCGAGAAAAGGATCTCCAGACACTTCTTGCGGATGACGCTGGACGTCTGCATTCTGCCACAGCAAGCAGTTAAACTCGCACAGATTAACTGCACAGTAGACCACGCACAATTGAAAGAAAAAAAAACACGTTGTACTTTTATTCTTCACTATAAACAGCATCTCAAGGGTGACGTACAATTATTTAAGGGGAGAGTCTTGACGGCTAGTATACGAACAAGTGCAAGCCATGCAAGGTGACGAGGGTGGAATACCCAGCACGATGACATTGGTTATAGATGGATGGCCAATATTACAGCAAGGACATTATGGTTTTTGCAGAGAAAGAAGATTCAGGTGCAGTTAAGTTTGACGAGGATAGGCGGACAGGTATAAAACAACAATGCAAAAAAACTACAGTAATTAATTTCCGAATAGAATACAATTTTAAACCAGTGCAGAGGAGAATGGTAAAGCCTCCAGGAAACTCACACATTTTCACATGAGCCATAAACAACAAGAGCAGCTGTGATATCAGGCAGTATTAAAGTTATTTGGCACATGCTAAATAATGCAGCTTAATTAAGTAAACTAGGTAGTATTCTGCTTTGCATACACCATTTAAGTTTCGGAGTCAAATTCGATTCGGTTATGGTTTTTAAAACCACATTGTGAATAAATTAGCAGGTCACATGAGTAGGTGATGCCAGAATTAAAATGCTTTAAACCAGAGCGGACAACATAATGTTGATATATACAGTAGAGGTAACATGTTTTTGTGCAGTGATATTAAAGGAAAAAAAGGTGCCTCGTGAAATCAATGCGCCTCCCCCCCCCCTACGGTGTAATGACCATCTGGATCAGAGCCAGTGATGCAAATCCTACATCCATATGGGCGGCAGATGCCAGTTTCTCCCTAGGGGAACCAAAGAGTGGTACCTATTTTATTGACCTCTGTGGGGGGGGGGGGGGGGGGGGGGGGGGGAGAGTCTAGGCTGGGTCAAAGATAAACAAAGATATTAACTCGCACCTTACCAATTGCAAGCCACGAACTCTAATCGACAGCAAGAGCGAGGATCGGGCTGTTACGAACAACGTAATCCATTACGCGACGAATCTTTACGTTCCTCAACAATATTACCGATGTCTCACCTGAAATATTTCTCCATCATCTTCTGCAGTTCCAATATCCAGCCGTCTTTGGCAGGATGGATGGACTGAGCACGATAGGTCAGCAAGGTCAGCACAGACTGGCACTGCCGGGAAAACACAAGTCCAATGAGTCTCCCAATGACACACGAATGACAAAAAAACAGGTGCACAATCCACAGGGAGAGTGCACGATACAAAATCCTCTCATGGACAAGTCACAATATCCCAACAAAGGAATATGTGATTACATCTATACAAAGCGACAGGATCACAACCCAATGTTACCAGCTTCATTCTGGAATGTTAACTTGCATCAGAGGTGGAGTTGTGCACCCGTTGGTTCACTACGCTATGAACTCGGTGACCCAAGTTTGATTGCCACCCGGCTTAGCTCATCTACCTTCACCAAAACAGCACCGATCAGCAATGTGAAGTATGGTGTAACAACTCCCATGATCGACACAGCAGCCAGCAGTACATTTTCAGGGCTGTAACTAATTTTTTTTTATTTAGCATTACAATTCATTTTACCACAAAATTCTGTTACACAGGATTCACCGAGGTGTTATAACTTGTTCGTAGGCATGACATTTGTCGACATTAAATCATGTTAAAAAAGGCATAATACCAACAAGGAACCATGGACTTCAAGTCAATCTGTTACTGTTATAACGAAAAACTTTTTTACAACTTGCATGGCCACCTGCCGATATTAGCTTTGGAATGACAGGAGCCGTTAACGGCCTTATTCCTTGTGTGTGTGTGCAGTGCAAGGCGGACATCTGTCCTCCGGGCGCACCTCGGGCATTATCTCTTGGCGTTGGTGTAATTTCGTGAGCCCTTCACACGGCCGCGCTGGCCTGTGGTCTGTGCAACGTTCCACGAGCGTGAAGTAGCGCTCGACGCAGCCGTGATACTCATCCCTCGCGTGCAGTTCCTCGATGGCAATCAGCTGATCCTGCACCTTCACGCAGAAGTCTGCATTGTTGAAGAGCTGCAGACATCAAGGGGCAGACATTGATCATGCATCATCAAAATGGAAACATATGATCAAGGGTGGAATACAAATAAAATGGGTTAACAATTACTGACATTAATCTCCAACCGATTTAAGTTCAACTGTGTGGTGTTGTGCCAGAGCACTTAAATCCAAATCCTGACCAAGGGCCACCTTAGCCCAAAACCTTAACATTGTTGATAAAATAGCACTTTGTGGAAACAATAGTTGTCATAAATCACTGCCATAGGAATGTGGAATTTCTCTCAGGGTCAATGACAGATGAGCACAATTCAATGCAAACACACTTTATAACTCATTTGCCAATTCAGAAGTTAAATCAAATAAATTATATAATGTGGAAATGCCACGTTACAGTATTAAAAATTTGACATATTAACCAATTGCAGATAGAAAATACTGAAATGCAACGCTACCCATATTCAGTACTTGGCAAGCGCACATCATCAGAGCTCATTCTGAAGGAGTAAAAAGCCCATACATTTTTATATGTTTGAGAAAAACAACATTATATAAAAACGACTATCCTTTTTTAAAACTTCACTCCAGGTCATCAGACATTTGTACGGGAGGCGTTGCAGGGAATTTTCAATGTCGCACCTGCACTTGGACGACCAGCTTCTCGATGACGTCGAGAACGATGTCCCAGGTGGCCACCTGCAGTTCGCGGCCGTACTTCCTGACGAGGCGAGTGAGCGATAGCGCGATCTCGTACGACACCACCACGTTGTCTTCCGTCATGGCCTGCCGAGCATGAACGGGATTCGTTTGCCCCCCCCACCACCACTTTCCCCTCCCAAAATCGGCTTAGTTGTGTGCCCCATAATCAGACCTGTCCCCGCATACACCCTACCGGCATAGACGGCTAAAAATATAAACAAATGAAAAACTACAATGACACATATTTAACACCTATGACATTTAATTATCACCGACTAACTCGATAATAATTAACATTTACAACGTAACTATGCACTACTTTGTAACCCGGCATGACCATACCCTACGTCACCACTGCCATCATACAAATCGTCTTGTGTACCCCCCGTGAGATGCCACACATACCACCCCCAGGGCTATACGGACCACAGCTTGGGAACCACTGCTCTATTCCATCCAATGATGGGGAGTAATGTTGTTCACAAGATGCCAACTATATGACTGCATCACATCCCAGTTAAATGGAGACAAGTCACTGTGCTAAGTCTGTGGAGCCCAGAAAAGGGAAGGAAATTTGAAATTTATAATTATGGCATATTATGCTGTGGTCAGAAGCTGAAGCATCAGTTTTTTTTTTATTTACAGATGCAGATTAACTGCCACATTGTTGTGCATCAAGAGTGATTTTTACGTCAATCCACTGCTGCATGAGGGCTAGTCCATTGACCATACTTCATCCATATTGGTTAATGCCAATTAGTGAAGGGTGGTTGGGTGGGGGTGTTTAAAATCAATTCAGATAATCACTCGCAACTGACGTCAGCCATGATGGGAAATTGAATTCAGGTTGTTGTCAGGTTCAGACCGGAATGGGCCACCTAAAAATAAGGACGCACTATGCACAGCTGCAAGCTCTACCTTGAGAAAGGAGGGTAGCACAGAGGTGGGGGTGTTCTTCAGTGAAGGCAAACGATGAGCACCCCAGAGAGCCATGCCGACAAAAAACACAGCCCCACGCAGCACAGGAATGTCCTTCTGATATTCTCTACAGGAAGCACAACAGCATAGACACAAAACACATGGTTACAGTGGGGTTACACTGTCAGCAGAGGGCAATGCACCAAAAGCTATTGTTCACACTAGACTATGCTTTAATGTCTATGCTCAATACCTTTACCAACCCACACAGAACAGAGTGAAGTATGGTCAAATAACCCCCTACTAACCGTACGGCATAGCAAGGCCCTGACCCAGCAGCGGACTGATAACAAAGGCTGTACATACACAAGAATATAAACGGCGTTTATGCTTCCTATCAACAAGTAAAAAGTTATCAATCACGAGCACAGTAGGAGTAGCCAGGTGGCTTCACGGTCAACAGCACGGAGCCAGCACTGTTGACGTGGGGTTCGGACCACAGGTTTCAGGCACACCAGGATTCACCCGGGTTTCTAAACGTAGTTAAAAGTTGGTGGTATCAGCCAGGTCACCAATGAGCGAAAATTAAAACTCATCACAATAAAGTTGGTTTTCACCTAATGTGCCTCATTTCAGCTCCGATTTCGTTTTAAATGTCCACTTGAAAAGTGATAAAAACACTCTACGTAGGGCATATAATAGGAATGCCCCTAGTGAATAAAGAGCGCTAACAAAACTACTTTCAAAGTATCTACTAGGACCAAATCGCTCTCGGTGACAGCGATTCAAACGGAAACCTCCGTCTCACGATTTGAACATAAATTGGTTGGGGAAAAAAAACCCGCTTATGTGGATTATGTGAATTGTGGGTGCCACTCGCCGGCTCTCCATGATTTGGCACATGGTACGGACACAACTGTGTCCAAGGTGGGTCCCAAGAAGATTTCGCATCAGCTGCAAGACACAGAGCACCAAAACAGGCATTTTCACTTAGCATGTGGGCAACACACATGATAATAATCACCAAGCACCTAACAATTTCACCTCCCCAGCCATTTGATGAACTTTCACGATTAAGGGTCAAGATTATTTTAAGTAATGTATTGTTTCCAGACCTGGGATCAATACCATTTACAGCAACACTGTTAGCAGAGGTTATAATTAGGATTACTTTGTGATTAAAAGCAGCCGAAGTGGTTGTGTGCAGCCAGCATTTATCTAGCTTAACTTAAGCGTCACTGAACTGCGTAATTTGTAATGATTTGCAGACACATTTGATAAATTGTGACTAATCTCAGATAAGATTTCCAAGATTGATCGTCTTGTTCATGTGATCTTCCTTGTAACGTGTATTGTTTTAGTACAGTACTTTGTTTTAGCTCATTTGCGTAAAGGTAATACCAGCATATAATTATTTCCTACTACCATGTTTCACAGAGTCAGAAAAAAAGTTTTACTGGCTGGATTCCTGCCTGGCCAGCCAAGTGCATGCGTGAGGTAGTGATGTCCCTTCGCATGGCCTGCATGGTGATGTCACCTGCATCCCACAGCGCTGAGCCGGGTATGTGAGCCGGGTTCGTGGATCGTGTCGACGTCACCCTTACCACCAACCCACCCTGCACCCCCGGCTGTTTATCCCGCACAAATCCACAGAATACACCATCCTATACTATATACTGTAAAAAAGTTTTGTTTGTGCACTGGCTGACACATCTAAAGTACTTGTGGGCTGCTAGTTAGTTTAAAAGCAACATTTGGAGAAATGGGTCGAAATTTGCACGAACCAAAAAAATATAAAAATTCCCACATGCCGAACTCGCTAAATTAAAAATTCGCAAGCGTAGCATTTATCTTGAGACCAATTACTGTAGCATGCCCGTTTAACCCGGCCTCTTTTGAAACTTTTAATCCGCTTTTCGGTTGTCTGCAGCGTCATTTGGTACTTCCTAGTGGGAGGGTACACACCTTCCAGCAGGCCTCTGAGAACTCCTTGACGTTCACCGTACGGCACAGCGTGACAATGAAGGCGCACAGCGATCCTGACGGCAGGCAGCTGTAGCAAACCACGGCGTCTAGCACCCTTAGAGAAGCCTGCACAACAAGCAGACAAGATCGTTGATAAGTATCACGGCTGTGTGTTCTGGGCTGTCCAACATGGTCAGAAGTCACTCTTATACTTCTTAAATGAGTGCAGTAGCATGTTTTCTCATTAATGTCACTTCAAACCTGTGTCAACTGCCCAGGACAAAGCTCAAGTGTGAATCTGTAATATTAATAATTACACTCCTTTGTCAATACACTCCCGTATAAAAAATAACTCCCCACTCCAGGTTTTTATTTGGGATATTTGGTCACAATTGACTACACTAGTTAGTACACAGCCTTAAAGCAGGAATATCACTTGCCGATAAAGTTCACCATGACCTGGAACCGAACTTATATTTCCAGGTTGGTAATATTGTACATGAACCACTGTCACTGGTCTGCTGCATTGCATTATAATGCCATTAACTTACCTAAGAAATCTCAACATTTCTCTAGATTTCTGGAGGGCAAAATTTCGGATGTTTGGTCATTTCCGTTTACAAGTGCTTGGCATGCGGAAATAAACCAGGGTACCCAGATAAAACATACATACACGAGAATCATGCAAAGCTCCATACCGATGCCAAGAGATGCAACTGATCTTTGCAATATTTTTTTGACCAATAGTTATGGCATACATTATAGGGTTCGATTAAATTTCATTCTGGTGACAATACAAAGTGTTTTTACCATTGTATTATGGCCCATAATTTGTCAGGACATTAAATAATCCTTCTAAAACAAACACGTTATTCAAAATTCACAAACCTCTATATCAGCTGCTTGATTAGTCATGTTACAAAGACGGTAGATTTTGCTGTAAAAAAACACACAAGACATCAGCATATCAACTAATGTGTTACAATGAGTATCTGCTATAATCACCCAGGAATGTTCTTAAAGCTCGTGACGTCACTCCACGTCGACCAGCCTTCCTCATTAATATTCAATCCTGAAAATGGACACCCCCCACCCCACCTCATTAATCGTTAATGGAGGAAGTCACTCCACAAGCAGAAAGATGGAGCAGAAACTTACATTTGTTTAGGCACAATTGCTTGCACTTTGCCACTATTATAAAGTAATCTACGCGTCACCTTATGTAACGTGCCAAAAACGTCTGTGTCTCCCGCGCATCACGTCACTACACATGCGGCCCCCTACCCTCATACATATTCATGTATTGCTGCATTTTATTACTAACGCTGAGGAAGTTGGAGCAACTATTGCTGCTCTTGTAACGCCAATTCACCCATCTTTACAGAGAGTTAACCATCACATTAATGCAACGTCACATCGCACTGCATTTCCTGCCTTAATTTCCTTCTTCGCCACGTCTAACAAAAGTGAGGTCAACGTCACGCTTCCAAATTATGCTGAAATAAAAATGTATGCTTAAATCAACATTTTTCAGCTGCTTTGCGGCTATCGACTCCAATTACAATTGTTTGCAACTCCGGCGAGCTAAAGCGGATCATAACTACGTCTCGCAGCACTGCACCTAAAGTCTTAGAGTGTCCTTTGAATAATGGGCACAGCGGCATTGCGTCAGCTATTTGATCACATTCTTGCGTGCAACAATCACTGCAGTGTTGCAGTCTAATGCTGCGAGGTGTTTTATGGCTTCCTTTTGTGCTACATTAACTCACATTAATAGTGCTACAGTTACATGCAGTACGGCGTTTTATGAAAAAAATTTTGCCAACATTCCCCGCCGTGACATTCAGCTAATTTATAATCGCCAACTACTGACGGCACCCCGCAAGAAGAAACGTGGAGTGGAAATGAAAATTTGTTTAGGCACAAATTACATTTTTAACGTCCATCGTCTCCTCTATCTAGAGCTAACCAGACAATTAATTCCACGCCACATTCCACTGCATTTTCTGCTTTCATTCATTTCTTCGCCACGTCAAACTAAAAGCAAGGCAAACTTTACACTTGCAAATTATGCTAAAATTAAAATTTCTGCTGTTTTGCCACCATTGCCTCCTATTCAAATTGTATGCTACTCCGGCAAGCTACAGCACACCACAAGTCTCGGAGCACTGCACCTTAAGTGACTGAATTTGTTTAGGTGCAAAGTGCCCCCTTCTTTACAGAGACATTTCTCGGTGATTTTGCAGATAGTATCGATTTCGAATTTATTTCAAACACAGCGACCGAAAGCAGAAGAGAATAAAGTATTAGAGCAGTGAATTTAAACAAACTGAAGGTCAGTTATATACAGTCCTACAGTGACATGAAGTGAGGTGTTTGATGACATACTTTGTGCAAGATTCAATGGCATTAAATTTACACAAGATACAATTATATTCTGATAAATTTTTTCGTAAATATTACAGCTCCCGTCCTCGGATGGGCAAAGATGCTAGTCTTTTATATGTTTAATATCTACAGGTTGGCTTCAGCCAAGTTAAGAGTTTATATGAAAAAAATTAACCACAATAATGTTAAAGAGACAAGTACACTTACTGAACTATCTGAGCAACCTTGTCCTGATCTAGGTAAGATGAGTTGAACTTGACGATGTTGACCAGAATGTAAAGAAAGTCCAACGTCAGTTCATTCTGCCTGGTCTCGTCCATCCATTGCAGAATAAAGGGGCCTGTACAATGTCCAGACAGCAGGAACTTTGATTAGGGCATTTCACTCTAAGGGAAGAAAAAACTCAAGTGGAATTTCCACTACCGACTTAGAGCTATCAAAAGACCTGAATGCTTCCACAGTACAAATGTTCTTTCAAGCAATGCAGTAACTTAAATGAATAATTGTTTCACGTGCAATTTTACCACTATGCTCCTCCTGCATTAATAAATACACAATCCCTTTCAAATGGGATATTGGATGCGCTGCTTGTTAAATATAAAATGGAAGTGCTCTTAACCCATAACATGTACCTCATTTAACATGCATACCACTGAAATCTGAAGTTCTATTGCAAATTATTAATGTTATTTCATATTACTATTGATCATGCTCATTTTGTAAGGTTTGTACAAAGTTCGTCGTGACCTCTAAGCCATCATTTAATATATTTGAGTTTGATCCAGGTCTCCCTTGGAAGAGAGATTATTACTCTCAATGGCCTCTCGCATGGCTCTAAATATGTTAGGGAAACACACATGTTGAATACATTACCTATGTCATCATCAATGTAAGTGATATCCTTTCCGTGATCCGTCAAGGCTTTAAAGATTTCCATCCTCTGGACGAGGTCATCATTCAGAGGATAGTCCCTGACTATTCGGAAGAAGCTCACACGGAGGATACCCAAACGGTTACCCTGTAAACAAAAAAACAATTAGGGCAATGAACAGTGACAGAATAATTATTTAACCATATGTTTGTTTAACACGTAAAAGCAATGTTAACGGCCACTTAAAACTTACAAATACAGCAGGAGCGGCGCTTGCAATTTAGTCTTGGGCATGAGCAACTCTTTGACCTCCAGTCTGGGGTCAACATTTTTTACATCTTACTGTTGCCCACTTTTCTATACCCAAAACAAGTTTATATAGGCCTACCCATAATCAGGAGAGTCCTCCAAGGCAGAGTGAGCATGGCCATAACCTGGAAAGGCCGAATACCTAAATACTAATTGGTGGCTGGAAGAATAATGAATCTATATATAAAGCCACATTGGCTTTCACATTGTCTGGAGATTCAAGTTGTATCGACATTGACAACATTTATACTGTATTGCATTATATGGTGCACTATAATATGCAGAAACGTATCAATCCTTGTCAAGTATCATCTGCCAAAAAGTAATAAACTTGCTTGGATTAAGAAATGTAGAAAAATACCTAATCCAGCGAGTCAAAGGTTTTCAAAAAAGATGCGAGGAACATTTAGCGCCTGAAATGTGCGACAGCTCCGTAATAACTTAAAAGTTAAGCATTAATTTTGCCAACGTCCAGTCGTCGGTGCCCTTCCCACACCTGTCCTTGAATGATAGCTTTGAGTAGAGACAGTACTGTGTGCCTGGCTTCGGGAGGCTGCTCAGGCATCAGCAGGTCTGACACTGTGCACCACAAAGCTTCCACTGCATGCTGAGACAGGCGAGAGCAAAACACAAGCATACATTCGAGGTCATATTTTTAAAAGGTGGCAAAATTAGCAAGTCTGAACGAATATAAAAAGCAGACTTTCCTCACCACATATGTACAATCAGCATAAGGAATACCATAAAGATAAACGGACTTTGCATCCCATGCGAAAAATTGAGCCGTTCATTGACAGGACAGAGACCTTTCACAGGCCCTTCCCCTACCCTGGTAATTGTATCCAATCCCTTCCCGCTGGGTGCACAAACTCCGAACCAACATATCACAATAACAGCAGCTCAATGTCACAGTCTCATGGCAGCTGCAGGGCCAACACACAGCGAGGGAAACAGGTATTTCAACCCCTGCTGATTTTGTACGTTTGCCCACTGACAAAGAAATGATCAGTCTATAATTTTTATGGTAGGTTTATTTGAACAGTGAGAGACAGAATAACAACAAAACAATCCAGAAAAATGCATGTCAAAAATTTTATACATTTATTTGCATTTTAATGAGGGAAATAAGTATTTGACCCCTCTGCAAAACATGACTTAGTACTTGGTGGCAAAACCCTTGTTGGCAATCACAGAGGTCAGACGTTTCTTGTAGTTGGCCACCAGGTTTGCACACATCTCAGGAGGAATTTTGTCCCACTCCTCTTTGCAGATCTTCTCCAAGTCATTAAGGTTTCGAGGCTGACGTTTGGCAACTCGAACCTTCAGCTCCCTCCACAGATTTTCTATGGGATTAAGGTCTGGGGACTGGCTAGGCCACTCCAGGACCTTAATGTGCTTCTTCTTGAGCCACTCCTTTGTTGCCTTGGCCGTGTATTTTGAATCTTTGTCATGCTGGAATACCCATCCACGGCCCATTTTCAATGCCCTGGCTGAGGGAAGGAGGTTCTCACCCAAGATTTGACGGTACATGGCCCCGTCCATCGTCCCTTTGATACGGTGAAGTTGTCCTGTCCCCTTAGCAGAAAAACACCCCCAAAGAATAATGTTTCCACCTCCATGTTTGACAGTGGGGATGGTGTTCTTGGGGTCATAGGCAGCATTCCTCCTCCTCCAAACACGGCGATTTGAGTTGATGCCAAAGAGCTCCATTTTGGTCTCATCTGACCACAACACTTTCACCCAGTTGTCCTCTGAATCATTCAGATGTTCATTGGCAAACTTCAGACGGGCATGTATATGTGCATTCTTGAGCAGGGGGACCTTGCAGGTGCTGCAGGATTTCAGTCCTTCACGGCGTAGTGTGTTACCAATTGTTTTCTTGGTGACTATGGTCCCAGCTGCCTTGAGATAATTGACAAGATCCTCCCGTGTAGTTCTGGGCTGATTCCTCACCGCTCTCATGATCATTGCAACTCCACGAAGTGAGATCTTGCATGGAGCCCCAGGCCGAGGGAGATTGACAGTTCTTTTGTGTTTCTTCCATTTGCGAATAATCGCACCAACTGTTGTCACCTTCTCACCAAGCTGCTTGGCAATGGTCTTGTAGCCCATTCCAGCCTTGTGTAGGTCTACAATCTTGTCCCTGACATCCTTGGAGAGCTCTTTGGTCTTGGCCATGGTGGAGAGTTTGGAATCTGATTGATTGCTTCTGTGGACAGGTGTCTTTTATACAGGTACCGAGCTGAGATTAGGAGCACACTCTTAAAGGAAGTGCTCCTAATCTCAGCATGTTACCTGTATAAAAGGCACCTGGGAGCCAGACATCTCTCTGATTGAGAGGGGGTCAAATACTTATTTCCCTCATTAAAATGCAAATCAATTTATAACATTTTGGACATGCGTTTTTCTGGATTTTGTTGTTGTTATTCTGTCTCTCACTGTTCAAAAAAACCTACCATTAAAATTATAGACTGATCATTTCTTTGTTCATGGGCAAACGTACAAAATTAGCAGGGGATCAAATAATTTTTTCCCTCACTGTACACAAGCAGAAAGATTACAAATAATACCCGCTTTGACTTAAATCTCCTCCCTTCTCACCGTTTTTTAATTATTGTAAAGTGAATATTGTAAACAAATTGCGTTTCTACAGTCTTTCAAAAACATGTATTGGTGGTGGCTGTAAGAGTTGGGCAATTCACATCATCCTAGTCTGGAATCAAAATTATTTTCTAAGATACAAGAACGATTCGGAACCGTGGAATTTTTGGCGGGGAAAGGCAGCACGAGTCCAACGTGGCATTCCGGCAAAAAGACTGCCACTTAGTAGCATCGCAAGTGAATATGGCTGATACCGATACAATATTTTTTAGACGTTTCTGATCGTTACCAGCCATCAAAAATAGCCAGTACCATCCATGTAATTTATTTTATTATGCTTACTCCGGAAAGCCTAAATTAGTCCTAAGTATTTTGTTCAGGAATCACCCAGCTCTTGTGGATGTAATCCAATAGTAAATATGTTAAACAATAAAAACCATGAAAAATGCAGAACTACATCATGGAAGGAACACAGGTAACATAGATTTGGAGCAGGAGAAAAAAAATACCGGTTATGTTTATCCTCATATTGTCGAGTGGCTGCAAAATAAGTGATGTTTTATGGTAAAAGTAATATCTCAATACAGTTTCAAATATCATGTTTAAATATTTAATCATAACTACGGAGCAGAAGCCATAGGTCTTTGATGCAAAGTATCAACAAGAGAGAACTAGAGTAAGGATAGTGAGGTGGCATGTGTCTTCAGTTCAGTTGTGAAATTTAAAAGACAGAAGGGAAACCCAGATAAGAACACCACAGATGGCTGTAATTTTCACCACTTAAACAGTGAGAGATACTATAATTGATCATTTACCTCTTCCAGTCTCTTGGTTTTAACAAGGTCGGACATTTCTTTTATTGCTTTAATTCTGTTACTAAAGCCATTTTCCGCATTCATGTCCTGCAAAGAGAATTTAATTACATTTAAAGTTACTTAAAAACAATGATTGCACAGTACTGTCTACAGCATATCATTTACTCGGCACAGATTGATATACACACATTTTTACTGGGACAGCAACAATACACAAATGCATTATCCATAATCTTAAAATGAATGGCAAATCAAAATGATTGAATTTTTCATGAACCATGTACAGTAACTATGCATAAATTCAGATTAAAGTAGAAACATCCATGGGATCCTGCATGCAAGTAGAGATTAGTTATTATTTCACATACATTGTATGCAATTGGTTTACGTGACCCTTGTAGCAACAAGGTGCTACATTACCACAATATTGATTATTTAATTGTGACCATAAAAAAATCACAAAAGAATCATGAATATCGTTATTGACAAAGTTACAGAATAAATAAGCAGACAATAAGATCTCCTTAATATACAAACACATTTTTTTACACTTCCCTTGAACCACAAAAGTCTTCTGCGAGTGCATAATTTCAGCAGCAAAGGTTCCATTTGGTGGCCAAGTTAAAGGTGAAAATTCCACATTCCTGTGGTAGGAACACAATGTTTCCATAAGACCACTGCTGCCTTCCCACAATGTGGCACTCATTTTATCATGGGGATGAACGAAAAATAACCCAAGAGAATCATAACATCCGTCCACATGCCTACTTCTCAAGCTCTCACAACACTAACAAAAGCTCCATGGGTCAGATGATTGAAAAGCAATAACAAGTCTGCTTGAGCAAAAGTTGAGATGGCCCCATGCTCACCCTGAGGCGATCTTCCGTGATGATGAACTCGACAGGCTTGTACTCGGGTATGTCCTTGACGTGTGGATTTTGTCCCAGTCCCAGGAGGTTCTTGACCTTATCCTTTAAGGAATCTTTGGTGGGATGTTTCGACATTGTGACTAATTAACCTAGACACAAACCACACACGTACACGGAAAATTATGCAAGCTCCCTGTGTGCAGCATGTAACATGTACATTTCTGGTCAAATCTAGTTTATCTTAGCACCTCTTGCTCCTACACCCTTGAAACAAGACACCACACCAAGGTTGGTGGATCCAGGGCTGCTTCGGATATGGGGACATGGATTACACAGTTCAAGTCAGAATTATAATCTTTTTTTTTGACTAGATGAATCCGATGAGCCATTAAGCTCTTTTTCACAGATGTTCAGTCGGGGCGGCTCAGCAAATTACAACAATACAGAAAAACAATATAAGTGCAAATATAGAAAAAGGTAAGCAAGTCACTAAAATAAATATAAAGTATAACACGTAGGCTTTCGCGACCAATATTATTTATAAGAGGTTTTTTTTTGGTAAGTATAAATGTGTCATAACCCGACACAGCCAACACACTGTAAATGTTGCGAAATTACTCTCCAACACACCGGTGGGCTGAAGTAGCAAATAATTGGCGCGTTTTGTTTACGTGATAAACCTTACTGGCGATGTCGGTTAGTGGAGGCTTACGACATCTCTACTTACGCGATCCAACCCAAAAGCCTTGATGAAAGTGTAAGTAATTTGTCCGTTTCTGGCAAGTGCTGTTGAAGGGCACAATACCTCGCCTCTCGCCAAATATGCCGTATCGGGCTCCCAGAATTGGCAGCTGAAACTTGTACAAAAGTTATTCTAGAAAAGAGGCTCAACGAAAGCACTTGGCCAACCTAGATCAAACCCTTGAAGCGAACCTCTCTCGGATCAACATGGCCATATGTAATGCCAACCAAAAGAATGCCATCGTCTCAAAGGGCACATATAGGTCCCATTGCACTAATTGGGCCATAATGCCATGCACGGGGCACCACCTGTGCCACTTGAGGCCCCCTCCGAGGTGCCACACTAGAAGTCCCCCCCGTGTGCCACATAGGGTCACGCATGGGGGGGGGGGCCCACTTGTGCCCCACTTGTGCCAACCTAAAAGTGAGGTGCCACCCCCAAAGTCACCTTTGCCACAAAACAAGTGGCCGAGTCTGGTGCCGCCACCACGAAGCCACTCGCAGGGAACTCCGCCAACCTAGCAGCGGGCCCCCCGTGGAACCACCACGCACACCAACTGCGCCACCCAAAAGCTGGATCACGGCCAAGGTGCAACGCACCAACCCAGCCACCCTCACTGCCAATGCATGCAGCTGGAGTAGGGGGGGGGGTCACCTGTCACCCAAGCCGGCTCTTGCCCGGTGCAAACCCGGTGCAAACCCCCCTTCCCTCCCCCCCCAAAAAAAAAAACCGCGCGTTCTCCCGACTCACCTGACACGAGGCCGCAGGATAAAGCGAAGGACTTAGAGGAGGTGGAGTGAGCAAGGAAGACAATGCAAGAGAGAGAGCGAAAGAGAAAGCGAGCCTGGCCTTCGCCCTCCCAGGCGCTCAGCTCGGCACGTCCGGCCGCCGCGCCTTTCAATTCCGGGGCCGCGGTCCGGGGAGTTGGGGGCGTGCCGGTGGTGGGGGGGCGGAGCTGAGACAGCAGAGGAATCGATTCCTTATTGCGGTAACGGTTTAGTGACTAAGTCGGCTGGAATCGATTGTAATTATCGGAGAAGGGGCCCGGGGGGGGGGGGTCACGTGACGCGGCGGGGCAGGAGTGGATGGCGTTGCCAGATCAGAGGTTTTTTCTTTTTTCCTCTGTTATTTGTAATTTTATTAAATTACTACTTAAAACTTTCGTTGACTGCAGGAATTCATATTCTGTGGTTCTTTCGGTAAGGTCACGTAAATAAAAAAATATAATAAAAAGTATTGTTTTTTTATAATTTTTATTTTATTTTCTATCTCCGTGACTTTATACCTAAAGAACCATAGAACATGTAATTTAGTTGTTAATTCAATCGTTCGTAGAATATTTCTCAAACCTGCTTTTAAAGCGAGGGATACATTTAGTAATCACGGTTCATGTGTATGTGTGTGTGTGGGGGGGGGTGGTGGTGACACGCGACTGGTAATCGTCAGGTTAGCGGGGTGGGGGGCTCAGTGGCATGTACGGTGCCGTATGTTGAACTTCTTTCGCACCGTACGTCGCCAAGCCGTGCCAAATCGAGGGGTTGGGGAAGGAGAGAAATTTAAACACAAAAGGTATCGCTTGATGATGCCAGTCCCGCGCCGTGTGGCCCCATTCAGCTGCTGGGCGCGCGGTTCGCGATTTGCAATCAAATCGCATCAATCCATTTGCCTAATTACACTCCAGCACAAGTAGCAACGTGCACACAATGCCATCACCGTGCACGACATCTGATTTCAGTTGATTCTTGTTTCGTTGTTTAACAATTGTCGATAATTAAGTTCAATTTTCAGATTTTTTTTTAATTTTATTTTAGCCAGGTCGGGAATTCAAAGAGACCACCACCAGGATATTACAGAAGGGGGGCACTTGCAAGAGTGGCCTGCGATCACCCAGGTCATATGACATTGATACTGGCAGGAACCTCCTGGTTATTACACCAGCAGCCCACAGGGGATTATTGTGTGCATCCAAAATTGGGAGGGGTGGGCTGGGTGGGGAGGGGAGGGGCTGGGTGGGGGATGGGAGGGGTGGGGCTGGGTGGGGCTGGGTGGGGAGGGGCTGGTCACCCCGTGGTGCCCTTATAAAACTCAACGTTTAACCTACTCACGCCGGCTTGTGCCCGCCCGCCCTCACAGTCGGGCATATTGTGTGGAATACACCACGTGGTGCCGCCGTTGACCCTGGCCATTGACCGAGCAACCCAACGTTCCTACCAGCTCCCTCCGCAGGAATGTGTTTTAAGTCGGCACCGTAACATGGAGGGCTACAGAGGCTTCCCATGGATAAACAAGCACAATAATATAAAACAAATAGTAATAGTTTATTCAGGTAATAAGAGCCCATTGAAGCCAATAAAATATTTTGCAAAGAGACTTTATTTTCAAGACATGATGTGACATTTGTCATGTTTCATTTTCTAATTTGGGATTATCGTTACCCTGTCTTCAATTGGCTATTGTTTGTGCTCAAACACAGACCTTGCTGATTATTTTATTAACAGTGTGTTCATTGCAAAGATGCAACTTATTGCCACTTTAAAAAAAGACTCAGGATAAATACATGAACATATATGTTGTTGAAAAATAAGTGCATTTACAATGGAGTGGATGGAGAGATATTTTTTATTCAAATAAAAGTACTTTTTCTGACTGGAAATCCAGTGTTTTAACAGCACAATATGAGGTTGAATGTGTTTTATAAAATATGCATATCCTGCAATGTAACCTAACTTGTATTCTAAACCATGATGGTTGCTATTTCAATATGTGCTATGTTAAGGGCGCCAGACACGGCAAGAAAATAACAGGCATGGCAATTAACATCGACAAAAAAATCCTCTGAAAATAAATGTGCATAATATTCCTAAATTTCCTCCATTGTTATGTGTGTCTTGCGGGGAAAATATTAGTAATGTATCAATTAACCTCAGCCCTTTCCAGCGATTTCATTAATTGTTAGATCAAAGTATAAATTATTTTAACTTTTTTGTTGAATTTTTTTGTATCATTGGATAGTTTATCTTTTTTTATTTTGGACACTTTAACGTGTGTACAAAGCTCGTAGTTTATATACCTTAGTTATTTCTGTAGAGATAACAATATTTGTAGAACAAAACCTTTTATTTCATTTGGATTTTTGAACATTCATAATGTGGTTTTCTCAGATGTCACTTGTTTTACTTTATGTACACTAGAAGTGCTGTATATCTAACCCGCAATAACTTACTGAATACAGTTCTGCAATGTTACCCTCTAACTTTGTCTAATAACCAGCTGTATTCGAGAATTCATATCAATCAGTATGAGGCGATTTGCTTGCATACCGCAGTAATAGGAGGTTTTTTTACAATGTGTTTTGCATTCTAAACAAAGGTAAAACAAAAAAAATCACCGTTCATTTCTCTTTATCTCTAACATAAATTATGTGAAGCTTCTGCTTTATATGTAATCTGAATCAGAAAGGGTTTTATTCGCCATGAAAGTTCACACAGACACGGAATTTACTTTGGCAGGATGGTGCATACATTCAACATATAGAAATCAAAAATCCGAAATAAGTGGTAAACAAGTCTTACTATAATAAGGGTTCAAAGTCTAACTAACACCAAGGGGCTAAAGTATATAAAATTGAATAAATATAGAATATAAAATAGCTAAAAGATACAATCTTAAAATAAATAAATAAAAATACAAATAGGGTAACATAGTTAATATTGGCAAGGTGTAATTTTGTAGATAAAATGTTAAAGTTAGTGTAAGTCCTTGTCCTTGCTTAAGAGGCCAGCAGCAGATGGGAAGAAACTGTTTTTGTGGCGTGAGGTTTTGGTCCTGATGGACCGCAGCCTTCTGCCGGAGGGGAGTAGCTGGAACAGAGAGTGTCCAGGGTGGGAAGAATCGGCCACAATCTTCCTCGCTCGCCTCATGGTCCTCGTGGTGTGCAGGTCCTCGAGGGTTGGTAGATTGCAGGCAATTCACCTTCTCAGCAGTGTGGATGATACGCTGCAGTCTGCTCTTGTCCTTGGCAGTGGCAGCATCGTACCAGACGGTTATGGAGGAGGTGAGGATGGATTCAATGATTGCTGTATAGAATTGCACCATCATTGTCTTTGGCAGGTTGAATTTCTTCAGCTGCCTTAGGAAGTACATCCTCTGTTGTGCTCTCTTGGTGAGGGAGCTGATGTTCAGTTCCCACTTGAGGTCCCGGGAGAGAATAGTGCCCAGGAAGTGGAAGGACTCTACAATTTTAATGTTGCAGTGTCTAGATCTGATTAAAAAAATATATATGTAAATAGTATCACTGCAGAATTAGCGTAAACTTATTTAACCTTGCTTTACATAACCCTGTACCAACACGGATAGTCTGGGGCGAAGATGTTCTCAGTAAACTATAACGTTGAACCAACAACTTTGGCATGCGGTTGGAAGCGTTAGACCAGCGTTGGACGAACGTTGGTCCAACGTTCCGTATTCTCTGGGTTGTTAAGAGGGCTCCGAATTGGAAGGTTGTGAATCCAAATACAGGAGGTTGAATCGATCCATCATCCCCAAGTGGTGGACAAAATAGGTACCACTTTGTGGGAAATGAACCCTTTTCACCACTGGCTCAGAACTGAAAATGGAAATGAGCACAGTCCCATTCATTGTTAGGGTAGAAAACACTTTGTCTTGGCTGCAATGTAGAAGGCTGCACATAAACACGGATGCTATGAAAGTAAATGGGTTCTCCAAACTTTTTCCCCCAATTTTTTTTTACCACGCTGAAAGTGATGTTCACATGTCGTCCAAGTATTGTTTAAATACTGTAGTCCAAAGCCATATACATTCTCAACCGCAATGAATCTTTGCACCCGATTTATGTGCACTGTATCACACGGCAACTGCGTCATACTCCATTTGCGACCCACTTCACCATTCACAAAGTCCACGACTTAGCATTCACAAAGTCCACCATTCACAAAGTCCACGACTTTGTGAATGGTATGATACGACACTGTATAATATGTAATGACATTTATCTTCATACTGTGTCAGTTTTCCATAACTTTTAAAATTTATTTGAAATGTTTATTGAATAATGTTTGTACTCTGCTGTACTTCCAGTTCCAATAAGATTTTTTTTTAAACAAAAACTCTATTTTATTTTACCAGATAAGGCCCACTGAGCTGTATAGCTCTTTTTCTGAAGCGACCTGGCCATCAATGATAGCTTAAACTGATTGGCTTATCACGTGGACATACACAAACTGTATACAGACTTATAATCTCTATTACCTATTACACTTGTAAGGCACACGCCCTAAGTCACGCAAGCAAAAATGAAAAAGTTAAGAAAACTAAGATAATCTTATCGAATAAACCTCATGTAAATTTTGATTTAAAGCTTTCGTGACTGCAGTAATTCATATTCTTAGTTTCTTCGGTAATGGGTAATGCGGCTTTTCTGTATGTAGATCTTTAGTTTTAGTTTTACTTCGTTATTGTTTCAAAAGTAACAAATGAATACAAATGTATATAAGCCATGATAGTCACGATATAATAAAACGGTATTTTGCAAAAAATGAACAATATTGTCGAGGACCTTATATCGTACGGTTATATCGTACGATTATATTGTAGTATCACCATTCGCAGCAACCATGGTTGTAACTTAATAACTTACTTTCTGGGTCTGATGTGAAACCGTTTATAATTTCAAACTTTCTTTGCAAAGTAAAATATAACAGTTATAGCAATTGGAAATACCGATGTTTATTGGGCATGGAAATATACTTTAAAAAAACATTTACAAGTGTAATTACGTTGTGGTGCATTAGACTAACATCAACTTTTTCGAAATGGACACAAAACAAATTGAATGCAAATTACATGTTAACATTACTTAAAATTGTTACTTTACTTGGCATAACTGAACCCTATATTTGAATATTGTAAATACACCATTTGAATGGAATCGCACACAGTTCTGTAAGCATTCGTACTATAACTACACACAAAGGATTTTTTTTGTTGCATTTGTAATACAATACAGTACACAACTCCATCCCACTGATGTGTATAACAAACATTTTTTTAAACAAATTTGAGAAGCGCATATAAACTGTAATAAGAAAAAATTACTGAAATTCTCATAATAATATAATGTACTGTCAAAATAACGATGATAATATAATGGCAATTATTTACCGAAGAAAAACCTCACCAGATATTAAAGACTCTTTTTCAGAAAACTCCTGCACTGAAATATTTAAACAATACCGTTATACTCTTTGGTTCTTTCGGTAAAGTCACCTAACTTAACTTTACCGAAATAACCAAGGAGTATGGATTCCTGCAGTCACGAAAGCTTCAAATCAAGATTCAATTATTTACCCAAGGTAGAGCAGCATGGTGCACCGCACTGTGACAATGGTGACTGGATTTGCATTCTTGAGCACTGTGAACATCAGTGGAAAAATTACATCCCGATCCAGTCCAGGTACCTCCCCCTTCAACAACCCACACAGACCAGCTTGGTACTTGTCAAACACCCCTCATAAGCAAAACAGCGTGGGGAGGCCTTCATCCAACTGGGGTGAAAACAGGATGAACACAAAAGCAATGCCCTATTATAGTTAAATTATGCCGTCGAGTAGCTCATGCAGGATTAGTTTTCTTATCCTGGACTACACGATATTTGCATATTATAAGCAACAACAACATTCCACGCGCTCTTATTTTAGACTCAACGTAGGTAGAGTGATCATTAGTTGTAAGAGGGTCAACTCATTCGGGAGTTTATCGACTTTTAATTCACCCCTTAAAGTGTGTTCTCGAAATAACGTGGGCGGATGTACCGCGTGCTGCATATCACAGGGGGTTTAGCGGGGGGGGGGGGCTATCCCAAAAATCAAAATAAACAAAACAACTACTAATATATGCCAAGTGAGATCATTAACATCCCGCCACCGTGGTGCCCCCAATGACAAAATGGATATTGGAGCTACAGAATCCGTGCATGCATATATATTTCGATTTAAAGCTTTCGTGACTGCAAGGATTCATCTTCTTTGGTTCTTTCGGTAAAGTCACGTAGAATGATAATAAAATAATAAATTGATAAAATAAAATAACACAATAATATTGTCACGACGTTTTGGCCACAACACAAGCGGCCTTCATCAGGTGAAGGGACGAGACTGTCTGGAGGACAGCACTGGAGTGAAAAAGACACGCTCAGATCGCGACCTTTAAGCTGTGTCAGAAGAAACAAAGCGCCTTGACAAAGGAATATCATTGAATTTAGCATTGAAATGGCTTTAACTTAGCTATTTCAATGCTAAATTCTATGCTAATTCCTTTGTCAAGGGGTTCCTCTGCGGATGTGTATGCTTTAACTTTAACATAGCCATTTCTGTGACCAATCACAAGCTAATCACTCAGCCATTTCAATGCTAAATTCAATGCTAATTCCTTTGTCAAGGCGCTTTGTTTCTTCTCACACAGCTTAAAGGTCGCGATCTGAGCGTGGCTTTTTCACTCCAGCGCTGTCCTCCAGACAGTCTCGTCCCTTCACCTGATGAAGGCCGCTTGTGTTGTGGCCGAAACGTCGTGAGAATATTATTGTGTTATTTTATTTTATCAATTTATTATTTTATTCTCATTCTACGTGACTTTACCGAAAGAACCAAAGAAGATGCATATGTATATTTATTCCTTGTTATGTTTAAAACATAAATAGCATTGCAAGCTGGTATTCATAGAAATAATGGGGTTTTGTTAAGAATAAAAAAGATACAATACTGTATACGGGGGAATCTCACCCCTACATTAGCCCAGTATTTAGAAGACAAACTGTACTAAGCGAAACATGCAGATAATTATCGCACGCCAACACCAGGACGATACGTGATTAATGCGTCTGCCTGAACACGTCGGAGGAGGCATCATTTCGCCTATAAAATAAACACATTGCAATGTCCACATTGTAATAAGTTATCATCAAAACTATAATTTTACGAGATACTTCCGTATTTAAAACCACAATGTATGTAGCAAGCAGGGACCGCACATACATACACTTAACCAAGCATTTTATATTCTTAGCTCTTTCGGTAAAGTCACGTTGAAGGGAAACAATAACGTCGTGAGAATTTTTATTGTTTTATATATATTTTATTATTTTATTGTTTCCCTTCAACGTGACTTTACCGAAAGAGCTAAGAATATGAATTGCTGCAGTCACGAAAGCGTTAAATCAAAATTCAATCATTTTATATTATTGTACAAATATTTCATCCAAATATGAGCATGCTAATTTCACGCAATCAAGGTCCTGTACATATATGCAGAGGGCAAAACGTTGGTATATAATTCCAGTTTGAAAATGTATGCGATAATTAGGTTATCGCTTAAGTACCTTTTTGGTTATCAAGATAAGATCTATTAAATAAACAATGAAATTGAAACAAGTAGCTACAGTCACTGATACATTGTCGTCATATTCACATTCACCCCACTCGGTCGGGCAATTGGTTGGTCTTGAGTTCTGAGCGATTTGAAAGGCACCATCGAAAGAATAAATGGGCCAGAGGAAGACAGCAGAAGCATATGCGACGACAGCAAATGCAGCAAATCCCAACATGATTTTGTCCACGGGAGGGTCAAATCTGTGAATTGGCCATTTGACTATGGCCACAACTATTGCCAAAAAAGACCCGATGAAGCAGAGGCAGTAGACAGCCATGGACCACTCCTTTGCGGGCGTCGTGTTGTACACGTCTTTATCATCGACCACCAAGAAGATGAGGATAGCAATGAAGGCTTCCACGATCTTGAGGATGCCCGGGATGGTGGACATGAAGCCGTTCATCTCGTCGGCAGTGTGACGTGCGACTCCCACCTCCGCGGCGTACACAAGGGTCGTCAGGCAGGAGGCCACCGTGGTCCCGATCCTGAAACCCTTGACTTCGCCGGTGACTTGAGTTCCATTGAGGGAGAACACCGGGTACAAGATGGAGACGAGGAGTAGCATTATGCAGCAGCACGTCGAGATGGTGATGGTGAGGTCGCTCCAGGAGAAGGGCAGTTTCTTGTAGAGTCTCGATATCTCGACGATCATCACGATCGTGCTCAGGATGAAGCAGATGCACCACACGGCCATGCAGAAGTGTCCGTAGTTGTGCTCGCCCCAGCCGCCCTTGTGGACCAGCAGGCTGAAGGCTGTGCACGTTCCAGCCATCTCCAGAATCCTCAGCACCCACAAGGCTACTTGCGACATTTTTGAACGTAAATAATTTCCAACGCCACGAGATGAGGTAACAGGTGCTCCGCTTCGTTTCAGGCGTCGTTGACGTTTGCGTGATTAAATATGGGAGGTGGAGAAATGGGGTTTTGTGTGCCTTGAATGCGGTATATTGCTATGCACTGATAACGTGTGACAGCGGGATTGGTAGACAAGCAATCAGTGGTGGACCTTGCACCGTGTGCGCTGCAATATAAGCAACGTGTTATTTTCGTCTCAGTGGTAAGTTAGCATTCATTGTTTGACAAACGTTGATTTGGCAGATGCAGGTTCCCCCAAGCCTGTGATCCGTGGAACACTTGTGGGTCAGTAAAACCCTGCCTGGTAAGTGGTCAGTGGAACTGTTGCAGATTATTACTTTCACCAAACACCATACATTGGTCCGTGAAAGTATTTTGAGGGTTGACAGTGGTCGCGCGGGTCCAGGAACGTTGGGAACCACCGCATTAGGCCACCAGACGGTGTTATCTAAACCAGTGCTTCTCAACTGTATGTAGCAGGCGCGTAGATGTGGCTTTTTCGGAATGCTAGAAAATAACTTCACCGTTCGCAAACTAGGGACAGACGGACGGACCCTCCTCCGTGCCGTTCAGTGGCCGATCCAGGCCTGCCACCCTGTCACCTGCCCAACCTCTTCCTCTCAATTGGTGGTGGCGCGGTACGGCAGCAGCAACCGTGAGTCTCCACCCCCGGGCCCCCTCAGCTCCCTCGGTCCCACATGCTCAGTTGGGATATGTTTGGCTCCGTGTTGCGCGGAGATTGACCGAGCTTGAAATCGTGCGTTGCTCTGCACCATTAAAGCTTGCTGCCTTCATGGAACAGTCCAATGTAGAGAACATCTTGCAATGCAAACTCGCCGGATATCATCCTTTACAGCAGTGGTTATTGACCTTTACTGCAGCCTTGGGGCCGTCCGTAAATGACGTCACGTACCTGGGGTGGGGGGGGGGTGTTTGAGAAATGTGACGTCACATCAAAATGTGCAACTTTAAATATAAACACGTTCTACGTAATTAAATATATTGTACTTTTTAATAAATGTTTTCTCCTACAACATCAGAGTGCAGCGCCACATTAAATACGCACTACAATTACAATGGTTTAATGCGATTTTATTACGTTCACTCAACCCACCTATTCATTAATTCACTCCTGAAAGCCAGAATGTCCTCCCCTCCACAAAATGTAACCTTTCCAGGCCACTAACCGAATCATTCACCTCCTTCCCAGCCACACCCAGTGTCATTTATGGGCCGTCCATAAATGACGTCACAAAGGTCTGCACCCACCCCCCCAAAACATATTTCCATTTTAAAAAAAAATGCTTCAAATCGCTTTAAACTATTGTCATTGTAGTGCGTATTTAATGTGGCCCTGCACTGATGTTGTAGGCGAAAACATGTATTAAAAAGGGAGGCGTTGGAAAGCTGAAATTTTGCATAAAATTCACTTGAAAATATTAATCGTCTAACTAAAACTGCAGATGTTCGGAATATGATATTGAAATTCTCTTATAATTATCATATATTAAAATAATTATAACTATAAAAAAATACTTGAAACGTTGTAGTAGAATGAAGCAAAATGGAGACTACAATTATAACAATCACATTCATTCCACAGAATGAAAAGCCCTGGTAGAATCAAAATCAAAATGTTTAATAACTAAATTTAAGTTTCTCCATTCTCCGATGGAGAAGCAAAATGCTCCTCCATGGAATAAAAGGTGACCTTAGTAAATTTAAATAATCAAATAGTTAATAATGAAAATGTATCAAAATTGTTTATAACAATTCTATTTAATTAAGTAGAACGTGTTGTTTATATTTAAAGTTGCGCATTTTTATGTGACGCCACATTTCTCAACCCCCCCCCCCCCCCAGGTGCGTGACGTCGTTTATAGACGGCCCCTTACCATCATCAGCCATGGGCAATCCACTGCTGGATGAATGCCTTCCCAACCCATCACACCATGCCTCGTGGTCCTACGAGGCAATCAATACACCCAGCACCGGCACATGAGCCGATTTCATCGCTCCGTGCCATGTACGTGCGTTGAACTTCTTTCGCACAGTACGTAGCGAACCGCGCCAATCGGAGTTCCATATTCACGGCGGACGTCCTCTCGGGTGTGATCTCTGATTTGGCTCCCACTCTGTTGTTAGTCTCGACCCACCTGCCATCATCCATTTTCAAACATTTTTTTCAACTCCCCCCCCCCCACCACAACCCCCAACATTTCCAATAAACACAACACACCCATGTCCAGTTAACTTGGGTCGTTGGGACTAATGTTGCCCCAACGATTCCATCCACGTGCATGATTACTGGCTAGGCACACTCCATCGCCACAGACAACGTTTTCCTGAGTAAACACACGTAAATGTGGTCGTTACTGTTGTAGTCGTGGTGGTTAAATGTAGTAGGTCAAATTTTGATTTAAAGCTTTCGTGACTGCAGTAATTCATATTCTGTTTTATATATATTTTATTATTTTGTTGTTTCCCTTCAACGTGACTTTACCGAAAGAACTAAGAATATGTAGTACGGTTAACATCGCCAGTGGCACCACAGTTGGAGGTGAGATGTCCATACATTTGCAAAAGTGGCACAGCTGGAATAAACTTGAGAAAAAGACAACCCGAAAAATTTCAATACTACACGATTATGAAATAAACCTTTATTTAAAAGTGCTCATAAACACGAACAGTACATTGGTATAGTGACATGAAATACTGTAATTACAATATCTACATGAAATAGAAGAAACGCTGTATTATTTACAAATATTAAGATTGTAAGTGCTGCAAATATAAAGAATTCATTCAATCAACGTGCACCAATTATCACCGTTGGAAAATAATGCTCCCCACAAATATTAATTCTCTGCAGCAATGCCAACCAGTGTATAACCCTGAGAAAACATTAACTCTTAAAAGGGTGTAAGCGGAACAACACTCACGGTACAGCATCTCAAACCACAGAAGACACTCAACTTATCACGCATCAATAATACCTCATTAATCTCCGGGTAAGGATAATAATACATGTGCAATATGTGAACATCATACACCGAGAGGTAATTATTGCCGACGTTTTCACATTTGACGAGAGCAGGTGTAACAGTGACAGGAGATGTTTGGGCATGAACAGTTTGTTTTATTACTGTATTGGGTAACTTCCTCGGTCAACATTTTAATATCACCCTATCACCCTCAGAACTAACACACACTGGGTGTCTGTCATTTTGACGGTAATTATCTAGTTTAAGAAAACATGGTTTTTATTTATGGAACAAGTCGATGGCTCTACACGTATGCAAAATGGAATTAACCATCTCAGCGGGGAAGCTAACAGGCAGGTTATATAACAGTACACGTCCGTTACGAGAATTTCTCCCTTACTATTAAGGGGGAGATTACAAAACAAAATTGGTTAAATTTAAATAAAACGCCCCTTTGTGATTACCTGCAAATAATTACCTGCAAATGACTGAATCGGGATTACAGTGAGGGAAAAAAGTATTTGATCCCTTGCTGCTTTTGTGCGTTTGCCCACTGACAAATAAATGATCAGTCTACTATCATTTTAATGGTAGGTTTATTTGAACAGTGAGTGACAGAATAACAACAAAAAAATCCATAAAAACGCATGTCAAAAATGTTATAAATTGATTTGCATTTTAATGTGGGAAATTAGTATTTGACCCCCTCTCAATCAGAAAGATTTATGGCTCCCAGGTCTCTTTTATACAGGTAACGAGCTGAGATTAGGAGTACACTCTTAAAGGGAGTGCTCCTAATCTCAGCTTGTTACCTGTATTCCAAACTCTCCACCATGGCCAAGACCAAAGAGCTCTCCAAGGATGTCAGGGACAAGATTGTAGACCTACACAAGGCTGGAATGGGCTACAAGGCTGGAATGGGCTACAAGACCATTGCCAAGCAGCTTGGTGAGAAGGTGACAACAATTGGTGCGATTATTCGCAAATGGAAGAAACACAAAAGAACTGTCAATCTCCCTCGGCCTGGGGCTCCATGCAATATCTCACCTCGTGGAGTTGCAATGATCATGAGAACGGTGAGGAATCAGCCCAGAACTACACGGGAGGATCTTGTCAATGATCTCAAGGCAGCTGGGACCATAGTCACCAAGAAAACAATTGGTAACACACTACGCCGTGAAGGACTGAAATCCTGCAGCGCCCGCAAGGTCCCCCTGCTCAAGAAAGCATGCCCGTCTGAAGTTTGCCAATGGACATCTGAATGGTTCAGAGGACAACTGGGTGAAAGTGTTGTGGTCAGATGAGACCAAAATGGAGCTCTTTGGCATCAAGTCAACTCGCCGTGTTTGGAGGAGGAATGCTGCCTATGACCCCAAGAACACCATCCCCACCGTCAAACATGGAGGTGGAAACATTATGCTTTGAGGGTGTTTTTCTGCTAAGGGGACAGGACAACTTCACCGCATCAAAGGGACGATGGACGGGGCCATGTACCGTCAAATCTTGGGTGAGAACCTCCTTCCCTCAGCCAGGGCATTGAAAATGGGTCGTGTATGGGTATTCCAGCATGACAATGACCCAAAATACACGGCCAAGGCAACAAAGGAGTGGCTCAAGAAGACGCACATGAAGGTCCTGGAGTGGCCTAGCCAGTCTCCAGACCTTAATCCCATAGAAAATCTGTGGAGGGAGCTGAAGGTTCAAGTTGCCAAACGTCAGCCTCGAAACCTTAATGACTTGGAGAAGATCTGCAAAGAGGAGTGGGACAAAATCCCTCCTGAGATGTGTGAAAACCTGGTGGCCAACTACAAGAAACGTCTGACCTCTGTGATTGCCAACAAGGGTTTTGCCACCAAGTATTAAGTCATGTTTTGCAGAGGGGTCAAATACTTATTTCCCTCATTAAAATGCAATCAATTTATAACATTTTTGACATGCGTTTTTCTGGATTTTTGTTGTTATTCTGTCTCTCACTGTTCAAATAAACCTACCATTAAAATTATAGATTGATCATTTCTTTGTCAGTGGTCAAACGTACAAAATCAGCAGGGGATCAAATACTTTTTTCCCTCACTGTACACATCGTAATCTTCGCCCCCTACTGGCAGACTGAGGCCCGCTTGCGCACGTAGACGCAGGGTCCCCTTGTGCACGTAGACGCAGGGTCTCCTTTTGCCGCCACAAGGGCAGCTGCCACTGGGGGCGCAATTAGAATGTTTGAGATGAGATACAAGGCGCTTTGAGTTGCCGAAGCATTTATGCAACGTCATATGAATTCAAAAAAACAAATCTTATTATCATTACCCACGTCTTTAAAGTGTCTGCAATGTTACGTCCAAAATCATGGAACTCACCCTCGGCAGAGTGCTCGACACAATAAAAAGGGTGGCGAGCTCAATTCTCAGAATGGATAACATGTGCCAATTTGTACAGCGTCAACATTCGTCATGGTTCTCAGATTGATTTTCAGGTTGTACGCGCGTTTGGCATAATATATCCGACGTTTGAGAGATCGTAGGCTGCTCAGTAACGCTTCCTGAAGAAGCTCTCAGCACGTGGAGCGAAACGTCGGACGTCGTTCCGAACATGCGGTATGACCCCGAAAACACGTCGCAGAGCCACACAGCACAAACCATAAAAACCTATGCAGTAACAGTAGTCATTGAAGGAATGTGGAATTTGAACCACCGTCTCGGGGCCAACACCAAAGTTGAGCACTGCCCCACCAAGTTCATTTGAGTCGAGATGCGATTGGACCCGACAGGTAAAAATAAGATAAGGCAGGCGCTCGGCTCGCGCTAAGCTGTGCAACGCGGTAAAAAAAGGCTCAACACACTGATTTGCAATGGGGGGGGGGGGGGGGGGGGTGGTCCGTTATCAATCCATCCCGCGTGTCTTGCACTAAAATAAATGTCTCACTGTGCGGAATTGCTTCACGTGTGGCCACCGACCCAACCAACAGTGTGAGGACTAACGCCGCCCCGACTCTCGTTCAATGAAAAGTTGAATTCGAAGGGAGATGGCACGCCTTAAAACAAGAAAAAAATATCTCTGATAACTCATTGATCCTTGCATGGACTTCCTTGCATGGACTTCCTTGCCTAGACCGTTAAATAGAAACACATACAACTAGAACACAAATAAGATGGATTGTAAAACAAAAATGGATTTAAATCAAATCTTCCCACCTAATCACCTATTAAAGAGTATATAATTGGTTACTGGGATTAAATGGGTATATTTATGTAAAACGTCGAAAATATTAACCGCAAGGGGTCGATATATACAAAATAAATAAACAAATCACGTGCTCTTTTGATAACCTGTTTTCAAACAGCTGACGTTTGCCCCCAATAGTGTACGTTGCACGGCGTTTGTATATATGCACAGGTACAGTATACACAGCATACTTTTTTTTACAGCGCCTCTGCCAGACCACTGCTATGTGACGGCCTCACCATGCCATGTCGGTCTTGGGGATCATTGGACCACGCGCTGCAGCACGCTGGCTGGAGTGGACTGGTGAAGAGGGACGCCCAGGACCGGTTCAAGATATCACTCTCCCCCTGATGATGGTCGCGATTGGAAATCGCACGCGGGTCCGCCGCCGGGTCGACAGCGCAGCGCGCGGCTGACCGCTGTGCCACTTACTCCACCCCCGACGGTGCATCTACGTGTGTACGAGGCCCAGTCAAAAGAGTTTGCAGACTTTACGGCCACCAAAGCCAAGATCCCAATTGAATGTGCTTCGTATTACATTTCACCGCGTAGCACACGTACAATGTAACGCGCGAAAGACTGCGCATGCGAAATATGGCACCGCTCGGCGGACAGACGCTGTAGCCGAGGGGGTGGGTCGAGGACATTGCATTGTAAACAGAGGCGGAATTATGAAGCTATGTCCGTCCCTCAACGAGGCTGCAGCACGTTCTATCTCGACAGCTGCAGCTGCTCCACACAGAACATCCCCACCCCCAATCGCTGCCCCCCCCCCCCAACTCCTTTCATGCCCCACAGTTTCCCCCCCAGATTATAAAAGAGCAGTGCCACCCACCGCACACCCACATGCTAGATCTGTCCAAAAAAACACTCCCAGGATGTGACCATGTGCATATGTCAACCACAATAAATTAAATTACACAAACAACACAATTCTACGTGTGTGTATAAAAACAAAATATTTTAAACATAATGTCGACGTGGTCAATCAAACGAGTACAACTTTGACGGAAGTCGACAGTGATTATACTGGTCCCTGCCATAGGAATGAGGAATTTACGCCACTGCCTCAGGGACATCGATGGAGATAAAACCGTGAATTGCTCATTTGACTATACGGATGGCAAACAAAAGATAAAGATCCCCCATATAGCCTGCACATACTGTTGGGGAAAGTGCTGTTAGTGAGCACCTATGAAGGCCGACACAGCGCACGAAGGGGTGGGTGGCCAACATCACGCCTTGCCGCCTTTGTCTCCCTAGTGGTAATGTTTAAGCACCACACCAGGTACTCATTTGAGGCCGAGTCGACCTAGGGGAGGCCCATGACTGGTTCAGATAATCGTTACTGGTGTTTGTGGCTGTGAGCAGGAATTGAATTCGGGCTGCTTGGTTTTGTAATGCACACACACACACACGTGGGCACAGCTCTCCAAATAAAACCAGACATTTTATTTTGGCTGCTGTCACTCCACCCTCTCAACTTTCCCAATGACTTTGCCTTCGTAATTTGGCAAAACGGCGTTGTCGTCTCTTACTTCCTCGAACACAAGCCCACAGTCGAACTCGCCGCTGGCTCTCCTGAAATAATACCTGCACGCAACACAAGAGGGCACTTGAACCAACAGCAACCTGTTCATTCGGCACTGCCTCCGGGATTAGTTTCAGCATTAAAACTGCTGCTCAGCAGATTTGAGATTTGTTAACTTAACACTTATCCGATCATTACTATAACCTAGGCCAAACAATTAATTACGGAGAATTTACATTTCTTGTACCAGTAATTTTTGTATATATTGGAGATTAACCTTGATGAGAACAACACAAGGAATATCAACAGAGGACAGGTTCACCGTGAATCATAAAACACATTGGCCGAGTATTTGGATCCCTCAAATGGCTACCAATCGTGCCCTACATCAAATACAAGGTAACCTTCACCATCTTGGACATTTTGCCTATCTCTCACCCTGCTCTACTCTCCCTTCATGTGCTCTCCACTGAGGCGCCTCGGTGGCAAGATGTTAACATCTCGAATAGTATACAGCAGGTCGTGGGTTCGATCACAACCCTGTTGCCTCTATATTTGGAGTTTGCACGTTCTCTCTCTCTCTCTCCCCATGGTCGCGTGGATTTTTCTCAGGGTCCTCCGGGTTTTCCCTCCACATTTAGAATCCACACGCATGAGGAGTATTTGGCAGCGACTATAAATTTCCACGCGATAAGCCACTTCATTGGGCAATCATGTGTGGCCAGGTCACTTCTGAAAAAGAGCTTTATAGCTCAGTGGGCTATACAGTTTACTTTTATTTTAACTACCAAAGCCTTCTGTTATACCCACCGGACAACCTCCGTTCAGTGTCCGGTTGCTCCTTCACTGCTCTCCTTGTTTTCTGGAATTTCCTACCTCTGGCCACCTGCGCTGCTGAGACCATTTCCTTTTTCAAGTACAGGACCAATCACAAAGTCTCTTTTCTCTCCCTGGGTTGCTTTTATTCACACCTTTATCATTTTCCACTATGCCCTGCAGTCCCTTTTCCAAAGCGAAACGTTGGACATCGTACCGAACAACCTGCAGTACAGGCCGCAAACACATGGGGAGAGCTGCACACCACAGCTTCGAAACCTACGCAGAGGCAGACTTTCCTTTTGTTATTCTTGGTTCTTTCGGTAAAGTCACGTAGAAGGGAAACAATAAAATAATAAAAATATAAAACAATAAAATTCTCACGACGTTTCGACTTCAACACAAGCAATCATCATCAGGTGTGAAAACCACAATAAGAAAATTTGAAAAAAGTGGCGTTTTTTTAACGTTAGCACCACAGAGAGAGATTTGAAAGTTTGTTCAGATGGACGAGTCCATCTATGTTCGGAAAAGAGGAGGGGGGAGACGAAAAATAATGGATGCGGTCTGAAAGCCACCTTAAGCGTGATCAATAAATTAAGACCCGAAATGATTTATCAAATCCTTCCAATGATTGCTAAGCCAGAATCCATCTTCTCGGTTGAAATTGTCTCTGTGTTTGTATATGTGGATAGCCTCATGAACGAATCTCTCATGGTAGCCAGATGGCTTGCAAAGAACCTCTGTCTTGGAGAAGTCAATGTCATGTGAACCTACTGAATTATAACAGTGATCTGCCACGGCCGAGGTGTTGGTCCTACCGTGTTTCAGGTCTGCTTTGTGTTCACGAATGAGGGTCCGAAACATGTCATTTGGTTTCTCCAATGTAACTACTACCACAGAGGCAACTTAGTTTGTAGATGCCAGGGTACTGTATGTCCGGAATCACATCTTTTACAGACGGAACCAGATCACGGATTTTATGTAATGTGTTGAATCGGACCTGGATCTTGTGTTTATTCAAGATTTTGGAGATCTTTTTTGTGATCCCCGCAATGTAGGGTAAAGTGATGGTTTTGAAAGGCTCCTCAAGAGGGTCCTTCTTCATGGTTGGAGTGATAGTTTCGCGGATTGTGTAGTCGGAATAACCATTAGCCTTACGAGCTTGGTGTACGTGCTTGAGTTCACTGGCTATGTGTTCCTAGTCGGATATGCACCACCACCATCCATCCCAGAAGAATTCCCTCATCAAGACTCTGCACCATAGAGCCCAATGCATATCTGACCAGGAACACATAGCCAGTGAACTCAAGCATGTACACCAAGCTCTTAAGGCTAATGGTTATTCCGACTACACAATCCGCAAAGCTATCACTCCAACCATGAAGAAGGACCCTCTTGAGGAGCCTTTCAAAACCATCACTTTACCCTACATTGCGGGGATCACAAAAAAGATCTCCAAAATCTTGAATAAACACAAGATCCAGGTCCGATTCAACACATTTAATAAAATCCGTGATCTGGTTCCATCTGTAAAATATGTGATTCCGGACATACAGTACCCTGGCGTTTACAAACTAAGTTGCCTCTGTGGTAGTAGTTACATTGGAGAAACCAAACGACATGTTTCGGACCCTCATTCGTGAACACAAAGCAGACCTGAAACACGGTAGGACCAACACCTCGGCCATGGCAGATCACTGTTATAATTCAGTAGGTTCACATGACATTGACTTCTCCAAGACAGAGGTTCTTTGCAAGCCATCTGGCTACCATGAGAGATTCATTAATGAGGCTATCCACATATACAAACACAGAGACAATTTCAACCGAGAAGATGGATTCTGGCTTAGCAATCATTGGAAGGATCTGATAAACCATTTCGGGTCTTAATTAATTGATCACGCTTAAGGTGGCTTTCAGACCGCATCCATTATTTTTCGTCTCCCCCCTCCTCTTTTCCGAACATAGATGGACTCGACCATCTGAACAAACTGTCAAATCGCTCTCCGTGGTGCAAACGTTAAAAATAATCGCCACATTTTTCAAATTTTCTTGTTGTTGTTTTCACACCTAATGATGATTGCTTGTGTTGCAGTCGAAACGTCGTGAGACTTTTATTGTTTTATATTTTTATTATTTTATTGTTTCCCTTCTACGTGACTTTGCCGAAAGAACCAAGAATATGAATCCCTGCAGTCACGAAAGCTTTAAATCAAAATTTTCCTTTTGTTGTTACGTTGAATTAACCTGTGAAATGTTATCAAACGTCAGACACAAACACCTTCCCCCTGAACCGTTTAAGTTTGCGAGTTCATCAAACACTCATCTCTCATTTAATTGCGGATGCGTCTGCGTGGACGGTACCTGTAGGTGCCCTTTTTGCCGAGCATCTCCTTGAAGTGGGCCAGCGTTAGAGCTCTCTCCGTCACCGTTGTGCGATACGGGATGGGCTCGCCACAGAAATAGTAAGCCACCGCGGTGCCCTGTGGAGGCAACCGGCTGGACAGCGACCTTTTTGCTTTGCACCTGAAACGATCGCAAACGACACAGTGCCATCGGGCCTTTCAGAGCGATTTCGAAAACAGGAGGAGCAGTAAGCCACGGGCACTAGGCATGCAATGATTCACCTCCCACCCACGGTGGCGAGATGTGAACTCCTTCGCCTGGTATGCAAGAGGTCGTGGGTTCGATCCTGACCCTTAACCCTTTATATCTGGAGTTTGCATGTCCTCTCCGGGGCCTCCGGTTTTTCCCTCCACATTTAGAATCAACATGCATTGAGAGTATTTGGATATTCATATTCTTGTTTCTTTTGGGAAAGTCACGTAAAAGGGAAACAATAAAATAATAATAAGATGCTGTGTGTTGCTCTGGTCAAGGCATGGAGATATGAGTGGGTGTATGTGCTGTAGAAATCTGCTCTGCTGCTGGTTCTAATAAGGAAATATTTTTCTCTCCACAATTTGATTACTACTCATTTCACATCTCGAGACAAAGTGTCTCTTTAGAATTCTCACAGAACAGTGCTTCAACTCGTGATTAGAGTTCGACCCATGGAAAGGAATAGCTCAGAACTACTCCTTTTACTTGACTTTACCGAAAGAACCAAGAATATCAATCCCTGCGGTCACGAAAGCTTTAAATCAAAGTATTTGGGATACTATAAATTTCCACATGATCAGCCACTTCGTTGAGATATAATTTGTGGTTGCTTTTGAAATTAGCTATATAGCTCAGTGGGCCTTAGCTGGTGAACTAAAAAGTTTAGTTTAGTGTAGGTAGATTCGATTTCATTTTTCGATTTAAAGCTTTCGTGATTGCAAGGATTCATCATCTTTGGTTCTTTCGGTAAAAGTCACGTAGAATGAGAATAAAATAATACATTAATAAAATAACACAATTAAATTCTCACGACGTTTCGACCACAACACAAGTGGCCTTCTTCAGGTGAAAGGAACAAACCTGTCGGGACGACAGAGCTTCAAAGATTCGATTGTCATAATTCGGGGCCACACTGATATTCAACACAGAACACCCCTCCATCCGGCGTCCTAATACCTAATAGTCGCAGCAGCTTCCGGGTCTGACGAACAACCTATTATTCACATCCCTGTTCCTCCCATTATTCGCGATTATTTTAACATTTTTCACACAAGTCTTTGCGGAACAGCATCCTATATTATCTGTGATTTTTTTTTTCGTGGATAAGAGGAGCTGTATAGCAAAAAAAGAACCATCCTGTTCAATCCATGTATATCCTGTTCAATCAGGGTTATTGTATTATGTTGAACTTCTTTCGCAACGAATGTAGCCAACCGTGCCAATTGGAGGGGCGGGGGAAGCACAAACAAAATAAACACAAAAAACAGTTCTAAAGTTCATGGATCCTATAATCCGCATATGATTCCACAGATAATAGGATCCATGAAATGGGACACCAAAATTACCGCGGACAACAAGGAGTTCTGTGCTGGGTTTTTTTTGTTTTATTATCGGAAACGTAGCACCTCCAGTGGCTACATGGGTCACGAGAGGTAACTGTATGACTTACGAATTTTGTATAATTCTCCTGTATACAATTCCATTGCATGTAATACGGGCATAAAAATTCACATGAATGGATGAATCTTTACATGACTAATGGGACCCATGTCGCACAGCGCTACGAACCCCGCGTGAACTGAGATCGCTTCTCGGACAAGGCTAACATTGGTGGCGAGTCGAATCTGAACCGGTCCCTCACCAACCCACACTGGCCAGCGCGGTGAAGTATGGTCACTCGTTTTATCTGAAAATTATGTTGTTTTTGCCATACAGACGGACCCACATCATTTAGAATAACAGCAGCTCTCGGTTTCAACGGGCACGTGGCTCTTCGAGCACTACATCCTACTCACGCGTGTGAGGCTTTGGGGTTCCCGCCAGATTCCCTCTTTCCGCCGAGCTGTGGGAGCCAAACATGTGCGCCATCCAGGTCGGACTCCAGGGGGGGCAGGCAGGATGCCGCTGCCGCCGCTGCCGCCGCCGTCGTCTCTGTGAAGGCCCCGCCGCTTTCCTCGTCCTCGCGAGACGTGTTCTCCAGGGGCGTCCTGGGGAACCAGCCCTGCGGCGCGTCTCTGCAAAGTTTAAAGGGTGCAGCCCAACAATGACTTTCCCATTCCACTGCTGGTGGAAGAGCCTCCACGAGAGAATGCTCTAGAGAGCCCATTTTAAGAGGTAAATTCAGTCTTAGAAGAGGTGGGAGAGACTCAAACTCCACCCTTCTCTCTCTCTCTGTGTGCTTGCCAATGGACTAACTTGGTGCATATATTTATGCCACTTGGTGGTCACATCGAACCGGCGACCTCTGGATTGCAAGTCAGGTGTGCTGACCATTACAACACTGTGGCAGAATCCCAGACACAACCTATACATTAAAAATTACCATCCTGAGGTGACTGGCTGGTGCAAGTGTCAAACACAATGAGCCAACACTCTGAATCTAGGTTTTAGCCACTCACCCATGATTAAATTGGGTTCTCAAGTGTAGCGAGTTTATGATCTCAGCCTGGTAACCGATTACTTTACGCAAAAAAAAGTATACATTTGGTTCCTCACTGAAATTGGCAAAAAAGAATCCAACTCTTGAGACTGACTATAGCAGGACACATGGGAAATTGTAACGCCTCCAGTGTGGATTAGAAAAGGTTGCTTGAAGAGATCTCCGAAGTAGTTCTGAGCTATTCCTTTCCATGGGTCGAACTCTAATCACGAGTTGAAGCACTGTTCTGTGAGAATTCTAAAGAAACACTTTGTCTCGAGATGTGAAATGAGTAGTAATCAAATTGTGGAGAAAAAAAAAATATTTCTTATTAGAAACAGCAGCAGAGCAGATTTCTACAGCACATACACCCACTCATAACACACAGCATCTTAGAGCTCTGAATAGACACCGTTTCATCATATGACACTGGTAGCACTACTGTAATAACTTAGCATTTCCCCCAAATTATATCATCGCTTTCAAAGAGTGAACCATTGTAGACTGCTCTCCTTCAATGAAGGAATAGCAAAACTACACAAACTCTCCCCTGAAGCCCTCTAATGGCTAGCAATCCTCAACAATGGCATTTAGCTACTGAATAAATTGCCATATGGAAGAGAATCATCTCTTTCTAAACACGGTTGATAGATCTGTTTTTCTGTCTGTAACAGGGAGGTACTAAAACTATCACCTCGATGATCCAATTTGGAATCAACCTGTAGTATAACGTTCTGTCGCCATTAAGGACCAACTCTCTTGAAAACAGGCCAAGTAGATCTAAGGGTCACCTAAAATTCGGGATGACCAAGCTAGAGTAAAAAAAAAGTGCTATTTGCAAAGAACGTATTTTACCCTGACAGCTACCCGTCGGCTTCTGTGGTGCGAATGAAATACTTCCGAAGACAAATGCACATGAGAAAGCGAAAACGTAGACCGTACGTCGGCCCAGCCTGTTGGGACTGCTGCTGTGACACAGCTAGCGCACCTGCACCGCAGGCGCTCAGCCAGCTCGTCCGGCAGGCCCACGCTGTCGATGCCCGTGCGAGGATCGCTCGCGACCCGGCAGGCGTCAGCCCCGGCCTTGTACCGCACTCGCCTCGTGGCCTCCATCTCCATCTCCTGCAGGGACCGCCCGCTGCGGCCTCCTCCGCCGCCACCCTGGTGGTGGTGGTGGTGGTGATGATGGTGGTGGTGGTGGTGGTGCATGTGCTGCGAGACCTGCCTGTAGTGGAACGAGTGCACTGTGCTGACGCTAAGAGACGACTGTATGCGGGGAGGGGAGCGTGCAGTGGGGGACTCAGGGAGGGTCTGGTTTGTGGGGGCCCCTGCTTGAGCCACGTTATTACGAGCCCCCCGGGGCCGCTCAGGGCCACTGCCGGCGTGAGGCAGTTGGCACACCAGCGTTCGTGTCACGTGCCCGTCGAGAATGCTCTCGGTGCACTCGTCGTCGTCGCCGTCGTCTTGCGGAACGTTTTGCGGAAGCGTCGCCCTGCCATCGGAATGGGCGGAGGTTCCTCGGGAGGAATGCGTGGGCTGGGAAGAGCTTACAGGGTGGCGGGCCATGTCCATGGGGCTTCCTGTTCCATCCGCCCACTCGCCTTCCTGCAGCAGCACAGAACAGGTGATGGGCTTAAGCTGAAAATTCTCAACCCACTAATATCATCAACGAGCAAGGCACACGGCACTCGGTGGCGCATAGTGAATGGGAGTGGAACCTGAACTTGATAGCACTGGGTGTGCGTGGTACGAGCATGTCCAAGTTATGCCAGCGTGGGGTCGTCATCATACGGGTGATGTTCCACTGGCTATTTGCCAAGCTGAGGCTGAAGCAAAACGTGAAAATCTGGCCTCACTTTATATCCGAATCTGGCTCTCTGTGCCAAACAGGGCCACGAGGCTGAGTTAATTATTTTCGCCCTTCGAAAAACAATTAGCGGCACGGCTCGGGTATCTGCAAAGGAAAAACAAACTTGGACCTCCTGAGCTGCGGCCACATTGTTACGCGACTGTGCAGTGGAAAAGAAGTAGGAGTTAATTTGAGTGCAATTTAATGACCAATGCTGCAGCTATAGAGCGTGCATCTGGTTCCAACTGCATTCGAGCCCACGGGTTGGAGAGGTAAAAATGGACAGCGGGCCCCACTTTCATTCCTTGGACTGACTGGGGCCCATGCCAGCCATGCTACGCGGCTAACGGTGACGCTGGGTGCTACTGGGTGGTGGTACTGAATGATGGTGGTGCTGGCTGGCGATGGCTGGTGCTGAGTGAAGCTAGACACTGGGTCGCATTGATTGCTGGGTGGCACGTGGATACTCACTGCCTGCTGCTCCTCCAGGCCCCACTGGAGCCTCCGATCCCTCTGTAGGCGCTCCAGCCGAGCGGTCAGCTCCGCGGCAAACCTCGCCGGGTTCATCACGGCGTCCTTCATCACCTGCCGGGCCCTCTGGGCAAAGTGGTGTCATCACCTCGGTTACAGCAGTTCGTGTTTATAATGGGTCCCAGATATGACATCATTACCATTTTATATCCACACCGCACCACCCATGCAGCACATCCCGAGATACCCTGAAGCAGTGGACTCCTTCTAGCAGCTGTCCCACAAAGACAACGATCCCCCATGTAGCCTTTAACAGACTGTTGGGGCAAGTTCTCTAAGCCAGCACCTATGTAGGCCACCACGGCACCTGAGTGGATAGCAAACACCACGCCTGGCCACCTTTGGCTCCCCAGTGCTGATGTTTACACACTGCACCAAGTACACATTTAAGGCCGAGTAGACCTCGAGGAGGCTCTGGATCAGTTCAAATATTCTCCGCTGTTATTGATCGCGAGTGGGAATCGAACTTGGGTCTGCCAGGTTCATAGTGCAGTGCGCTAACCACTGAACAACCACTCGCCACTCACAAACCTCACACCCCCACACAAGCATGCACACACTGTTTAGTGCACGTGTATGTCGTGCACAAAAACATTCTACTCCCAATGTTGCAACACCGTGACCCGTTACGATCGTCTCTGGTTAAGAGATCAAAGGGTGGCCTCTAACCTGCAATAGTCACTTAAAAGGCCGTCAAAGTGCCTGCCATAACTCTGCAGGCCTTCTCAGGCTGTTGGAAAGGTGCTCTGTCGTTTACAACACTGCTCGACTGCACAGTAGAGGCCGCTTTAGGGACTGCTTTATCACACACGGCTGGGATCGCAAAACGCTTTAGCGGCAAGCAGAGACAAACTTAAAAGGTGCAGATTCAGACGGGGGGGGGGATCTATGGCAAGTCTGTCGTGTGTCATGGCGCAAACGTCGCATTGTTCAGGCGGCCACGTTTGGCATTTTACTCGGCTCTTCGCTCACTTCAAAGTGGGAAAACTGAATATTGCAATTTTACTTTAGGAATGTGCTGGAGTCTTTTGTTCACGCGTAAGAAGGCGTACCTTTGTTGGAGGACGTGTTATGTACAAAGGCAATGATTTAAAACCTTTTCAGAGGAATTATTGGGTGAGGAGTTGAACATTAAAATTAACCACCTTTGAAGCTTGTAATGGACATGGACATGAGGAATGCTACAAGTATAATGTGTCAGAGCCGTGAGGTGATACTGCTGAGATCCTTAGTTTAAATTTGGGGTTTGTGCTGCTCGTGATGAAACTGGGTTTCTCAAGTGCATTTTAATGTGAAGTTATTTTTGTACATTTTTGTTTTATTGGTTTAATCGTGTATTTTTTTCCCACCAAATGTTATCCCGATTGTGCTATGAACAGAATATCATGAGGCAAATAATTCATTCGGATCTGTCGCAAATCAGTGCAACCCATTGTGTAAGACAATGCCCCACAGAAGTGGATTTTATAGAGCTGCCTCTGAAATGCCTTGAAGTGACCTATGGTCCACAGAGTAGATGGCAGCACACTGCTACCCACTGTGCTACAGTGGGTAATGTTCGTTACATGAAATTCAAACCAAAATTTTTAATTATCGGAGCAGGAACTTAGAAAAATCAAGTACAAAACCAAACTTAGTGTCAAAGTAACCAGGCTGAGCCAATCAGCTCACTACACGTGAGAACCCATGTTTAATCACAGGTGGCTGCCTGGATTTTAACCTAGAATCTCAGCGGTGCAGATCCTCTGAAGCCCACTTCAAGCGGCCCTGCTTTGAAATTTGATTTTAGGATGTGACTCACTTTCATTCTTTCCTCCATGTGGCTGCTGCTGCTGCTACTGCTGCTGCACCAAGCCTGCTTCTGTCCACACTTTAATTGGTCTGGATCGAACATTTTTCTGCGATTATTTGGAAAAAGAAAGTTAACGTTTTAATTTCTCTATTACAAAAGCCAACGTTGTGGTAATTTGTGTTCATAAATGGTGAAGGTTATTGGTGGCGGTAAATTGATTCGGTAAACAGTTATGATCAGAGCTGTGGTGAATTACAGTTGCAATTACTGGAGCATCATTATCTGAAATTACAATTGCGAATATATTGTGATTGCAATTCAGTGTGAATGACTAAATAACAAAATGAATTGCCTCTTGGGTCGGGTAATAATGAAACATGAAGTAAAATAGGATGTTAAATTTTGATGTTATATATAAGTAAATTATTTTGACGGGGTTTTCCAAAACTCCACTCATCAGGACCCACCACGGTACACCTTTCCGAGTTTACCTATTTACCGCTATTCAAATACAAATCAACTTATAACATGCCGAATGTGCCCCATGATTGCTAAACATCGTCCCGCGTGCTGTCGAGACTGGTTCGTGAGTGTGTACGTGAGTGAGAGGCGTTGTGTGGGGAGCAGCAGTGTAGCGGTTAGCGCACTGTGCTACGAACCCGTCGACCCGAGTTCGATTCCCACTCACGGCCAACACCAGTGACAATGATCTAAATCGGTCCTGGGCCTCCCCTAGGTCGACTCAGCCTCAAATCAATACTTAGTACGGTGTGTAAACATCACCACTATGGAGACAAAGGCGGCCGGGCCTGGTGCTGGCCACCCACCCACTCGTGTACCGTGTCAGCCTTCATAGGTGCTCGCTAAGAGCACTTGCCCCAACGGTCTATGAAGGCTATATGGCGGATATTTGTCGTTGGTGTGCAGTAATCATTATGCAGCATAGGTAAGGGTAATTGTGGGGGATGCTGCCATGGTGTAATTTAGCATTTATCAGGCACGTGCAGCATGGAATAACTAAATTTGTACTTGAACCGAGAAAAACAGGTAAACTCAGGTAGACCTACCAGATGGATCTACCATGGTGGCTCATGAGGAATGGAGTCTGGGAAACCCGGTGCCAAGGTAAACGTTCACGTCAAATGGTGCCCGTAATTAAATAACGCTAAAGCGAAGACGGCAAAATTTGCAGCGTTGAACGGCGACGTGAACGACGACGGCGGATGGCCGCGAACCGGCGACGCAACACAGAAGCAAAAGCAGTGGCAGAACACGCACGCGAGGCTTTTGGGGTCCGAATCCCTTGGACGCCCACTCGTGCAACTCGGCCAGCGCATCCCGCTGCTCGCCTCGCTCGTCCTGCCGACTTCACTGCTCTCGTTCGCGTCGTCGCTCGGTCCGGCCGCGTCGCTCCCGCTGCTCGCTCCCAGCGCCGCGGGATCGACTCCCTCCCGCCACTCCGCCAGGCTTGGCGGGTCCCGCGGGCGCACCCAGGCACTGCGGGCCCGCGGTCACAGCACAGCGCTTCCATTACGAACCCACCGCGCCACGTAACCGAGAAGACGCCAAGGGCCGTGGAATTGTTGTTTGAAATGTATTCTCGTGCCCGACGAATATATATTCTCACGCTCAGAGAGGCATGCATCGCGGTATATGGAAAATGAGTCCGAACAAATTACCCAACAGACTGTGCCCCATCTCATCGGATCTTATAACCAAAATACCTTGCTGATCTCGTCAAGGAGCAAAAAACCATCACACAAATCTGGTCATCCCCGTAGTGGCTTTTGGCTAACCATCGAACATAGATGGTCACTACACAGTGTGTTTTCAGATGCGTCTCTGCGCCCATCTGGAACGCTCTTCCTTCCGATATTAGGAAGCCACTTGAGCCATGCACTTTTAAATCTAGATTGAAAACCCATTTCTTTAGAACTGCTTTTTGTATTTAGTTTGTGGTCCTTCCCCCGCACGTCCGATCAGCATGGTTGTCTATGTACGGTGCGAAAGGTCAACATACAAACAAACATCTTGGAAGATAACCAGGCTTGAGCCGAGATAGTGCTTAAATAGGGAACCACCTTGCACAGCTTGTCGTCACAGGCTGTTATGGGTAGCAGAGGTGAATGTGGCACAGTCAATTTTTGCAATGCACTTACGCTCTCACGTCCATGCTCCCCTCCTTGACCAATCCGCGCAGACCGGCGTGGTGAAGTACGGTAAAACAACCCCCACGACCCGCACGGCGTGGGAGGGCCCTCATCCAGCAGTTAATTGATAAAAGGATGCAATGTGCAAATGTAATAATTAGGCTAACAAAACTATACGGAAAATATTATTACCTAACACAATGGACATGGTGAAAACAAGACAAAAATGAATCGGTAATTTTAACGATTCTCAACCCTAAATTATGACAATCATCGAATTGTCATGGATGCCTCCCCACACCGTGTTGATCATGGGTTTTGTTTGACCATACTTTGCCATTGATGTTTGCCATGACCGCGAATTTAACCCGGGAAGCTGGGTTTGTGGCACAGTGAGTCAACCACTACATTGCAAATATAAAGTAAAATAAAAAAAATCACTTTTGAAATGCACTTTCAGCGTATTTCTCTCAATTACAGATGCAAGTGGCCAGCTGAAGAGATAGCTCAGCGGAAGAGTCAGCGTCTTGCAATTGGAAAGTTTTGAGTCCAAATCCTGGTTGGGGGTTAACTCGGGTCATCATCCTCCCAGGGTTGATTAAATAGGTACCGCTTTGTGGAAAAAAGTAAACAGTGATTATCTCATGGTTAGGCTCAACCCCGCCATAGGAATGTGGACTTTCTGCCACTGGATCAGGGCTGTAAATAAGAGGATGAACACTACCTCGATGCTCAATTCAGCAGGAAATCACTTTTGACTGACTTTTTTTTGAGTGGCCAGCTGTGCACACCGGCCAGGAATCCCTTGTGTGGAATTCTCAGAACTGCCCCAGGTCTTAGCAAACCCAGGCCAGAGGGAGCTCAACACGACATCTCAATTTGCTCAATAGCACCGGCATGGCCAACGTAGCACTCGAGTGCTTCAAACATTAACAGCAGCTGGGAAAACACTCGACTGTAGCATAAATGTAGATAATGGGTAAAATGTGGCATCCTTTGAAGTGGCTCGGTGGTCTAAAGCTGCAGGATCAAAAAGCACCCCCTCCCAACCCCCCACACCCCGCCCAACCCCCCCCCCCCCCTTTTCATACTCGGTGGCTTGAAACGGAGATTAAGGAGGCATGGGCCTGTTTGTCAAGCCAGTTCGTTGTCATCGTTTCCTATATCTGCCCGCGTCCTGATTGTTCTGTCGCGTGAACTTAATCTTACCGCATTATATAAAGTTCTCACTATGCCCTCATCTCCTGAACCATTACCTCTCATGTCCAAAACTCTTCCGCATTCGTGATCAATCTCCCATTCTCCTATGAAATTTCACACCATCGTGGTGAGAGTGTTTGACTCACATTCAGATGGTCGTGAATTAAAATCCTGGCTGGAGGTCAACTTTGCCTGTCATATCTTCGGCATCAATAAAATAATTGGTGATTCAATGATCGCAATTCTGGACCATGACTTGATTCACAGATCGATGTTTCCTTCTACTTGTAGGACACTGTAGTTCCCTCTCTCGTGGCTGCAGGGATCACGTGACCTAATTTAATACAACAATACCAATGTCTTAATCAGCCATGCCGGACGAAGGCCCCTCCTCCCATGTTGTTGCCAACCCTCACGGCCCTACGATGCCACAATATATTTCACTCCCTGCGCATTAACCGATCCCAATGTTCCACCTCCATCATGGTTGGTTGGCGTCGTGTGCGTTCTCTCCTGGGGTTGCCACTTCCATCACCAGTCTCATCCATCTGCCATTGTCCAATCCCAACGACGTCTCCTTGCCGAGGCCTGCTCGCCATTTCTTAACAGTAAACATTACGTCTACAATGTGCGTTTATATTCTCTGAGCCATGCGTTCGTCCTTCCATCTCTTGGTGTAACTCTGAGCATGCATATGTTCATCCTTTTATTGGCAATTGTTTAGTTTTTGTTCTGTTCCTTATCAGATTCATTCCAGGTAATGTGCCCCGATTTAAAACAACACAAACAAATATTTTGTATGTGATGACTGTTCGGTTATCGTGAGCACCAAAATGTTTTTAATGCATGGTGTTGAACTCCTGTACCACTCAGTGTGATGTGAACAGCGGTCATCCTATGTGAAAGACTGGCACACACCACCATGGGAACTTTATAATTATTATACCCCTTAGCAACTTTCTGTATCCAAATTGTACTGTGCCGATGTCAACAACAGACGTGCCTGACAATTTGGTCTATCAATCATGCCACTGTTAAGCCGTTCTATGCATTCTATGTATCCCAGGTCTCTCCCACAATGCGCCGTCTGTGTCTCAGTGGGTTCTCCCGAAGGTTATGAAGTGTTATAATTCTTACTAACATCATTATCACATGCCTGTGCTGGCGAACACAATAGTGTGTGCTAGAGGGCTGTGGACAATGTAGCTTCTCAAGAGTTTTTTTAAAAATAAAAATATTGAAATAACTGACGTTATCATTTGGAGAGAAATACATACATACTACAATGACGATGATTAATTTGCAACCTTTTGTCAATCGACGGCTGGATAAAGGCTTCCCCGTGCTTTTCAGTCATGGAGGTTGTAGACCATATTTCACCACGTTGGTAAGTGCAGCTTGGTGAAGAGGGGGACCACAGATCGGTGAAGACATCACACGGCATTGATGTTAGCTAGGGCTGGGAATCACACTCGCAAGCGAGGTGTTCACAGCACAGAGCACCAACCACTGTGTCACCCCCTCCACCACAGCACTTCAATGATAACTGTAATTTATTAACCGGCTGGGTGACTCAGCAGTCAGGTGCACGGCTTGCACGCGGAAGTTCGAGAGTTCAAATCCCAGCTGGGGTTTGGCTCAGCCCTTCAACCCTTCGAGGCCAAGAACACAAGAACTATCCCATCCATAACAATGTGGAATTTCCACCACTGGCTCAGGGCTGTATCGAGGAGATGAGTGCATTTTCTCAATTTGCGTGGGAACTCAACTTTCCTCCTTTTGATGCTGCAATTTAAGTATCCAAGCAGAACGTAGCCGAGTGTTGCTGTGCCTGGAGGGGCTTAACTCGAAATTGAAACGGTGGCTGCTCCACGGATAGGCTGGGACCCGCGATAGCAATGATAGACATCCACTTCTGGTTCCAGGGCTGTCAATGGTGCTTGGCACCCGCCCCAAATTCACTTAGGCAGGCAAATCTTGCCTCACTGATTCTCAAGATTATTTTCTCGGAGGGCACCCGCATTGATTGGGATGCTCGCCGAACTATTTTTTTTCCTCTGAGTATTTTGCGAGAAGACCGACGGCGATCGGCACAGTTGTGGTCAGGAACCCACTTTCTGTACTGCTACTACCTCCGAGTCACCTCACACAGCCCATCAGCACACTAGGATGTCCCTCTCTCTCTGGCTGCGCGATCCACCCACTCTCCACCCGGAGCGCCACCACGCCCCGACACTTTCATTGTGGCACGCCGATGTGGCGCAGTTCATCGTGCCGCAGCAATAAAGAACAAAAGGGGTTTGATCTTTACAACGGCGTTAACAGCGGCCATGCGACATATGCGCCTCTCGTAATAAAGTTGCTTTTGGCAAGACTTCAGAAAGTTCGCTCCTCCGGTGTACGGCTCCCGAGTTCAAAGACTTGGGGCACAAGTTCTTGGGTTCAGCAGCCAAAACAGGAATACAACGATTCTATATCACTATTTGTTTGTTCCTTGCCTGCGCTGTGTTATTTCCTACAGACTACAAGGGCCACGGTGGGGGGGGGGGGTTATCTCGCTCCGGGAATCAGTAGCCTTCAAGCCATGTGCTGCAACTTATATTTCCATACAGTTTTAGATATGTAACAGTTTGAATCTTCAATTTAAAGAGAGGTGGTGGGGGAGGGGGTCGTGGGAGGGGATTACAGGATAATTTATTGATGAAATTATAAGATTCAGGGACACGTGTAAGGGTTTAAAATAGGCCTTCAGTTTTGTGTGCGGTGTTTTTTTATGCACTACATACAAATTCCTCTAGAGGGAGCTCCCGAGAGCTCCTTCTATTGGGGGTCCTTCCGCCAGCAGTGGTGAGCGAGCAGTTGCAGGGGCTGCACTTTCGTACCACATAGAGGAATTAAATATTTTAGTTATATGCCTTTGAAGGCAAAGATTTTACAATGTTAATACAGGCAACGTCAATATATGCTTTTGGCCCAAGCACTTAAGCATTGAAAAATCTGTCAAGGGTCCGTGTAACCCATCATCCCTTGCTACCCATGCATGTTTTACTATGGGCAGCACGTAATGGACTTACCGACCATACCATTGGTTTATGTGTTTTTGTATAAACGTTTAATGGCTATTTGAATTACATAATTGACATTTTATTTGGCAGTTGAGGATTATGCTTTCTAATTGAGCCAAGGCGCATGCTGCACCAATGTCGGTGTTTGGGCAGGTGGACTCTAGTGACGGCACTGCATTAAATTAGCGAAACGCGGTCAATGCATCCGTCTGCCATTTTGGTCGGTTACCCCCTAATACCTAGGTCGATGGTTGTCATCCACGCATGCATTATTAACACGGGCGGTGCATACATCAGATGGGTCTACTCAGAAAATGTTTGACTATTTCTGTTCACCTGAACCTGACAGCTTGTCAGCGAATCTTCGTCACTCCGTGCCCTTGGCTTGGCAGCGACACCACGGTGACGTCACTGCCACTCGGTGAAAAAGATTCTGCGCGTGGCGAGCTCTTACCTTCTCCCAGCCTTGTCATGTGCCGACTTCTCCCCGTCTCTCCTCTGCTCCGCTTCCACCACTGCTGCCGCCGCAAGCCGTTGCACGAACGTCACGGCTCTGCCGGACGCTTGGAAGGATGCGCAGACCCCGCGCTCCCGTCTCTCCTCCCCGCCGTAGCAGCCCCCTCGAGGCCCCAGGACCAGCGCCTCGGCCCCGGGCCCTGGGCTGTTCCCGCCTGAGCGCGCGTACTCCGCCAGGACGTCGGACTTGAGAAAGGCCACGTAGGCTCCGGCCTCCAGCGCCGCGTGCACCTCCCCCTGCGCCTCGTCAAGCAGCGACAGCTCTGCCCGGCCGCTCTCCACGCCCCGGCGCACGCGGGCCCGCGTACCCGGCGATAGGAGCTGGGACACGGTGCCGCGCCCGTCGCCGCCCTCGGCCAGGTACCTTCGGTGAATGGCACGCGCCAGCCCGAGCCGCCGGCCGCCGTCGGCGTGGCCTAGCCTGCGGTAGCCGGCGCAGGCGAACCAGAAGTCGAGCATGTCCTCGGAGCTGTCGCTTGCCAGGAAGGCGCGGAAGAGGCTGGCGCCGTCGCAGTCCTCCAGCAGTGTCTGCAGAGACTCTCCCCACAGCGGGCACGGCACCGGCGGCGACGCGCTGCCCTCTGGCTCGTTCGACCGGCGTGCCGATGTGGGGCTCCCCGGAGATGGTGACGATTGCACCAGCAGCACCGTCTGAATTGGCTTATGGACACTTTGCTGCACTGCCGCTGCCGTTCTTGCTGCGCATCGATATTTGGCTCCTTTCCCTTCTTCCCCTGGCACCGGCGGTCTGAGCGTATCCTCCGTGAAGAATGAGCTGGCGTCCGCGTGGAGCATCGCGTCGCAAGCAGCGAGCATGCGTGCACGCGCTCGAAGCTCTAACGTGGTCAACGGCAACAAGAATAATAACATGAATTAAAATGGAATAGAGCTTAAATGAAAAACAGTAACATCCATTCCCAAGACAATGTGGAAACGTCGTCGACAAAACCATATAGAGGTGCTCTCTGGAGCTCCATTTCCCCCCAGCAGTGGTGGAAGCAAGCACAATTGCAAGGCCGTACCTTTACCATCAAAGAAAGAATAAACAACAGCATTGTCAATGCATTCATGTCGGTGTCTTCATGCTCACTCAAATGGGCGATTTTACCAACCACCACCACCACCATTTATCGCAGAAGAGCGGTGACGATAGTGGTTTCGGTAATGGTACTACTGGCAGTGGTGGTGATTATGACACTGATAGTCGACCAGATGATGCTGATGGTAGGGACACTGATGCTGGGGATCATGATGTTGATGATGTTTATGTGGTGGTGATGAAGGGGAGGATGATGCTGAGTCAACTGTGGCTGGGACTTCAATGTACTTTGGGACCCCTGCCATTCTACCAACTGTGCTACATCCTGGTTGTCTACACACATTACACATGCACAAACAATACTACAGTGGACGGTATACCACGTAACATGTGCATATATTGGAAGAAAAAAACTAAAAGTTCAGAAACTTCACTCGCATAAGGATACATGGTCAAATATATAAACAATCACCTTCGTTATACGGACTTGCGATGGAAGATGAGTTACGGCCATAAACATGAAAATAAGTGATGCTGCTCTTTGCCCGGGAAAGTCTCAGTCTAAAGAGAGACTCTCTTTTCACGCGGGTCCTGCATTGGGATATTTGGCCAATTCCATACATGAGCGGATGTGGCTTCGTGTGGGATCGCGTGGAAGGAACTGCCGAGTACCCTGAGAGAAGGAAAAAAAACCCCTACAGATGAGAGGGGCGACGCTCAAAGCTTCCGCACGGATAGAATCAAGAATCCATTGCTGATCTGTCAACTCCTGCCCCCGTTCAAGTACCAACCAGTTTCCAGCCTGCTTAGCTTCGGACATCGGACGAGAGACCGGGCGCATTCAGTGACGTTGATGGCATTACCGTGCACGTGTACTCGGATGTATAGGACGCATGCTGTATGTGCAGTCCTTCATATGCTGTACATGCACATGACTTAAGTACTGTATAAACACACTTTAGCAATAATTTACACGTACAGTACACAGTTTAGGCACATACACATGGACTTGATACAGTCTATTGAGCACTGTACGTTGTGCACATACAGTAAACATACTGTAGATACATGGTGCAGCATTACTATGAAGTGCACCTAGCCTGGCACAAGCGCCCTGGTGGCGTCACGGCCACTTAGTGGTGAACAGATGATGTTGTACAATATGCAGTCGAGGACGCAGCGCCGCGGCACTTTAACGGCATCGTCTACAGGGGCCGCCCATAAATGACGTCACGCGATTTTGGACGATTTTTGACCCCCCCCCCCCCATCGTCACACGGCGTCACAAAAAGTCAGACCCCCCCCTCAAATATGACGTCACAAAGCTCTGCCCCCCCCCCAAATAAAACATGCTTAAAATCGCTTTAAACTATTGTCATTGTAGTGCGTATTTAATGTGGCGCTGCACTCTGATGTTGTATGAGAAAACATTTATTAAAAAGTCTATTTAATTAAGTAGAACGTGTTGTCTATGTATTTATTTAAAGTTGCGCGATTTGATGTGACGTCATATTTCTCACCACCGCCCCCCCCCCAGGTACGTGACGTAATTTATAGACGGCCCCACAGTCCCAACAACAGTACCACGTGTACACACACACACATGAGACAATACACAGCACGACAACTGCATCATATATCAAGGTGCACTGCTGCATTGTTCACAGTACACAAGGGGGGGGGGGGGAGTGACAGCACCACGCCCGGCCGCCTTTGTCTCCCTCCCAGTGGCGATGTTTACACACCGCGCCAGGTGCTCATTTCAGGCTGAGTCGACCTAGGGTGAGGGCCTTAGGACCGGTTCAGATAAATCGCCACCGGTGTTGTCCACTGCGCCACACCGCTCCCCCAGCGGCGCACACGGCAAACAAAGACAAAAGATCCACACAGCCATGTAGCCTCAACAGACTGTTTGGGACAAGTGCCCCGTGAGTGAGCAACCTGTGGTCCTGATGGCGGTACCACGGGGTAACCAAATAAGACAAAATTGCCGAGGCAACTAAATATGTTATTTCTGGGGACACTGATTTTTTTTTTCCCAGGGGTGTACTTCAATCCGCTACTGGGGTACCAATCGATCCGAAATCAGTGCCACACTCCGCGATCTCGAAACGCCAAACGTCAGCATAACAAAATCCGTTGTCGAAAAATTAAACTTTGAAGAGTGCCATCGTGTACAGCTCGTCGAGATGAGTCGATTGCCGCATCGTCGACCATGAACTATATTGAGGTGGGGGGGGGGGGCTGGCTGGCTTGCTTGACCATACTTCACCACGCTAGTGTCAGACGGACGTCTTCACCCTACTGGTATCGTTGTTGTACACAGCGTGCGGCATAGTCACGGGCAGCATCGCCTGCTGCTGCTGCTGCATGAGCAACGCACACAGCCGCCCCTTGCAGCTTGTGGTACCAGCTCAAGACTGTGACGACGACGACGATGAATCTGGCTGTCGCCTGATGAAGCTAGTTGTAATTACTGGCGAAACGTCGTACTCGGATTGTAAATGTCGTGGCTTGGCTCTCCAAAACGCCGGTGTTGTTGTACTGGTGTGACGAATTGACCACGTTCTGTTTACGTGACAAACATTACTAATTGGCTGTGTCGGGTGGTGTCGGCTTTAACGACACATTTATATATTTACGAGATCTTACCCCCCCCCCAAATAAAAACCTGTATTATGTAAGAGGACGACGAATGATGACGATGATGAAGACGAATGTAATTAGGGGTGATGGGGCACAGCCAGCAAATTAATTAAGACGGCGGGAGAGCGGTGGTGGTGGCGGCGGCGATGATGGGGGAAGGGGGGGGATTGAAGAACGTGAATTTGTCTACCATGGATCATCTGCAGGCGTTTTCTGCAATTTTCGATGGGTTTTTTTGTTGGTTTCTCTCTTTGTTTAAATTGTCGAGTCGGTGCTTACGCAGCATCGCGGATCTGCAGTGCAAAAAGATATCCGGGTAATTGCCTAAACGGGGTCATCAGTGTCACAAATACAAGGCACTCAAAACTCGTCTTGAAATACATTTGAAAGCAAGTGCTGTATGTAAGTTGTCCGTCCAACCTATTTTTTGCAGAACCGTATTACTCCCCAATGCAGCAATTGTTATTCTTCCATTGATTTACATTTAATCACACTTATTAGAGCCAATAAGGCAACACACTAAAGGGCTATTGTATTTGAGTTCACCAATGTACAAAATACAATTGTAAGCCAAGTGAAGGGTCCTTGATCTAGAAAAATCATCACGACCGACCCGGCAAGACGATTTTTTTGGTTTTCCCGGGGGGGGGGCTTAACTGCCAATCATCGTTCAAATGTATTAGGAAGCACTTTTAAATCCAGATTGAAAACTAATTGCTTTAACAACTGCTTTATCTGTTTAGTTTATTGTCCTTCACCCGCACCTCCGATTAGCACTGTGCGAAAGAAGTTCAACACACACACAAAGACAAAAGATCCCCCCGTATATAGCCTGCACAAACTGTTGGGGCAAGTGCTGTTAGCGAGCACCTATGAAGGCCGGCACCGTGAAAACACGAGGGTGTGGGTGGCCAGCACCACACCCGACCGCCTTTGTCGCCCCAGTGCTGATATTTTACCCACCGCACCAGGTACTCATTTGAGGCCGAGTCGACCGAGGGGAAGCCCAGGACCCGTTCAGATAATCGTCACTGGCGTTGACCGTGAGCGGGAATCGAACCCTGGCACGCCGGTGTTGGTGGCGCTAACCGCTACCACCACCTCTCTCCCCACACACAACGTCCTAAATCAAAGATCCCCCACCGCCCGTATAGCCTTTACAAGACTGTTGGGGCAAGTGCTGTTATCGAGCACCTGTGAAGGCCGCCACCGTGGCACACCGAGGTGCGGGTGGCCGGCACCACGCGCGACCACCAACACGCACACACACACACAAACCTACCCCCCCATGCAAGTGCCATCGATGCCCGGTGGCGGAGCGGCCCGAGCAAACGCCACCCGCACACGACGGGGGGTACAATTGGGTTGCCCACCTGGTGCCTCCGCCGGAGTTCGTTTCCACGTCGCTCCGCGCTCTCCGCCCCTTCTCACTCCACCTCTTCCCCCCTCTTCCTCGCCTTCTTCTCACCCAGGCTTGGAGGTGGACATTCACCCACGCCGCGCGACCAGGGTCCAACCGCCCCGGTCTCTGGAGGCAAGCAAGCTTGGGAGGGTGAGGTGGTCGTCTGGGGTAGGTAGGCAGGAAGATCTGTAAGCAGCTAGGAAGGTAGGTACGTATGTATTCATGCAGGTAGGTAGGTAAATTGATAGGGAAGAAGTGATCGTTATGAGATAAGGAGGTTGGTTGTGATATAAGAAGGTAAGCAGATAAGCAGGTAAGTAGATATGCAGATAAGAGATGCAGATAAGCAAGGAATAGGTAGATACGTGTGACGATAGGTGCGTAATAAGTTGGGTTTGAAGGTGAACAGGTAGCTGAGTGGATATGTAGGTATGAAGAAGATACATAGGCAGGCCGATAGATCGTTATTAAGGTAGTTAACGGGGATATAGGGGTGGAGTCGTGGCGTGATACATTCTAAAAAAAAATCAACAAAATCTCAGGCGCACATCTAGTTGTTGTTGTTTGCTGCTGATGACGATGACCACGGCGATGATGATGGTGGTGTTGTTGTTGCCGAGTTCACGCTGAGACAGAGAAGATCCCGGCTACGGTGTTACTCTTGTGTACACGTTTCCCCGGCGCTCACCAAGTGGCTCGCCTGTGCAAGTCTCGACCATACAAATGTGTCCGGCGTTGGAAAGAGGCGCATTTCCCCCGAGCGGCGGGCTGGCTGGCGGGCGTGGCCGTGGCAAGAGAGTGGGAGGGCGAAAAGAAGGGTGGCTTGCACTGGGAGGGGAGGGGAGAGGAGGAGGAGGGTAGCCGAGAAGACTCGACAGGTTGACTGGGTGTTGTGAGTATTGGGGCAATGAAAAGTTGGTGAGTCCATTGACTCTGAGGTGAGAGGGTAGCCACAACATTCTGGCTTGTCTCTCTCTCTTTAATCGGGCGTGGTGGCACACACCCGTGGTTCATGGAGCTTTGGAGGCAAGGATCGGTGGATCATGCATATTTGTGAAACTTCAAATCCTGCTGGGTTACGAGTTGGCACGGATATAGAATTACAGTGAGTGGATTATTGTATCGATCTGTGCAACTTTGCATGTTATTCAATTGTATCCGTGGGGGTTCCTCTGGGTACTCCAGTTTCTACCAACATACTAAACACTCATTATTGGTTGCAATTATCCATTTGAAAGTGTTTTTTTTACAAGTTATGATGCAGCCAAATTCGTACCATTATCCTAGAATCTCACACATTCGGAAGAACGCTGGCGAACAGAATGGCACAACGCAGACGTCCACAATAAACACCTAATTCGATACCCAAACATCGCACCTTATGGCTTTTACATTCCTCGAAGACACCGGTGTACCATAAAACGCATCAGAAAATGAACAGGCCGCTGCGCCCATCGCCTTCATGAATGGACAATGAAAGAAGCAACAATGCAACTGTCAAAATGCAATCCAAACTATGGACCATATAGTAAACCACTGTAATCCGCCCTCCTTCAACGGAGAAATAGCAAAACTGCACACACTTTCTCCTGAAGCCCTCTCGTGGCCAGCAGACCTCAATATTGGAATTAATCTCCTGAACAAGACCACAGTCAACTGTGGTCTTGTTATTGAGATACAGCCCCCCTTTGCACGAAGGTTTGATAAAACACCACTGGTTTGGGGCAAACACCTTCCCACACTCGTTTAAGCGTAGAGCCACTTTGGCTTTTAAAAAATATGACCGAATAAATATCATTACACAGCTAACAACGTACTGGGTCAACCCATACGGTTTGCGCGTATTCTTGTACAGGAAAATTTAGTTTTCAGGTCCATACGGCGTATAGCCGTTTTAATATGGGCAAATGTTTTTTTGTTTCTCCCTTGTGATGAGACTTTGTAGGATGAACGTTGAGATGTATAAGGGCACGGGGTGACCAATAAGGTCTGCATTGGTCCGTAATAAAGTAGGCACGGTATGTAACAATAACATTAATTTATCATTTAAAAAAAAAACCCCACACTTGCAATTGCTACAGTACGTATTATGACTGTACTAATGTACAGTATAGCACACCACCTCTTTAAGCAAAGATATCCCCAATGCTCAGGTATGAGTTTTAACCGTTAATGATTCACCCCGACTGGAGGCTTTGTGATTTGATAATTTGTCACGATTTATGGGTTGCTGTTTAATTCTAGTATTAATTATAAAGTCTCCTTCTGTCTCTCTTGCTTTATGAGCTGAAATGTATATAATTGGTATACATCGGAGGTCATCGATTCTTACACATGATTCAGTGCACGTAATTGAGTGAAAGAATCAATGTTGATTGATGACTAAGGGGGGGGGGGGGGGTCAGACATTTGTGACGATATGTGAGAAATGTGACTTCACATCAAAATGCGCAACTTTAAATAAATATAAACACGTGCTACTTAATTAAATAGACTTTTTGATAAATCTTTTCTCCTACAATATCAGAGTGCAGCGGCACATTAAATACGCACTACAATGACAATAGTTTAAAGCGATTTTAAGCAAGTTTTATATTTTTTTGTGGGGGGGGGGGGGGCAGAGCTTCATGACGTCATATTTGAGGGGGGTCTGACTTTTTGTGATGCCGTGTGACGAGGGGGGGGGGGGGGTCCAAAATCGCGTGACGTCATTTATGGACGGCCCTAATTACATAACATTGTAAATAAAGGAGTGCATTACGATGTCGCCATAACAATAACTTAATAAGAAATATCTAATTGAATTTGGAAGGTATTCATAATGTTATACAATGGATACATGGTCGGTATACTAATGCAATGGTGACCTAACTGCAGTACAAGATTAAGCCATTATCAATGGTACATTTTTAAAAATAAAAACTCACATTGGTCACATTCCCCACTGGTGGCAAAGGCCAGTGCCTCCTTTTTAACCATCTAATGAACTGGGTAAGTTACTTGAATAAACCACAAGAAATGAGACATTTATGAGGTGACACTACTTATGATTTACATTCCTGATACAATTTGACTACAATTTATAGTTCAGTACCAACTTCACAAGTCAAAGCATCTCCCCTTTCGAGTGAGTGTGAAACGACCGTGCTCATCTTTGGGAATCTTTGCGAATACAGAGCCAGTGATGGCAATTGCACATTGCTATTTTGCGTCCAGCCTCTAAATTGGTGATACTGAGCTGACCTACCACGAGGATTCGTATGGATTAACCTGCGACCAGCATTTTAACTTTCATACTATTTCAATAAATGTTTTCAGTGACGATAAGAAAATGTTTCAAAATTGTGACTAGGACAACCATAATTACAAAGCGAAGCAAGAAATAAAATCAAGTTGTAAAAATGCACGTTTATATCACTATATGTTTGCACTTTCACAGCATGTTTTTGAGCACCTGATAGTAAAGACAAATCACTATTACATGTTTTTTGTGGAAACACAACAAGCTTACTTGATTGTTTACTTATTTTCTAACAGGGGATTAAACCACATTCTTGAAATTCAGGTTATTATTTATTTGCACTACAAACATTGCAGACAATGACAAATCCTGTACTTTATTTACATTTGCATTGCAATCTTTGGATATATCTTGTAAATACACAAACGGGTCAATGCAATTGTATGACAATGCAATACAGTACAACCCTGTTCCTGTATACCTTTCGTGTTTTTAAGCATTGGATTAAAAAACCCCTTTGCTGATATTTGGATGGCTGATCCCCTTCATGCTATATTTTTGAATGTACTTGCCCTCGTAGTGCTACGCTCGCAGACTGTGTTGTTCTGAACACAGCCCCCTCCAATGGGATTTCTCCAACTTGCACAGTATTCACACGGACATTGAGTTAAATGTATTCGTGGGTTCATCTTTCATAGTGCACCACCGTAGGCGTGACACTGGATAAGGCATTGGAGAACACAAGTGAAGTACATTTTTATTTCACACTTTACATTGAGGTAAAAAAACGGCAACTTATATGACTGCCTCAAAGTGATTAACTTGGACCGCATTACTCAATGATTTATTCCATCCACGATGTAATGTTAATTGCCGCACATCTGCTGCCATTTCAGATGGCACGACCAAAACGGAATATGGCTTCCTCCCAATTTATAGCATGCTCTATCATTTGGCAAGACGACTCTGCAACAGAAACATGTCAAACTCAAGTATTATTAATGTATGACAATCTGCAAAAAATAGCAATGAATGCAATAAAGTAGTTTGCCTCTAGACAGCATGATGAGCATAACTTGTCCCATAACAGATTGTAAATATAGCATTAGCTTTTCGGTTGTTTTCTATACTTAGCAATTATAAATTAAATGACATGTTGCACTTTAACAAATAGTTGTGTAAAATAAAATGAGCACATTTCACTGAGTGCAAATTCAAATCAGTTTGACAAATGTTTTGTTTCTCCATTGACAAGAATATTATTTGTGAAATAGGTATACAAATACGAAAACAGCTCACTTTACAGTGCTCAAATAATCAATAACAGACAACATTTGCTTTGATGTGGAAGAATCTCAAAGATGTACGTTTTCCAATTTGTAATATTAATTTCATCAATTGAAATGGATTTTTTAGGATCACAATTCATGCATTGAATGGTGTGAGAATTGATTATTTAGATTGTATGCTAATTATATTCTCATGTTATATTTATAATGGAGAAAACACAATTGTAAACGGGAGAAAGTGAACAAGAAATACAAATAAGATTAGGAATGACACGAAGATTTACATAATCAAATGTAATTATGACCCCAAACTGTTAAAATAGAGTCAATGTGGATGAATTGTTACATGCTCAGTTATTACATCTGATTTTTTTAATACACTTGAAGTAAATCTTGCAATTAAGTATATTTTCTGCGTAGAATGTTAATGTACTCTTTGGTTCTATTCGGTAAAGTCACGTAGGTAAAAAATAAAACAAAAATCACGTTTCGGCCACAACACAAGTGGTCGAAACGTCGTGATATTTTTTGTTTTATTTTTTACCTACGTGTCTTTACCGAATAGAACCAAAGAGTATGGATCCTTGCAGTCACGAAAGCTTCAAATCTAGAATGGAATGTTAATGTGTTTACATAATGATGTATTAAATAATTATAACATCGAGTGCTTTTTTTTACTAAAAGGGCATTCATATTCCTATGTTTCAGATAAGCCTTTTTCATAAAATATCGTGGTTTAGACATTACTATAGCCTAATAATGTTTATGCTACACTACATCAGTGCCGTCCCATAATTCCCATTCAAGCCTGTCAGTTGAAACGTCAAAATCCTCCAAATCCACCCACACCATTATTTATTTAGTTTATTAGCATGTTATTCTCATTCACTAAATGAGAGTGTGAGATGTGATAGTGGGGTTGGTCAGTGGACATGATGGCAGTCTAAAATCAGATGTGTGCACTTAATTAGATCAATTGAAATGCACACATCTCATTTACTGTGCAGTTCAGTCTCCCAAGACGAAAACAATTAGGTGTAAATGAGCTACCACGTTGTGAGTAATGTACCAGCACTTCTCCAATTCATCCTGTATACAACACACAGTGGGCAATTCATGTCAGAAGGATTGTATCGTCTGGTTGTCAGCGGATTTTGAGATATCAATGTTGTTGGGATATGATACTTGAACCTTACACAGCTCGCAATCTGCAGCTTTAGTGACAATTATGGTGACCATTGGACACTTTACATGTTTAATAACAATTACTGATGAAGCAAGAGAGTAATGCCTTGCAATGTGATCCACTCAAAAAAAAGGTTTTGTTGATGCTCATTATAAACCTGTGTTCTCACCATTGGACAGTGAGTCTTACTTGTGAATGATATTTGCCATGATACATGTAACGATATCTGGAATTGTGGAATAGTGGCCCAATGCCAGTGGAAATCCTATATTGCCATGGTATGGGACTAGACTTATATAGGATGACCATGGACTATTGATTTGCAACAAAGTAGCACTCATTTAATAACCCGAGAGGGATGGTGGGCTGAGTTATATTTTAAATCATAACTTTTTGATTATCAGTCTAGTGAAATTACTGACACACCATTGTGCTTATTGTAAATATACACCAAGTAAAAAAACAATGTTTCTTTTTAATAAAAATAACACTTGACACGCGTGAAATCGTCATACTTATAGCCATAGCAACTTAATTTAAATACTGTATGCATAAAAATATAACTACAAAGAACACACTTCACGAAAATATGAAAGTAAAATACAACAATAGTACACGTAAATGTCTATAAACATGGTTAACAAAAATAAACTCAATGCGTGCGTGGCTGTCACAGGTCAGCGCACAATCCATCTTTTCCGAGCCATAATTATAAATGAGAACAAATGATTATCAATGACATTATCTTGTAGAGTTTCATTGCTTCCTTTTTTGACAACTTTTTAAATGTTAATTACATGACACACATGTAATTCATCATAGGAATTAACAAATTGGAAATGTTTTCAACAATAACATATAATCACTGAAACAACATAATACAAATAATTGTCATTTATTTCAGCTTAATGGCTTTGGTATGCAGTAGAACAGGGTGATCATAACGTCCTTCCCTAGTTTTGGTGTCATAGTATAAAAACATGCAGAATTTCATGTTCTTTCAATACCAATGGACAACACATCTAGAAATGTATTTTTCTGTTGGGAGGGAATGCACTATTTTCCCATCTAATATAATAAGCCAAGAATGTGTGTGTCCCGCACATGACGTCACTCCACATGAGGCCCCCCTCTCATTAATAATCATGAGCAGGTGATGTCACTAGACATGCCGCACCTGTCCCCAATAACCATGAGGGGGTGACGTCACTCCACATGCCGCACCCCTCCCCAATAACCATTAGCGGGTGACGTCACTCCACATGGGGCAACCCCCCTCCTCAATAATCATGAGCTGAACACTTTTTCTATTTAATGTTTCATATTTACTGCAATACACACCGGTCCTTTGATGGGCAAACAAGCTAGTTCATATTAGGAAAGTCTCACTGAGTCTCGAGACCCTTTTTCAGGACGGTCTTACCAAGTTTTTGCAATAGCGGCAATGATCGCTATATATATTCCAGTAATTTGCACGCAATTTTTCTAATTTGGCACATTTGGTCAATTATAACAATTTGAGAAGACAGTGATAATGGACAATTGCATCTAAAGAACCGGTAGTGTTTGTGATGGATAATCCTTCCGTCAACCTTCAAGGTTACAGGATGACATTAACGGTGATAAAAATGCAGCTGGAAAAGTTGATGTGAAATATTTGCAAATCGTTTAGTATTTTTTAAAGATACCACTCAAACGTGTGAACAAAATAAAGGCTATGTAGCTAAAATGTAGATGAAGAAATGCACAAGTGTAAACATGTGTTGTGTTATTTTACAATTCAAGTAATATTTTGAAACATTGTCATCACGATACATTACTTTAAAACCAGGGATGGACTTTGCGATCAGCCTTTGTATTTCAGTGATAAATAGTCTTAAGTGTGTGTTTGTTTATGCACGTAAATCAATGAGTGTTTCATATATAAATAAATATAGTTTGTAAAACATAAATTACTTTACAATGAGCATGAGCTTATGCAGGAATAGTGACCTCATCAGTTCCTGAGACGATAGGTGGGCCCTTGTTATGAACGAACACACCCACTCAATGTAAACATCGCAGAAGAGCACAAACATAACATGTTAACCAATACATTTCTGCTTGATTTTACACTTCACATTCATCATTATTGTCAGGCACAACTTTTTCAGAATACCAATAATGTGTTACGATGTTGTGTTGAATTTAGATTTAAAGCTTTCGTGACTGCAGGGATTCATATTCTTGGTTCTTTCGGTAAAGTCACGTAAAAAAATTCTCACGACGTTTCGACTGCTTATGTTGCAGTCGAAACGTCGTGAAAATTTTATTGTTTTATATTTTTTATTATTTTATTGTTTCCCTTCTACGTGACTTTACCGAAAGAACCAAGAATATGATGTTGTGTTGGTCCATTTATATACATGTGAAGTATGTATGTGTCCATTGGTGTACAGAGACTATGTAAAAAGACACTCCCATATTAAAATTATAAATACACATTTGTTGTTATACCTTAATAAATGGCATACAATTTAACTTACATGCAGATAAATTATCCGACGTGAAAAATGCTATATGAAAAAAATAAATGGTTCTTTCAATAGGCCACTAATTTGTAAAAGGAGACAGCATATTAGTCACTGCAGAATGTTTTTTCCTGTTAAATCTGCATAGCTGTCACAATAGGTAGTCAATGAATGTCACCTCTCAAAAAGTGCATGATCAGAAAGCAATCAAGTCGGTGTCACCCTGTTCAAATTAATGTGGGGGTGGTTCTCATGTCCATAAATGGCTCTAAGCCAGTGGTGGGAATTCCACAATCATATGACAGGGCTCAGAATATCCATAGAAAAAAAACACTGTTGACTGAAAACAAGCCACTTTAAATGTATCAAACACAAAGGGAGGACAGTTGAGTTGGTGATCCGACCAGGGTTTTAACTCGTTGACCTATTAGTCGTTTGAACATTTGAAACGACAATGCCACCAATTCGAGTAGCTTTTAGTCGGGGTATGCTAATACAACACTTGTCTGTTTCTCAAAAAATCCTTCACACCTTCAATTAAACGTCATCACGGTATGTTCCATTATTTTGACACCTTTCCCCATCCGTAGCCGACACAAACTCCGCTGCACATACAGCATACTGTATTCTCGCAATATAATTTAGATTGTAATCACACGAGACAGGCATCAATGCAGGTAGCTATTGAAAATACTAGTGAACTGTAACAAACTGCATTTTGTAGTTTGCTATTGCAATACACTGAATGTATCCACAAGCGCAATTACAATGCTTATGTAACTGGCTGCAAAGCAACCATATGGTTGGCTTTTTTAAGTGCTGAGGGCTACAGTCAGGGGTGAGCTGACAAGGCCAGTCACAGCCCTGTGGTTAGTGTGTATGTACAGACAGATGGGCTGGGAATTGCAAACACCTGCAGGGTGACCCTGGAGGCATCTTTGACTGATCGCAGCCCTATGTCGGCAGCCGAATGCAGTCATCTGCAGTCCATACAACATGCAACACAAATCAATATGTAAACATATACAACTGCCCCACGCACCCTTAGAGGGGGCATTATATGTGCGACTTGCAGCTTAGCAATAGCATGTAAAATTTTAACATGTCTGTTCACCATATATTTCTATAAAATTATAATTGCCTAGTGTTGGACAAATGTCATTGTTGTGATTGTAAATTCATTGCTTTGAGTTTTATGGGAATTTCGACATTTCTGAGACCATGGATCGATATCATGCATTTATTGATAAGCACGATGGGCATTTAAATCATATAATTATTGGAAACTGTAACTGTCCTTATTAAAAAAAAAAACTTCGTGCAAACACAACAGAGATTCACAATAAACCATGACTGGGTTTCAGCAATCATTATATGTCGATAGTTATTACAATTTTCTAGTTATACATTTCCTCCAGGGAAATGTCAAAGCCCATCTGATGCACAATGGATCAGGGCTCTGTGCCTTACCTACAGGGTCTTTTGATTATCCAACTGCTCTTGCAAAAGGGAGGCACGCTTCTGCAGGCAGTTCACCTGGAACGGCAGAATGAATCATAATTGGTCATTCAGGGAATTCTCTAAAGAAGCAGAGCATCTTTGGCGGCCTTTAATTGCCCGCTCGTGATGCACACAGAGCGGTGGTGTCACAAGAGAAGCTGCCATGGCTTTCATAAAATTCAATTTGAAACAGAATGCATTCGGAGAGGAGAGAGGAGTAAAACTTTAGAATGGAGCATGTCTGCTTTTGAGGATTTCATCCCACAGCCAGTGATGGAATTAGCACGTACGTAGGTTTTCCCAGCCACTCGTAATCCTAGCGTAGTCTTCTGGGCTAGGCTGCGTGTTGAGCATATCTTCTCTCAAGCTTGTGCCACGCACTACGACTGGTATCTTCAGATGACGACATGAGGAATCTCGCCTGGTCTCCAATTAGGATGAACTGGGCAATATCAAAAGATCGTGACGAGGTAAGTTTCCTCACTTTGGTTCAATTGCGTGGTGGCAAAATCTTGAGCGAAGATACGCTCGACATACGGCCTAACCCTGAAGTCCAATTTGCAGCCAGTGGCTGAGTTGATATCACCCACCCATGCGTCTTTCTGCCTGGTACCTGTGACTGGAGGGACGCAATGGTCTCCTCCAGCTGCTTGCGGACGTCCGCCGGCATGAGGCCCTTCAGCTTTTTCTCATGTTCCTGCCGCAGCGCTGTCACCTGCAAGGCAATTAATACCAGGCGAAGCTGGGATATCTCACCCAAAAACGTCATGGTTCAAAGCAAGATATCTAAAGTACTTGGAACTATTTAAGAAAGGTCAATGCTAATTCAGAAGAAAAAAATTTGAAAGCCTCACTTGCCAACTCGATTTGCACCGTCTAACATGGGGGGAGCTCAGGGCCCTGTGCCCCATTGGCAGATATTTTCGAGCTACAAAGTAAGAGGAGCATGCGGAGCTGATGCTAAACAGATGTAGTTTGAATAATGAATAACACGCTTAAAGAACAGGCAAGTAATATTATATTGATATTATATTTATAATATTACTTGTTAAATACTCAGAATTATAAGTACAAATCAGCTATTAATGTTACCCTAGCATTCTTAATGGTCAAATTTTTTTTAAATATATATAGAATATTTAACATCTATTTTTCTCCAATTCAGATCACAAATTTAACAATACATCTTCTTGGTTCTTTCGGTAAAGTCACGTAGAATGGAAATAAAATAATAAAAATAAAACATAATAAAATAAAATATTATTTTATTTCCATTCTACGTGACTTTACCAAAAGAACCAAGAAGATGAATCCCTGCAGTCACGAAAGCTTTCAATCGAAATTTAACAATACATGTTATTTTTATTGACTTAAAGCTTTCGTGACTGCAGAAATCCATATTCTTGGATCTTTCGGTTAAGTCACGTAGATAGGTTCAACGGACGGACGGACGCATTAATCTATTGCAGGCTGGTACACTCAGTTTACAACTTCGTTCCTACCAGTATAACAAAAAAATATCAAAAAACTACGACGTTTCGATCGCAACACAAGCGGTCGTCTTCAGGAAAAGGAGGGTTAGCTTCCAAGGGAAACTGTTTATAAGGGTTTGAAATGGGCGTAGCCCAAATGTCAGCAGCCAATGATAATGTAAGTGTTCGGCAGCGAGCCCGGCAGTGGTTCGTTTTCCACCAATCAAAGGGCTGCCAGGTGAAAATTAGCATGTTAAAGAGAGATTAGCATGTTAATGGCAGAACGCAGAGCCGCAACCAAGGGGTCAGCGCGCGAAGTGACTGTGAAGAAAGTGCAAGTTTGAAATGGGCGTAAAGCACAACTAACATCGGAAGGTGGCAGGATGGGAACATCATAGCCAATTATGACTTAAACTGGTTGATAACGTCCTTCAATGTTTGCTCAGTTTGTACCTATCTTCTCGGTTGAAACTGTGTCTGTGTCTATATATATGGATGGCTTGCAAAGTACCTGATATGCAATACCCCGGCGTCTACAAACTAAGCTGTGTCTGCGGCAGTAGTTACATTGGTGAAACTAAGAGACATGTCTCGAACCGTGTTCGTGAACATAAGGCAGATCTGAAACACGGTTAGACCAATACCTCGGCCATGGCTGATCATTGTTTCAATGCGGTGGGCTCACACGAAATTGATTTCTCTAAGACGAAGGTACTTTGCAAGCCCACTGGCTATCAACAAAGATTCGTTCATGAAGCCATCCATATATACAAACAAAGACACAGTTTCAACCGAGAAGATGGGTACAAACTGAGCACTCATTGGAAGGACGTTATCAACCAGTTTAAGTCATAATTGGCTATGATATTCCCATCCTACCACCTTCCGATGTTAGTTGTGCTTTACGCCCATTTCAAACTTGCGCTTTCTTCACAGTCACTTCACGCGCTGACCCCTTGGTTGCGGCTCTGCGTTCTGCCATTAACATGCTAATCTCTCTTTAACATGTTAATTTTCACCTGGCAGCCCTTTGATTGGTGGAAAACGAACCACCGCCGGGCTCGCTGCCAAACACTTACATTATCATTGGCTGCTGACATATGGGCTATGCCCATTTCAAACCCTAATAAACAGTTTCACTTGGAAGCTAACCCTTCTTTTCCTGAAGATGACCGCTTGCGTTGCGATCGAAACGTTGTAGTTTTTTGTTATTTTTTGTTATTTTCTTTGAACCTATCTACATGACTTTACCGAAAGACCCAAGAATATGTTATTTTTATATCATGCAACAAGACTAAATATAAAACCAAAAATGAATGCCATGCCTGATTCACCAAAGTATTGGCCCACGATTAAAGATCATTACTTTTACAATGATCATTTACTCTAACTGTACACATGTATCTCAGGCCATATAATGTACGAACAAACTAATTTACAAGACATGTATAACAAGCCAATATAACACTATACACACTATCCAAACTAAATACTTGCATTAAACCAATGCAGCATGAAGGTGGACAATTTGAATTTCTTCTTGGCTCAAGAACCATGGATTTTTGCAGTAGTATAAACACACTGGATCATTGCACCTTAAATATAACTAATTACAATGTTAAGTTTGCAATTCAGAGAAGTAAAAAATAATAGCAAGTGGAATTTCATGCGTACACTGAGATCAGCAAAATCCAACATAGGTTCCAGCCAAATTCAGAAATTCGTAGAGGAACACATTATTTCTGTTTGACTCTTCAGTCAAGTGTGCTGCATTGTGTTCGCTAAAAGTCATCGCTCAGAGGCCAAGTCAGAAGAGCAGACTCGCAAACACATTCACTCGGTGCAACTATTGTGCACCAATATATTTGTCCGCATGGTGCACAATGAAAAAGGAAATAAGTGTCATATTGTGCAAACCGTTTCAAATAGCAATAGCAGTTAACGTCATAATTAGGCATCTAACAATTCAACTTCAAGGGATTCAATGGATTTTTACAATTCTATTTAATAAGCAAATTATTTTCTTTCTGTTTCGATTGTTTCTTGTTTTTCCTGCCTTGTTTAAGTTTTGTAGTCCCAAAGCAAATCATATCCTAAAGGTACCATTTGCATATAATTTCCAATTTTCCTTATAAATGGTAAATAATAAAAATAATGAATCTTCCCATTTATTATATTCGCATACTAATGCATTTTACTTGAAGCTTCCAGATATGTAAAACAATGAAATTTGTGATCATGCAGTTTACATTGCCTTAAACATTACTTCCTTTGTTCCGTGCGCACTAACTGGAATGGAAAAGCTACAGACACCAATGCGTAAGGATCACCGAGTACACCTGTACTCCTGCAAACCCGACATGAGGTGGTTTTCATGATCTAGAGAGACATGGTAAATGTGACTACTCTTTTTATAACTATGATTGTCCACCATATGGAATTAAGCCTCGCACACAACCAAACTGGCATGTTCACCTGTTCCTGGTGCTTGAGCCCAATTTCTTGTAGTTGTTTCTCCCAGGAGGCAGACAGCCGCAAGTGGGTATCCTTCTGGCCATGCAGTTCCTGTCAGGGCCCGTCAAGACCATAAAGCATCTCATGTTCAAGCAGCGCAGGCTCGTGTTACAATTATAATAAACTACATGCACGCAAAAAACACACACAAAATCATACGAAGTGATGTGTAGACATGCACGAGGTTTCAACATTTTTGTCACTCAAGCATAGAAACAAACACTCTTATTGTTGAGTGACCACATTAAATACTGCTTCAAAGAGCCACAAATTTAATCACAATCTTTCACACAGAAGAACCTCACTCTGAACTCGAATTGTTAAAAGGGTTACACGATGTGCGTGCAATCTGAATAATTCTAGTTTTGTATGTTAAAGGAGTATCTCGAGGTAAAAACATAATTTTTCGATTTTAGCCCGATTGTGCTATTGGTGTGGCATCATGAGGCGAATATTCATGCAGACCTCTCGCAGATCAGTGCAATCCATTGTGTCAGAGAATGACCCACAGAAGTGGATTTCATTCAGCTGCCTCTTAAACCCGTTAAAATTACCTATGCTCTACAGCAGGGATGGGGAACGTCCGGCCCACAAAATCATTTAATCTGGCCCTGCCAAGGCAACCGCACGACTCGAAATTCAATAAATCTACGCGCTTTTTTCATAGCAACATAAATTTAATTTTGTATGGCCCGCGAATGATGTTATAAATATCCAAATGGCCCTCGGCAGAAAAAAGGTTCCCCACCCCTGCTCTACAGAGTAGGGGCAGCACTTTCTCAATTGCTCTGCCTCTGATAGTAATGTTCATTGTGTGACAGTAAAACCAAAATGTTTGATTCTCAGAGGTGGAATTTAGCTAAATTAAATGCAGACCCAAATTTTACGATTTTTTTTACCCAATCACTCGGCTGAGACCACTATAGCGTTCTGACCCTTGAGCCACGCAGCCATCTCTTCCATGAGCAACTGAATGATTTAGCTAATCAATTAAGGCAAACGACAGGCGAGCAGGCATGCGGACGTGCCTGCAGCGTGCTGCGGTGCTCTTGGCGAAGCGCCTCCAGATCACCCTGCATTTTGGTGACGGCGTCGTGCAGCCTCTTCTCGGCATCCAAACTCTTTTGGGAAGCCTCCTCGTGGATAGATGCCACTTGTGCCTGCAGGTCCATGATCGCCTACGCACAGTTTGGACCGATTTATTTTGCTTTTGCCACAGGGATTTAAAAGTGAATGCATCTTCATGCTCAAACTCAAGTGGGCCGGTGCTCATTTCCATTGGTGGTCCTGAGCGAGTAGAAGAAATCATCATCATCATCATCATTTTATCATTATTTTATTATACTCGCATGACAAGTTAAAAAGTGTCCCAAAGTGCAGTGTGATAATACCATAAATCACAAACCTACATGAAAAAATACACACCCTTATGTTACAGAATGATAAAAAAACTACAATCACAGTAAATTCGACATTTATATTACGGGAAGCACAGGGTAACCAACGTTGATTCCCCACAAAGTGGCTCTCATTTAATCAACCACCAAACAACATTTTAACTTAAAAAAATGCAAATATGAGCTGAGTGTTCGGCCACAGTGCCATTTGGCCAGATTATATGTGCAACAAGGGTAATTGTTTTTACTCTTCCAATTTTTGAATACAAACTTTAAAGCATGTGTAGTTTTATTATGCAAACAGTACACCCCTGCTCGCCATTCGGCCTTACAGACTGTAGGGGTAAGTGCCATGAGCAAATGCCTACAAAGGATGGAAGCCACCCGAGGGAGCGTGGCTCGCGAGCAACATGCCTGGCCGCATGTCTCCTCATTGCTGATCACACCTGGTACTCATTTAAGGAAGAGTTGAACCGAGCAGAGGCTCTGGTTAGGTTCATATACCGATGTCCACTAATGTGCATGACCAGGAATCTAACTGGAATTTAAGTACAGTGCAGTAGCCACTATTCCACTGCTCCCCCATGCAAGCAAGTTACACCTGAAGGCTCAGACTATTGACATAGCAGCTTATGTAAAACAAATGCATTAGTTAAACATGCCCTTTCAGCAAACAAGCTGCATGGAGAAACATTAACATGCAAAACTTTAATACCCCGAGACACCATGTGTACAAAAATGCAGTTATATTCTATGTATTAGAAGTTTATTTAACAGTATACTGACTATATTCTTGGTTCTTTCGGTAAAGTCACGTAGAAGGGAAGCAATATAATAATTTTAAAAAACGCCACTTTTTTCAAATTTTCTTGCAGTGGTTTTTCACACCTGATGATGATTGCTTGTGTTGCAGTCGAAACGTCGTGAGAATTAAATTGTTTTATATTTTCATTATTTTATTGTTTCCTTTCTAAGTGACTTTACCGAAAGAACCAAGAATATGAATCCCTGCAGTCACGAAAGCTTTAAATCAAAAGTATACTGACTGTTGTTTCGACTTTGGTTGATGACAGGACGCTTGTGTTGCGCCCGAAACGTCGTGATTTATTTTATTTTATACCTACGTGACTTTACCGAAAGAACCAAAGAGTATGGATTCTTGCAGTCATGAAAGCTTCAAATCAAGATTTGGTTGTAAGTTTCACATCGAATACATGCATTCTATAGTCCCAATGGGAAATACATAAGTAACCAGGCTTTAATTTATAAATATAAAAACAGCAAACGTACAGAGGTGCAAATGCTGTACAACATTACGTTTTTTTTTTACAAATCTGTTTCAGTGTTCATTTAAGTGTATAAATACGCACGTGAGTACTTGTAATCATTTCTCTTTTACCACATAGAAGAAGTCAGGAAAGGATGCAGAACTGAGAATTAGCATGGGGAAGGTGTTCAGAAGGAAGGACATCTAGAAATAAGTAATACTAGAAAGGAGAAAGATGTTAAATGTAAAGGAATGTGTATACTTGAGAACTCTATTGACATGAGACGACATTTGCACATAAGACATAATAGCGAGGATCGCAAAGGCAAAAGGAGTAACGGTAGGATTCAATAACATCTGGAAAAGCAAGCAAATCGGCTACAAGACCAAGAAAATGTGTGTTCAGTACAGCTTTGTATGCCTGCGAGACTTCGACTTTGAAAAAGACTGACAGAGATAAGTTATCAGCATTCGAAATGTATTGCTATAGAAGTATACTGCATCTAAACTAGACCCAAAGTGACCAAAGTAGTAGAAAAAGGTTGCGAATGGAAGACCTGATGCAGTCAGTGATGAGAAGGAAACTTGCATTATTTGTACAAATATGTAGGATGGGCTACAACAGGAAAATTAAAAGTGTGTTATTGGGAAAAATGGAAGGAACTGGAAGGAGAAGGAAGACCTTACAGAGAATGGTTTGACGACATAAAAGATTGGTGCCAAAAACATGTGCACTACTTGAGCATATTGGCACAAGACAGAGGAAAGTGGAAACAAATGACAAAATGTGCAGTGGACACCTACGGCTATCTGCAAACGGATCATGATGATGATGATGATTAATATTTGCTCTTTTACCACACATTGCCTTGATTTGAGAAATAGCTGTGGAAATGTCCAACAGTGGCAAGGCATGCCAAGATTTAAAACTGTATTTCTAGAATCAATCCACATTCTGCACCAGTTGGTCTTGATGGACTGGATATGGACAACAGTCAAAACAACAGCGAACTTCAGGTAAAACAGATGCTTTCATTGCTAGCTTTGCTTTGCTTCAGTATCATATCAAGTTCATTTCTAAGTCTGAACACTTGTTGTCACACACTCGAGTCCAGTCAATTACGAATGCGCATTGATCATACTTTTACATAGTAATATAAATAAACTTGGATTTTCGAAAGCGCAATTCGTACAAAGCCTCGAAGTGCTTCAGTCTGTTGCAAAACTGGCTCCTCCAACTCAAGGATGGATCCAGAACATCTGCCCCGGTAACTGATTCCAGGTCTTCATGTCGGAGACCCTAAAACTGCGCTGACTGTATTGCACAAGGTTTGTGTGCGGGTACACCAGATCACCATGGGCTGCATTTGACAACACATCAACTTTGTACAAAATGATATAGTAATAATTTACAGCCCTTTCGTCAATGCTCATCTGGATGAAGGCCTCCCCATACTGTCAGTTGTGGGGATTGTTTGACCATACTTCACCATGTATGGTCAGTTTAGGTTGGTGAGGGGGAAAGCCGATGATAAATTCAGATACAACTCACCACTGTTAGCTGTATAAGCAGTTGATTACATCGCCTCACATGTGGCAAGAACCTCCAGTTAATGTAAAGATTACATTTTTGTTTGAAGATAGAACAAAAACGTAACAGTATTTTTTTTTAAACTGTGTTCGTGCTTTACACAAGAAGGATTCTATGAAGGTTCTAGTTCAGTTTTTTTTTAATCTTTGATAATTTGACAATAATTAAATGAAGGTGGAATCACCTTATTGCTTGAAAATACATTATTCTGGATTAAAAGACACCAATAATGACCAGCAACTAATACGACAAAATTAAAGCCTCACCTTTGCAGCCTGAGAGAGTTTCACGGAGTAATCCACTTCCATTTTTTTCAGCTCTTCAGCGCTCTGTAATATGAATCGTAAGAAAACATTTAGCATAATCCACTCGGTGCATGTAAAGAAATGCCACCTAAAAAATATGAAGCGCATTAAATACAATTTTAAGGAACACATTAATTTAATCAATTAGCAATGCCAATGAAGCAAATAATGACGATACAAATCAACTTCAGTGACTTTAGCAGTTGTAATTTTGGAGGCACTAATTGCTATAATCTGAAGCATGTTTTTAATTAAACTGATATTTAAATGTTTAAATATTTCTAAATTGTCATCCAAATACTTGGCAGGGTATGAGCTATAATTCATTTCTAATTGGCAAACATCAATTAAACAGTAGAATGGTTACATTTCGATTTAAAGCTTTCGTGATTGCAAGGATTCATCTTCTTGGTTCTTTCGGTAATGGAAATAAAATAATAAAAATATAACATAATAAAATACAATTCTCACGACGTTTCGGCCACAACACAAGTAGCCTTCTTCAGGTGAAGGAACAGAACTGTCGGGACGACAGCGCTTAAATTTACATTTCATATTATCGCCAATATGCATATAAAAATAACACCGTATTTCGCTAATGAAGCGAAATCAAGTAAAGTTTCAAATAATGTTTGAAATTCATCAGGTCCAAACTGAAAATAGATAACAAAAAAAATAATATCAACAAGATATAAGTAACGTTACACATATACAATTGCAACACTTACCGTTCATTAGTTTCACATGTAACGAGAATTACTTTTGAAATCTGTGCCATGTTCTATTTCTCCTCCTTCTGCAGCAGCGCTGGCTAGGCGGTGCTTATATTCTTGGACTCGGTTGATGAAAGGAGCTACCAGCAGCATGGTGACATCGTCACACATTAAAACTGCTTTTTTCATGATCCTAAAGAATTTAGCGGCATTGAAAGTAAACGCCTGTGATCATGGCTTTAACAGAAACATTCAAACGACCGTTTTAAAGCCACAGTGGACTCCAAAAGAATTAAAAAGAACACTTCAGAGGAAATACATTTCTTGTGAAGACACCTTAATCTCAGGCAGAAGCAAATAAGCTTCCTGACATCAAGCACACAAGCTGGCCATACCCTGCTGGCACACCCAGCACGCAAGAAAGGTGACCTTTCCCAAATAGCGTTGTTCATTTACCTAATGGTGGGGATGAACGCGCCAGGTAATCGGCCATTTAAAAGCCTGTCGCCACAGGTGTGTAAACTGGCTAGACCATGCACATGCTGTTTAATGAGATTGTAAAGGCCAGCACACTTCATATGTAGAGATGAAATTAGCGAGGGTGACATTAAAGTATGGGTTTTATTAAATCACTGATAGTGCTGCCTGTTACATTGCCAAATGTGTCTGTGCAATTTACTTTAGCAATAAGTCGCATTTCTGGGTGGCATTGAAGTGTGTTGCAATTGTAATTCAATTACGAATATAACTCTCTGATGCAAATTAGAATAGCATTTACATAACTTACAATGCATCAAACAAGAAGGTCAAGCGAGCTCATTAAGATACTTCAAATACATCAAATTGTTTTAAGGATATTGTTATAATTTTCATTTAGACCAAAATTGGGACACAAACACCTATCTGGACAGTATTGCATAACTGTTACAAATATAACGACATGATGTAAATAGATTTGCTGCTACAACTACACGTTAAAAAAAGTTAGGATCTCAGAATTCCTACCACCCATCGAGAATAATATAGCTGGGTATAAGAACTACAGAACTGCAAAATGCGATTTACACAAAATATGACATAAAGTTCCATGCTTTCTTATGAAAAGTTTAAAATTACACTGGTCTCTCCTATTCCTGTGTAGACAAATGAAAAATATGCAAACAAAAAAAGTGCATACAAATATACACGAAACATACACGAGGATAATAAATGCGGCAAAATGCGGCAATGTCCTCAAAGAACAGTGTTTGAAGAATAGCATTATGATCGTCCACACATGTTCTCAACACAACGTAAGGAGGCATGTCATCACGAAAGGATACATTTCTCCATTTAAATTCCGCTGTCTCATACAAATAGTAATAATAAACTGAGTTTTATGCCGATCCATAGATGTGACACATGCTTGGGGTCAACTCTCACAACCGAGAACAAGAGCAGCTCACCTTGGCGGAAGACTGCTCTATCTCAACAGCGTGCTGCTTATGCGCGTCCAGCGTGGTCCTCTCGGCCTCGGCTCGGATCTGGGCGCAGATGGTCTCGTGTTGCAGCAGGGTGGCCTGCTTTTCCTCCTCGCGCAGAAGCCCCAGCTCCACTAGCTGCTGCTTGCGCAGGCAATTTGCCTGCTCCACCTCCTCCTGCAGCTTCAGCACCGTCTCCTCCAACTGCGCTATAATCTGTGTACGCACGGAACATATTGCTGTGTGGCAGGGCCTTGGTTGCAACACCCGTGAGCCACTCATTGTCGCCAATTTCATGCACAAACACTGGTGCCCTGCCAGTGAATGAACGCTCTTGTAAATGGCCCAGGAATGGTGGAGCTCTCCCTGGAGGCGGGGTTGGTGGATCGCACAGATTTCATCTTGTGCATGAGACATCCACTTTGAAGGCAAATAGGTTGCGAAGCAATCTACATGGATATTTGTTGATGTTATTCACTCATATGTGTGTGTTGTCTCAAATGGTACTCCGGTTGCAACAAGTATTCAATAAGCAATTAGCGAAACATCTTAAGTAGGATCTTATCGAAAGAGTCTTGAGACAGTCAGCATTTCTTGCACAGATATAGGATTATTATGACAATATATCTTTCTTTAAGTTAATCTCTGGGAAAACACAGGCCAGGAGTCCTTTTCCTGTTGCCAAGGACAATGCTATAAATAAACGACTACCTGTACATCAAATCTATGTATCACATTTGTAAAGTTTAATTTCATAAAATGCATATGTGCATTTAAAAGGAAACACTATATTCCTTTGACCACGTTTGTGTAGGTGTATAGTTTGTATCGATTATATTCTCAACGAATGTAGAAGGGAAATAGCACTTGTTTAAACCCCAAACTACATTCCTCAAATTTTTCGATTTAAAGCTTTCGTGACTGCAAGGATTCATCTTCTTTGGTTCATTCGGTAAAGTGACTTTACCGAAAGAACCAAAGAAGATACATTCCTCAACACAAAGGGTGTGAAGTTAAATTCGACATTTCCCACCAAGAAAATACTTGATATATAAGGCACTTTAAAGAAAGTGTTATTTGAAATATATCCAAATGATTTATAATTCAGCAGCAGCATTATTGTCCATTTTCTGCTTGCTTTTTCCATGCCAGAAGGGATTATTGATACGTTTCATGGTTGCACAACAGGGGGGCAAGCTCCAGCCCGGCAGAAAAGCCACTTTGAGGGCTGCAACACGGTGCCGCTGCTTTCCGTGTCACATCTAATTGGAAGCATAGCATCTCCGGATTCAGAGCAAATGCAAAAAAAATATACTCCTTCACGGAGAATGTTTGATGACCATGAGGACATTTTATTTAAGCGGCCATGAAAGAAAACCTTAATACACCTACGGTATCTTTTAGTTCCATGTAACATGAATTGCGCTGTTATAGCAATGCAGACATCTTTTTATGGACCGGCACAATGTTGCGTGCTCAAAATTGGCTATAAGTAAAGAAAGGCATCTGGAAAGGATTCATGTTGGCCCCTTCGCCTGAAATGTCGCACACACGACAAATGCGCAACGAATGCACAAAAATGGCTGGGCCCTTCTGCCGTACGGGCGAAAGAAAAAAAAATCTCAAACAAATCCCATTTACAACGATCACGACGATGACAACAATGACGCTGCCATTTTGCCGCTGTGGTGGCGCACGTGTTACAGGGCGTCGCACATTGCTTACCTCTGCATCCTTGTGCCTCCATTCTCTGGCCTGATTTTCACGCTCGGCCGCGGTGGCTTGCAGATCGCGCTGGCGCTGTTCGAGGGTGGCGGCGTGTGTGCGGGCAACACTCTCCATGTGAGTGGCGTGCTGCTCCAGCAGTCGAGACTTCTCCTCTTCGCAATGGAGCCGCACGTCCCGCAGCTGATTGGACGGCCGATATAGGTGAGCTGCGTCGCATCGACGCGACGGCGTGGAACGACGTGAGGGTGCGTGCGATTACTTTGAAGGCTGGGTGTGGTTGTTATCGTCCTGTACAGCGTACCTTAAGTGGAAATGCTAGCCGAAAACCAGAAGAGCTGTGCAAAATTTTGGTAATGTACGAGTAACTTAAGAGTGACATCACATGCGCAGTGTCCGTTAATAAATGTTTATCGTAACATTATTATTTTATTAACATTCACAACGTAGGTATGATTGAATCGTTATACATTGGTGGGTGTCTTTTTAATTATTTAAATTACATACGTTAATTTAAACCTAAGCACAACAATTTGAGAAAAAGATAAGAGTTAATACACTCCCTTGTCTTTCAATTGCATTTCTACATGTAGTTATAAAACAGTTCGCGGGTGGTGCGTCAGTCATGTAACGAATAAAAACAACTGCAGGGATAAGCGCTGAAGTCTTCACTGCAATATAAGTGGCTATACCGGGCATTCACGGAGTCAGTGGGCACAGGTAAATGTCAAACACCACCGGTGCCGGGAGACAGCCAAGTGGAAGCGCCATCACCTGCTGCTCATGCTGCTGCTGTAGTGCTTGCTGCTGATGGGAAAACTCCTCGGCCTGCCGCTCACGCACGGCCTTGGCTCTTCTGAGGTCCTCCTCCACCCTCTGCATCTACAGAATACATTACATGAGCGAAAAATTGGATTTACAGGGGCCAGCATGGCAGCTGGAAGCAATGAAAGGATGTTTTGGCACCACAGTAAATGCATAGCGTGCATCAAAGAATCGTCTCTGTCAACATCAATTAGTAAGTGTGGAATACACCCCTGGTTACTTAAAAGTCTATAGAAATAAAAAAATATTTCAGGATTAGCAAATATAATGTAATGTGCATACTACATATATGTATACATATATGTAGTATGCACATTAAATAGCTTAAAATGTAAATAAGAAATGTGTTTAGATAAAAATATGGTATCAAACAATATATTAAGATTTAGGTCGAAAAAATATAATAAACTGAAAAAAATATTCAAGAGTTATTTAGATATATATGCAAATATAAAATCATTTTATTTTTAGGCACAGTGGAAACTTGGAAAGGCCTTGATTCAGAAGTGGATTTACCGTGGCTGACGATTATGATCATGATGCTTAGCTGAAATAATGGGTAAACTTCCTGACCAATAAACGGAGGTGGTTCATTTTATAAGTTTTTTTTAAGTAACATCTTTAAATTATATACAGAAAAGCCTAAATACAACCAATGAGTTGCATCCTTCACTAACGAAAAACACTACTTAGTCGATATCTTAAGATGAATGCCGACAAAACTAACAAGACACAATTTTACAATACTGTACATCTTTTTCTCAACTTGCAAACTTGTTTATACTTCCGAATGCCAAACGATGTACCATCTGTCAAGACAGTATAACAAATATTGATCTGTGATTTTGTTTTTAGCGACATGCCAAAAAAGCTGAACTACAGATGGGTGGTCAAATGGCCGATCGGTACCGCATTTGCCGCTTGTTGCAGAAATTCACAGTTCGAATCCAGTGGCTGCCCTCGTTCATACTGCTGGTGTGCTAACCGTCAATATAGATGCCGTCTGCTTCACAGTGGACGTTAAAGATCCCGTGACGTTTTTGCAAGAGCAGACCAGTGTGTACAGGCATCATGGTCCAAATTTGATAACATTTCTCGCAAATTGCTTAATTGGAATATACATAGGAATCACTGCCGTCCATTGTGGAAATTTGGTAGGACCGTACCAAAGAAATTGTCATGACACTCAGTGACGCTTTCCTGGGTAAACAAGCAAAGTAATACAATATATGAAGGGGTACTGTTTTCAACGCAGGCTAAAACACTTCAGACAATCGTGCACAGCTATTTTATTCGCCTTTTATTTGTCAGACCTGGTTAGGGTCCTAGACAAAGGTGGCATTGCTGGGTGTGGTACCACACATCTGTCATCCAAACTTTGGCTAGGGGATGGTAGACTGCACAAATGTGTTGAGACTTCTAAATCTGCTGGTTTAGGTGACTAGATGGTGGCAGTACAAAAAGTGAGTCATTGACCTGTGTGTATAGTTACATCCACTTGTACGAGTGTCCTCCAGTTTTCTCCCACAGGACAACCACTCGTCAATCATCCTAATGCAGTCCCCTCCTGCATTGGGATGACTATGTTCACGTACAGCCCTTTTGTTAATCCACTGCTGGACGAAGACCACCCCACGCCATGTGGTCCATGGGGTTATTTGACCATACATTACTCTACTCCATTGGGATGACTCATTAAAATGTAAAAATGACAAAAACCCAAGAAATGTCATTGGCTGGGGAAAAAAATAACCGACATTGTTATGTCAAGGTTGCTTCAGTTCTGTAACCCAGATAGTAATGGCCAATTTACCAAACGTTCAGGTCAATCCTGAAAGAGTACAAATTGTACACCCAGTGCTGCATACAAGGTTTATCCAATCACGGTTGGCTACGTGCGGTGCGAAAGAAGTTCAACAAACAAACATACATGTTTATTGTGTGCGTCAAGTGCGTGCCCATTGCAAAATAAAAAGACAATTGTGAACCTGCTGTTTCATCTCCATCAACACTTTCTCCGTGTTAAGCTCCACTTCCTTTCTGAGCTGCTCCAGTGTTGCGTCGGCCTGCCGGGCCTGTACGCGCTGCATTTCTCCCACCTTTCTCAGCTTTTCCTCCTTGTCCCTACACAGAAAGCCCTTTGCTTAAATCCACATGCGTAAAAAGAGCGGCACATCTGCACAGGTGGTACGAATGCCATTTATATACAATAAAAATGATGAATAACCAACCTCAATGCAGTTTCTAATGCGGTGATGGATTTTTGGCATTGTTCCTTTTCCTGCTCCAATTTGTCATGTGCAGATTTCAGCTGTTAAAATATAATTAAGGTTAAATGCGCACATTCCAATTGTATAATTTAACAAATGCTTCCAAAAAAAATCATTCTGTTCATGCTCCCACAAATAATTTACAACTCACGTAAGTAACTTCGACTCCAACTCACACAACATGCACATATCTCTTGAGACCTGCTGCCTTCTAGGAGCCATTTTCACCCTCTGCTAGTCACTTACAGTCTCCCCTCCTGCGTTTAAATTATGCATCCTATTTTATGCAGTTCGGTTCATCAAAGGGTTTGCCATATATGTTGAGACAGCTGTAATATTGCCAGGGTTGGGACTGCAGGAATGCTATAGGGATCTAAGCAGCAGCCAATTTTTATCTGACTGAAGGCTACCAGCTTCCAATCCTTCAGATACACTCGGAAGAAAAGAGTAAAGTAAAGCTGGATGAGGGATTCTCCATACAGATATCACCGCCAATGCATCAGTAAATCTACAATTCACTTCAGTTAAAGATGAGCTGGGCTCACAGCTATAGTAGAGCACTGAAAGATAACGGAATTATAAATATGATCATATAATAGTTTCCATTGTCTCCATGCTCAAAAGAGAGAGAGGCAATGCTCATTAGTCAGTATTTCTGAGCCAGCAGTGTAAAGTCTACAAATGTATGAGCACATAGATCCATAGCATAACCACCCCTTAAGAATCCCATACAGTGGTAAATATGAATGACTTGAATACATTATTTTATTTTAATTGCCAGGTTAAATTCTGACAGTGAAATGTTTTTTGTTAATAGACAAGCAAATTCCTCTATAAGTGGCGCATGCACCATACCTTTTTTTCATGAAGATGTTCTAACTGAAATTTTTCCTCCCGAAATATTGCTTCCGATTCCTGAAAAAAACATGGTGTGGCTAAGAAATTACATATATATAAAACCAACAAATACATGCTTTAACCTTTTCAACATGCAGGCTTTCGTGACCAATATCATCCATAAGAGGTTTTTGGGTTAGATCGTGTACATATATAAATGTGTCATTAAAACCTGCCACCACCCGACACAGCCAACTAGTAAGGGTTGTCACGTAAACTGTACAAGTGACGAATTGGCATGTTCTGTTTACGTGACAACCCTTACTAGTTAGCTGTGTCGGGTGGTGGCGGGTTTTAACGACACACTAATAGATTCACACGATCTAACCCAAAAACCTCTATTATGGATGTTTGAACCTTTATATTGTTAACACACAGATTGGATCAGCTTAATAACAAATGCACAAAACACAATAAATATAGGAATACATCAAATATAAATATGGACTCAAGGCAAACAAAAAACAAATTTCACTCACTACTAGTAAGTACTGCAGTGCTAAATCAGAGCAATGAAAGAGAGAATATGTATTGGCCATTGTGCTCATTATTGCTGTAAGAACAAATAAAAAGTATGCAGCATATAACACACACAAATATGAATACACGAAAATTAGAGCATTCATAAATCCAGAAAGACAGCAGATGTGGACATTGTTTTGCTCTTCCCAAGTGGCCAGGCACAATCTGAGCAGTAGCCTGGCCGACAGACAGCCAGGATAGGAGGCCTGACACCAGGCCAGCGATCCCACGAGGCCCAAGAAAGGTTCCAGCTCCCCAGCAGGTCAATTATAACTTGGGAGTTGCCAAAACACTGTGCTTCCCAGAGACACGCTGAATACATTATCTCACTTTAAAATGGGTCTGCAGAAGCTCACTTGTCAGCACTGCACTGTCATTTTCATGGGTTGATGTGGTGTGACTAAAAGTTGGGAGGTGGTTTGGGTGGAAAAAGAAAATCCATCTGGCCTAATCCCAGATTATGAGTCAGGCATCGTGGCATTCATAATTTATGAGCGGCTCAGAAAGAAGCACAACACTCCGTGATCATATTGTACTTTAAAAACCATTACGTGAAGATACATTGTGGCCAAGTAACATTTCATTTGTAAAACAACATTTACATTTTTTTATATAAGCAATTAAACTTTAAAGCTTCTCTTAATGAATACTCTACCCCCTTAGTCAAATAGAATTCATTACCGCCAGCTATAATCCCATTTGGACACACTGAAGTCTAATGAGAATGCTCGTTAAAATTCTAATGAAAACATGCGATGTGCTGCACGACGCCTATTTGAGGTAATCTCTCAGCTCAGTGTCAAGCCTTTGTTATTTAACCTCTGATGTGCGATTTAAAGAGACTGATCCTTACACAGAGGAGCACTATTTTTTATGGGAATCTACAGAATTCACTTGCCAGTTTATCTTTTATGGAGAATGGCTATTTGATAAGACTTTTTAAAAAGTAAATTGTACCAATATTATACTGAACTATATACTGCATTGCATCAATTTCTTGATATATTATCAATAAAAAAAACTACCGAATGCAAAAATATAAGAATAAACATTTTAAAGGCATGAAATTTAGATATTGAAATGGAAAAATAATACAAGTGAATAATTTTGTGAGCTATGTACAATGCGATTCTTGTGACAATACACTGTCATTAAAATACTGTTAAGCAAACATTTGCAACGTTTTCATGTAGATGGGAGGTATTGGTTGTTTTACAAAATATTACAATAGACAAACTTTTAAAACATCTCCTCATACAACTCGTAGGAAATGCATTATAGGCATAATCAAGTAGCGCGGTTTGAAAAAAGGCCTGATATGCCGAAATAACAATATGATTATGCAGCTGAAAATAGTCTGTTTGATTGTTAGTCAAGTGTTATATGCATGTTATTCTCCTGAATTGTGGTACAGTAGTCATTTTACAATAAACGAGTACAGTGTGACCATTTAAAATAATCCTTTCACGCAAAACAAAGTGAAATGATTTATGCATTTCTAAAAGCATTATAAAAAAACAGTATATCCCTGGGGTTATGCCACTGATAATACTGGATTTCTAAGTATTGAGTATGTATGATTTGCCCTAGGATTTCTGAAGATACATTTGTATGATTTAATAAGCAATAACCCTACGAATCTATAGGTGCTTTAAGCTTACACTTTGTGCACTCCTGTCACCTATTTACTGCTGGTTTTTCAGCACTTGTGCTCGGCGTGTAAAAAGCAGTATGTCCTTGGGTCGCAATGAGACCAAAGGGTTCAGATAACGGCTCTGTTAGGGAGGGTAGGGGGCCAGGATGCTGAAGGTCCCTTTCGTGCTGATTTGTGTGTTCTTTTAGTAACCCTTGGATCAAATTGGCCAGTTTTCAATCGAATAAGTCCCTAATTTGAACACAACTTTACACTAAAGTTCGTTCAGAGTGACCATCTGCCCACCACCCGTTTTAGAGACAGAAAGGTGAAATACAAAACAAAGATGAGGCATAAAAAACTTCCAATCTTAGTTGGAACATTAAAAAGAGTTACAAGCACCTCATGGCACAATGAAAAATTACTTAGATTAGACTATTAGAGTAATGCATTTATTAAGCTCTTCTCCTGAGATTCCATGAACTTCCGTATTGGTTCGTGAATTGTTTCTTTTTTGTATAATTTGTTGACTCATTTGTGCCATCAGCATATAATATGGTTGTATTTTGTATATATTCTAAATAATTGATTCTCACATGCACAAATAGATGCAAGAATCAACTTTTATCAATGAATTATTACATGCATCTTAGTTAATACCCGGGAAAGCCTGAGTGAGGATGTTTCTTTACCTTCAATTGCAGTTGCCCCTGATGCTCTACCTCCTCAAGCTGTTGCTTTAGGATGTTCACTTTCATCTCCAGATCTTCTCTGACTGCTGCTGCCTGGAAATTACCAAGGAGAAAGTACAAGCAAATCCTATTCAAAAGCAGCAGTAAATCACTGAACAAAATAGCTGCCTTTTGATTGAGCTGGAGAGCATCAAATGAGTATGAAAACTTTATTTTTGTTTATTCCTTACCAAGTACCATTACTTGTAGTAAAACACAATGTTGGACTGCCCCTGAAATGCCAAGTCCACTGCTCTGCAGAATGGAGTTTTGTGTTCAAGATAATTGAACTACTTACTCCGCCTCCAAAAGGGTACCAATCCCTGCCATAACAGGACACATGTAGCTCCAATCATTAATAAATTGGTTAACTACAGCCTTCACAAATAAGTACACGTATTACATAGTGAACAAACATTTCACAATGAGCCTCCTTATGAAAAAAAACCCCTCATATTTATTCAACAAAGTTAATTCTCAAAAATGACAACAAAATGAGCAAGATGAAACAGGTACAGTATATATAAGTATACATAAAACAACTCAATGAGCGTTAAGTGGGTTTAATTTTTTTGTAATATAGTTTGATTTTACATGAACGCAATATGAAGGATTGAATTACGCCCTTATTACAAACCTAACATTTAAGCTGTTGTGAATGAAAATGATGAACAAAAAAAAATATGTTTAACATAACCAACCTAATAATAACACAAAATCCATGCAGTATGTATGTCTGTTGCACTTATTTCACATCGTACATAGCTAATTGTGCGAATCGGGGGTTCAGTGGTTTTATGTAAAATTATTGCAGTGCCTATGTAAAGGGTAACGAACAGCAAGCAGTGCAATGTGTCCACACAGATAACTTCACACGATGGTTGGATTCAAACAGGGGCATTTCCTGCACGATTAATAAACTGCTCAGAATGCTCTTCCAGGAGTAGTCACAAACCATTGTGTGGCCAACCCTCATCACGAACTACTCTATGGAAAACACTTATGCTTTTGACTCTGCGACCCCTATAATAACAGTTGTCCACAACAATGGATATGTGTTGTACTTTTGAGCAGATTACATGTGTGCAAAAGCACTGCCATTTGAAATAAATATCCTCAGAAAACAATGGCTTTTTATCAAGTGTTGTTAAATACACATCCCCACAATGACCCACATAAAAATATATTACTTGTTTATTTTCAGCAAAAAGATAAACATAAAGCTTATTATGCACTTAAAAAAAGCAGCAGCATTAAAATACATTTGGTTGTTTTGCTTCAAAATGTGCTGTGGTGTATTTTTTGAACCCCATACAATAGAATGTGATGTCATTCAGTGGCTCGGAATTTTTTTTAAACAAAGGAAATACTGTACAGTACTGATTGTAAATAGTTCATATCACGAACGGTGGCATCAGAAGCAATCAGCACTGTGTGTACACTAATGAAAGGAAATGCAGCTTATTAATCTATCAAAATATGTATTGATCAATAGCAATGCGGTCGTTGAAATCTGCTTCTCGATATTAACAAAAAATCCCCTTTAACCTTTCAAATCTCCGCTTACTTCAAGACTATTCCGAGTTTTTTTTACATAATTAAATATGCATGTAGTTATTAGCAATCGCCAGGTGTCACTGTGGCTGAGCACTCGACTCATTACCAGAAAGCTGCCTTTTCAAACTCCAGTCGAAAGTCAACACAGACCGATAAAATATGGATTACTTTGTAGTAAGCCAACAGGTTGGCCTTTGGTTAAACTAGCTTTCACAATTACTCTTTGGTTTTTTCGGTAAAGTCACGTATAAATAAGAAATAATAAAATAACGTAATAGCGTACAACGTTTCGGTTGCAACACAAGCAGCCATCATCAGGTACAGAAGAGCTAAGTTTACGAGAGAGGGGAAACACATAACCTCAAATGTATATACTGACACCCAAGTAGGGGGAACTAACACAGATACAACAGGGGACACAGAGAGAGAAGCATACCAAACAAACAGGGTTTAGCAAAATGTGGAAACCATATAAAGCAACACAGACGGTCGGTCAAAACACAATTAACGCATAGTCCGGTTGATCACGCTATTTCAAAGATTGCTAAATTGCAAGTTAAGTATGAAACTCAAAATACAGACCGCACACACACACACACAGACATCCAAGTAGAGCGAACCAGCACAGAGACAAGCACACAGTGTAGTCGCCTTAAATAGGCAGAGAAGGTAAGGCTGAGAGACAATGGGACAAAATTAGCATGAGGTATGCATGGAGCAAAGTGGGGCGCGGCAGCACCCACTCGGAAACACCAAGGCCCACACACAGGCAGAGACAGCAGAGACACAAATCCAAGCCAAGACACAAAGGCAGATACACAAGCAGAGACAACACAAAGACACATACCTCATACCTCCCCGTAGAGGTGGTTCAGACTTGATTTGAAGCTTTCGTGACTGCAGGAATTACTCTTTGGTTTTTTCGTACCTGATGATGGCTGCTTGTGTTGCAACCGAAACGTCGTACGCTATTATGTTATTTTATTATTTCTTATTTATACATGACTTTACCGAAAAAACTAAAGAGTAATGCCTGCAGTCACGAAAGCTTCAAATCAAGTCTAGCTTTCACAATCATCATCAACCATGCTTAATCCACTGCTGGACGAAGGCCTAGCCAAGCCATCTCCATATCTCAGTCCCACGATGCAACAAAGCATCTAGCACCTGCACATATGCTGATTTTGTCACCTCATCTCCACGGTGTACGTTGGCTTTCACTTTAGGCATGTGAAACTGACACTGCTGGCTTAGGGCCACCAACAGAGATGAGCACCACCCCAGGCTCACTTGAGCAGGGAGACACTTTTACTTGATAATTGGTAAGAACGGGTGGGGAGGGGCTTTAAAGGCACAGCTGAGCATGACGTCCTTACCTTGGCGGCTGCCACTGCATGCTCCTGCTTCAGGAAGTGAATGTTGCCCTCCAGGCGGGCCTGCAGCTGCTTCACGCTGTGCTCGTGCTCCTGAGAGAGCTGCTCTGTGTCACGCTGTGCTGCAGAGAACCTACAGGCAAGGAGACCTGTCTTGACTGACCGCCAGTGCTTCAACGTAGAGTGTCCAATCATGAAATCATCTTGTGCCACACAACGCGCTATGCCACAGCACAATCACGTAGCGTCCTGATCGCATACACAAGTTCTTCTATGTGACATTTCTGGTTATGCTTTTTATAGCATACCAGTTTCAATCCAATGTATAGTTAAGATAAGACATATTTTTTATTATTTTGGTTTTACAGTTTTCTTGTTTTGTAATGGGTTTCTGCAACTCTATTACATGGTCTCTGTGCAAATTATTGTAAAAAAAAACACATACAAACTTGTTTGGCCTAATTCATTTTCGTTTGTTGATTAAAGTAGTTATCACTAATTATTGGCAAAAAAACCCCAAATCACCATTATTTTCTGCTGATGTGTTTGTCTTTCATTATAAATGATCAAAAACATTTGTACCCACCAACAGGTCTATTGTCTTGACTGGTTCTATAATAGTAAAATAAAGGCTATAGCAGTTGTGCAATATCCATATATATTGGATTAAAATAATACATTTTACAAGTAGCAATAATTATAAACGAATTTCACTAAATTTTGATTTAAAGCTTTCGTGACTGCAGGGATTCATATTCCTGGTTCTTTCGGTAAAGTCGCGTAGAAAGGAAACAATAAAATATAAAACAATAAAATTCTCACGACGTTTCGACTGCAACACAAGCAATCATCATCAGGTGTGAAAACCACAACAATAAAATTTTTAAAAAAGTGGCGTTTTTTTAACGTTAGCACCACGGAGAGCGATTTGGCAGTTATTCAGATGGACGAGTCCATCTATGTTCGGAAAAGAGGAGGGGGGAGACGAAAAATAATGGATGTGGTCTGAAAGTCACCTTAAGCGTGATCAATCAATTAAGACCCGAAATGGTTTATCAAATCCTTCCAATGATTGCTAAGCTAGAATCCATCTTCTCGGTTGAAATTGTCTCTGTGTTTGTATATGTGGATATCCTCATGAACGAATCTCTCATGGTAGCCAGATGGCTTGCAAGACAGAGGTTCTTTGCAAGCCATCTGGCTACCATGAGAGATTCGTTCATGAGGCTATCCACATATATAAACACAGAGACAATTTCAACCGAGAAGATAGATTCTGGCTTAGCAATCATTGGAAGAATTTGATAAACCATTTCGGGTCGTAATTGATTGATCACGCTTAAGGTGGCTTTCAGACCGCATCCATTATTTTTCGTCTCCCCCCTCCTCTTTTCCGAACATAGATGGACTCGTCCATCTGAACAAACTGTCAAATGGCTATCCGTGGTGCTAACGTTAAAAAACCGCCACTTTTTTAAAATTTTCTTGTTGTGGTTTTCACACCCAATGATGATTACTTGTGTTGCAGTCGAAACGTCGTGAGAATTTTATTGTTTTATTATTTTATTGTTTCCCTTCTACGTGACTTTACCGAAAGAACCAAGAATATGAATTTCACTAAATTTGTAATTAGATAATTATCATATGCTTGGTTTTGATTTAAAGCTTTCGTGATTGCAGGGATTCATATTATTGGTTCTTTCAGTAAAGTCACGTAGAAACGTCGTGAGAATTTTATTGTTTTATATTTTTATTATTTTATTGTTTCCCTTCTACGTGACTTTACCGAAAGAACCAATAATTTATATGCTTGGTTCTTTCGGTAAAGTCACGTAAATAGAAAATAAAAAAATAAAATGAGATAAAATCATATTCTTAGTTTTTTCGGTAAAGTCACGTTGAAGGGAAACAACAACGTGACTTTACCGAAAAAACTAAGAATATGAATTACTGCAGTCACGAAAGCTTTAAATCAAAAAAGATAAAATCAATGTAAAATAATAAATCGAATTTTATTATTTGTATTTTATCTTATTATTTTTATTTTAATTTTTTTATTTTGTTCAACGGTTTTACTTAACTTGACTCCTATGTTTGCCGTGGTCAAATCTTGTAATCAAAATTTAGTCTACTTCCTGTTGTCCAATGAATTCCAAATTTTGTACACGTACTCAGATCTGGTGACAATGCCTGTATCAAAATTAATCAATTAATTGGCTCTTTAAAAGCAATTAACATTCTGTATGGACGGCTTATTAATTAAATATATATTTGAGTCGGTCAAAAACGCCACGGTCCCTAAACTCTCGAATCACCTCGCCCAAGAAGCAGGCGCCACGTGTCTCAGGCGCGCCTGCTCTGTGTTAACGAGTTACGGGCACCCTCACTGCACACACAAAAAAGTTGTCCATTCAAGATTAATTTATCAAGTAATCAATTAATTCAAGTAAGCGTTGATGTGGTAGCAGGCCCCGCATCATTGACGTACTTCTCGAGGGTGAGTTAAAACCGTTGTTTTAAAAAAACTTTTTAAGGAGTTTATTTTCTATTTACGTGACTTTACCGAATGAACCAAGAATATGAATCCCTGCAGTCACGAAAGTTTTAAGTCTAGATAATTATCGTTTACCAATACAGCAACCTATAGTAACTGCAAACGCAATCACAGTGCAACACATAACCATGTACAAGACTCACCTCCTCTGTTGTGAATGATATGTGTTGTATGTAATCCCTATGTGAATTCACTGTGTATTCAAGACTGAGATGCATTGAAAGACCAATATTAGCCAACATTAGAGGACAGGTTTGGAGTAATCTTGCGACTCATTCATTGACGCACTCACAAATGCAGCCCCTCCTGATGATTGGGCCACAGCCACTGTTGCTAGCTACACATTAATTAGCTCTCCTCATCCATGGTAAGGCGACTACTATATTGACAGCTCTATGACCTTCTAATCAGTTAAGAAGGAATTCAATATACTTTACACAAATGCTAATTATATATGTTTGTCATTATGTATATAGATGTATTTCGTATTGTTTATTTTGATGTATTGTTTATGATCACCAATGATAGGCAGTGTACATTACAATTACAGTGCAGAAGACGTGTTAAGTAATGTCCTGTAGTTATATTATTTTACGTGTAATATTTTATAATAAGGAGCCGTCCATAAATGACGTCACGCACCTGGGGGGGGGGGTCAGACATTTGTGACGATGTGTGACGAGGGGAGTGTTTGAGAAATGTGACGTCACATCAAAATACACAACTTTAAATAAATATAGACAACACGTTCTACTTAATTAAATAGACTTTTTAAATAAATGTTTTCTCCTACAACATCAGAGTGCAGCGCCACATTAAATACGCACTACAATGGCAATAGTTTCAAGCGATTTGAAGCATGTTTTATTTTTGGGGGGGGGGGCAGAGCTTTGTGACGTCATATTTGAGGAGGGGGGGTCTGACTTTTTGTGACACCGTGTGACTAGGGGGGGTAAAAAATCGGCCAAAATCGCGTGACGTCATTTATGGACGGCCCCTAATGTGAAATGCATTATTTGCCAATGGACTTATAACGATACATTGATCGATCAATTTAAATCGAGGCTTAGACTCACAATACAAGCATCAAAGAATTACGTGCAAGAATGTATTATTTACTGCTTATGCCAACTATATGCAACTGACATGGTAACGCTACATTGGCATATTATTGGAGTACCAAAACTGTCCAAATAATATAGAAAATAACGAGACAAATAAAAATGAGATGGTGAAAATGAGACAGAGATTTCATTAATGAATCGAGTGGTGATCCTGAATCATGACCTGATTGTTCGTGCAAAGAGCTCACCAACCCTTCACGTCCTGTAGTTCCCGGGAGAGGGCCTGGTTCCTGTGAGTTAGTTCTGCATTCTCCTGTTCCAGACGGCTCTTCTGTTTAACTTGTGCCTCTCCGTCTGCCTTCAGCTGCTCCACACGGGCCTCCAGCTCCTTTTTAACGTTGCCCTGGCGGTGGTGGTGGAACGGTGATAATTTTGGGTCCACCAGACACAGAGGTCAACATTACGATGACACTGTTGCAAGCTATAGAAGTCAAAATATTTACCTTACATTTTATGAGAAAATGTAGTATTTATGGTGGATAGCAAAATAAATAATGAAATACAAGCACCATCAATTAACATGAATTGTCTTGAAGGTGCCTGAGACTTTATACTGAAGTTTAACAGTATTTGTCAATAGAGGCTATTAAAAAGATAACCTGGCCCCCACCATAGAAATGCGGAATTTCCTTTAAAAAATCAATACCACAAATAGACAAGACCACTGTCCCATGCTCATTTGGAGAGGGAGACTAATTGTCTTTGACTTGCATATGTATATTTAAGAAGAAAAAGCTATTATTTCAAACTTGACCTAAAAGAAACAGTAAAAAAATGTTTAACTACTAACAAACAGGTTGCAATGTTCCACCTTAATCATATTAAGTGGGGAATACAGCAGTATTGTGTGCAGGTTTATTCAGTGCTGTAGTGCTGCATTTAAATTACAATTGGGCAATTCAAGCAGTAATAAATGTCAAAGGCCTTTGACTCCACCCTGGATAATTTCTGCAGGAATCGTGATTTTTCCATGGGTGATTGGCCCCAATACCATCTGGCTGGTGTCGCTGGAGTTGCCATTGAAACATATGCTGTATAGCCAATGCCAATTTAATGTTAATGTTTCCTCTTGACTTAAAGCTTTCGTGACTGCAGGAATTCATATTCGTTGGGTCTTTCGGTGACGATCGCTTGTGTTGTGATCGAAACGTCGTAGTTTTTTGTTATTTTCTTTCAACCTATCTATGTGACTTTACCAAAAGACCCAAAGAATATTCATGTTTCCTGTCTATGTAATACGTATGGCAGCGATTCCAGCTGGATGGTATAAACATATTTCATAGGTATTGACCACATGCTTCGATGGCAATGCCTCAAGATGGGAGAGATCATGGGCCCTCCCTTCTTGAGGGCCCTTCTTAAATTAATGTTCATAATACCAAACCAAGACCGAACAACAATACCGCTGAAAGTGATAAGATTATCAAAACAATTAAAATACCATATATCTCGGGAGTTACTGAAAAATTAGCTCGTGTTTTGCAAAAGCACTAAAGATGAATTACCGAAGTTATCAACAGAAGGTGTATACCGGATCAATTGCTTATGCGGTAAGTGTTATATTGGACAGACGGTACGTAACATTAGTGTAAGACTGAAAGAACACCAAAGGAACATTAAATTCTCCCAAACACAGCTGTCAGTAGTGGCAGAGCATACTTGCCAACAAGTACATTCAATTGATTTTGATAACGTTGAAGTGTTATGCAGGACTAATTATTACTGGCCAAGACTAGTTAGAGAAGCAATCGAAATTGAGAATTCAAATAATTTTAACCACTATGATAGTGACAGACTCAGCGCAGCCTGGAAGCGTATTATTAAGTAATATGCAACACATATTGCAATTGATTACAGGTGAGTCACATGCTAAGTGGCTGATTACTGATCTATTACATAAATGCATACACCCCACCCCCACCTCCGCCTGTGATCTCGAAACGTGATGGGGTTCAACAATGATGACGTCATCCTGCACTATTTAAGACCGGAAGCAGGTGAATGGCTTCACTATTCTGGCAAATCGCCTGAAGATGCTGGATGTAATTTCCAGCAAAACGTCGTACTCAAATTGTACATTTTGTGGATCCACTCGTCAACACACCGGTGGGCTAAAGTAGTAAACTATTTGTCTTTTGTCAACGTGACACTTTTCTTACTGATTGGCCGTGTCGGGTGGTGGAGGGTTGCGACACATTTATAAATAACGTGGGGGTGGCACGTTCCCCCCCAATGATCTGATAATCCGATCGAAATCCCTTATTTCGATCGGATCATTTGGGTTTATTAGTAATAAATCGGCATTTTGTGAAACCAACTGCCACTGTTTAGCATATTATTACGTGCCAGGGACTCTATGAGATGATAAGACAATAGTCTGAGTCCAGAATTGCCAATAAGTAACGGCAAAGCAGTTATAAGTGACTTACAGAATTGTGCGCAGTTTCGTATACAGTAGACGACTTCCCTGAAGGCATCAACACCTTCAACGAGCACGATGCCGATCACACAACGCGGTTCGAATTCGACCCTCCATCGATGGCTGCGCCATCGCCGCACACAAAAAGCAAGGGACAAGTCCTTACTTACTAACAACTCCTATCATTTTTCATTGCTGGAGGGGTTGCCCCCCCTACCTGAAAATCCTGGCTCCACCATTGCTGGTCGCGAAAGCCTATGTGTTAAATTGACTGAACGTGATGACGAGGTTCAAATTAAAATGTCACTTTCTAATATGTAATACTGTTTGTTCTCAAAACTGGATATTACAATTACAAACAGCCCCATGCTTATTGCAGCACATTATTTTTTAATGGAAGTACCCAAGTCAGTAGGCAAGTAGCAATTAACATGCTCAGTAATTCAATAATTATGACAAATGGGTGTTTGAATGAGGAATTATTTTTTCTCCTGTATTTTCTAATTTGTTCTATCTTGTTTTTACAATCTTGATCTCTAAATTAGCATTCGATATATATAACACCCCATCATTTATGTAAATTAGTAACAAAGTAACAATTTGTGTAAAAGATTATGTGGTTCTTCAAAATAAGCCTTATATTAGGTTGGTACAACATGTAAAACATTTTAAAAGTATTTCGAATATTTTTACAACTCCTATTCCAAATATCAAATTGCATGGCCATAAATATAGAGGACAGAATGTAATATACACTAAAGTGCTGTGTTCTGAAATTCATAAATTCAATATTGCCTTCAATTGCATGTTGGGAGATAATTGTCTGGATGGATAATGCGCTGTGGTGTGTCCCACGGTGCCCCTCTGGCATGCCTCGCATGCTGAAGCAACAGTGCGGTGGCAATGTTTTATTTATCAAGTGATCCCGTGCCACTCAATAAAATGTTGGACAGCATAATGAGGATGAGTGGTACGTGAAAGCAATGTGGTATTGAATTTATGCATATTTGATTTGCACCCTTTTGATGTTTTAGTAACGTCATTTTTATTTAATCATCTTTACAATTACAATCCAAAGTAAAGTATTATTGAGACAAATTTAATATATGTTCAAGGACAGTACAATATATTATTGGGTATTTCGGTAAAGTCACGTAGATAGGTTCAAAGAAAATAACAAAAAATATTGTTATTTTTAGTTAATTTGTTATTTTCTTTGAACCTATAACAAAAAATATTGTTATTTTTAGTTGATTTGTTATTTTCTTTGAACCTATAACAAAAAATATTGTTATTTTTAGTTGATTTGTTATTTTCTTTGAACCTATCTATGTGACTTTACCGAAAGACCCAAAAATATGAATTCCTGCAGTCACGAAAGCTTTAAGTCAAGACAGTACAATATACCCTATCAACGTAAAAACATTTACTTAATTTATATTCTTGGTCCTTTCGGTAAAGTCACGTATGCATTGGGCTCTATGGTGCATATCTGACCAGGAACACATAGCCAGTGAACTCAAGCACGTACACCAAGCTCTTAAGGCAAATGGTTACTCCGACTACACAATCTGCAAAGCTATCACTCATAATAAAGGTTTTTGGGTTAGATCGCGTTATTTATAAATGTGTCGTAACCCTCCACCACCCGACACGGCCAATCAGCAAAAAAGTGTCACGTTGACAAAAGACCAAAAATTCACTACTTTAGCCCACCGGTGTGTTGAAGAGTGAATCCACAACATTTACAGTTTGAGTATGACGTTTCGCTGGTAATTACATCCAGCATCATCGGGCAATTCGCCAGAATGGTAAAGCCCTCGCTTGCTCCCGGTCTTAAATAGAGCAGCAGGGTGACGTCATTATTTAACTCATTTCAGGTGCAGTGATTTGAGGCGGAGGGGGGGTATTGTAATTATATAATCAATTGGTAATCAGTCAATGGTTATGATTAGTAATGAGTTGTAGATTAGTAATTAGTTGTAATGTGTGTTATTGTGATTATATGCTATGTTAGTAATCCGTTAATTAGTATGTGTTTCCCCTATAAGGAATTGTAATATGTATTATTTAATAATACGCTTCCAAGCCGCACTAAGCCTGTAGCTGTCAGAGCGATTAAAGTTATTTCTATTCCTCTCAATTTCAATGGATTCTCTAATTAGTCTTTGCCAGTAATAATTAGTTTTACACAACACTTCAACATTATCAAAATCAATTGAGTGTCCTTGTTGACAAGCATGTTCTGCCACTGCCGACAGTTGTGTTTGAGATAATTTAATATTTCTTTGATGTTCTTTTAGTCTTATGCTGATGTTACATCCCGTCTGTCCAATATAGCATCTGCCACATAAACAATTAATCCGATACACACCTTCTGTTGATAATTTAGGTAATGCGTCTTTAGTGCAAGATACTAGTTTTTGAATTTTGTGTACTGTACCAAATCTCACTGTAATGTTTTGCTTTTGCAAAACATGGGCTAATTTTTCAGTTACTCCTGAGATATATGGAATTTTTATTGTTTTAACAATCTGATCGCTTTCAGCAGTATTGCTTTGCGATCGTGATTTGGCAGTCAGTGCTCTGTTAATTTGAGCATTATTGTAGCCATTCTGTCGTAGTGCTTCTTTAACGTGTTTGATCTCTCTCACTAGACTTTCACCATCTGACACTGTTTTAGCCCGATGTATGAGCGTCTTGATAAGAGAGGATTTCTGAGCTGGATGATGATGCGAATCTGCATTCAGATAGGCATCAGTGTGTGTTTGCTTTCTGTAAACGCTGTGTTATTTTACCGTTTAGGCCAGTCCAAGCAAAATATCTAGGAACGGGAGTGTGTTATTCACCTCCATTTCCATGGTGAACTGGATGGCCGGGTTTTGTGCATTGAGATGATTTAGAAAATCATTAAGTGTATCTTTACCATGTGGCCAGACAACCAAAGTCTCATCCACATATCTAAACCAAAAAGATGGTTTTAATGTGCTCGAGGCAAGTGCTCTTATTTCAGAGTTTTCCATGTACAAATTTGCTATAGCAGGGGATAAAGGAGAGCCCATTGCTGCTCCTTCCTTTTGTTTAAAGAAATCCCCTCTCCATAAGAAGTAAGTGTTATTTAAACAATGGTCATCAAGTTTCGGAATATCTCACTCCAAACATGAAGAAGGACCCTCTTGAGGAGCCTTTCAAAACCATCACTTTACCCTACATTGCGGGGATCACAAAAAAAGATCTCCAAAATCTTGAGTAAACACAAGATCTAGGTCCGATTCAACACATTACATAAAATCCGTGATCTGGTTCCATCTGTAAAAGATGTGATTCCGGACATACAGTACCCTGGCGTTTACAAACTAAGTTGCCTCTGTGGTAGCAGTTACATTGGAGAAACCAAACGAACATCTCGGACCGCATTCGTGAACACAAAGCAGACCTAAAACACGGTAGGACCAACACCTCGGCCGTGGCAGATCACTGTTATAATTCAGTAGGCTCACATGACATTGACTTCTCCAAGACAGAGGTTCTTTGCAAGCCATCTCGCTACCATGAGAGATTCGTTCATGAGGCTATCCACATATACAAACATAGAGACAATTTCCACCGAGAAGATGGATTCTGGCTTCGCAGTCATTGGAAGGATTTGATAAACCATTTCGGGTCTTAATTGATTGTTCACGCTTACAGTAGCTTTCAGACCTCATCCATTATTTTCGTCTCCCCCCTCCTCTTTTCCGAACATAGATGGACTCGTCCATCTGAATAACTGGCAAATCGCTCTCCGTGGTGCTAAAATTAAAAAAACGCCACTTTTTTCAAATTTTCTTGCTGTGGTTTTCACACCTGATGATGATTGCTTGTGTTGCAGTCGAAACGTCGTGAGAATTTTATTGTTTTATATTTTTATTATTTTATTGTTTCCCTTCTACGTGACTTTACCGAAAGAACCAGAATATGTATCCCTGCAGTCACGAAAGCTTTAAATTAAAATTTACTTAACTTCTTCAAAATATACTACATATGAAGGCTCTCTTAAAGATGCATGTTGATATTTTGGTCAAAATTATAACTATTAAAACAAAATTATTCCTTCTCAAATGAGCACGAGTCAGTACTAATCTTCAAGTCGCTCAGCCAGTGATCTAAATTCCACATTTTCTATTGTGCCCGTAGGACAACCACTGTTAACTTTTCTATGTCAATATAAAGTTACTTTGTTGAGCGCGGGGGAATGATGAGCTGAATCGACCTCTGATCATATGAACGCCACAAACATTTTTAACCGTGAATCAGCTCCAACTACAGCGCCACTCGGCCAGAGAAACAAATTACAAAAGGTAGAAGCATTGTACCCAGCTCACAGCGCACGTCAACTCACAGTTAGGAGGGCGTGTGCCTTGTGCTCGGCCTCCATGTGCGCCAACCGCATGTTAGTCTCATCCAGCAGTGCTTGGATGCTTTCCGTGTGATGTTTCTGCAGCTCCAGGCGCTCCTGCTCCAGGCTGGCTATGGCTTCATTCAGCTGATATAAAAGGGGTTGCATCATACAGTTTCTGGCTGCCGCCCTAAGGCTTCTCACACGTATGAGAGGATAACACTTGAGATTGTGAAACTAGGTTGTGCAAAGGGCTCTGGTATCATATTTTAAGTTGGATAACTCCTTGCATCCTCATAAAATAATATGATTCCGAAGAGATAAATACATGTAATTTTTCTATCATTCAATCTCCTATTAACATAAAAATATATGTTTACACATGCAGATACTATATATATTAATCAGATAAAATATTTCATCATTAGACCTCCTTTGCCAGTACCAAAATGTAATAACAGGGTTTTTCCCCTTTTTTTTCTGGCAACAAAACTGAAACATTTAAGTAATAAATGGACAATAACATCAATATGAGAATAGGGTTTCCCCTTTTTTCTCTGCAACAAAACAGGTGTTTAGATGTTAAAACACAAAACTGAAACCTTTTACAAGGATTCATGTCTGCATTAACCACAATACCTGCAGTCAAAATGCAAACAAAAAACATACTATGATAATATATGCATTTTCCTTGAAACTGATTGGTCCACACCAAGGGATGGCTTTTTTTTTTTAGCCTCGACCCACCTTTTTCTCATACTCATTTTTCAGGTTCTTCCCACTCTGACCCATCATCTTCATTAGCTCTTCAATCTGTTTGTCCTTGGTCTCTCGGACAACTTGTGATTCTTGTACTAAAACATCAACTGAAACAAACCGATGAGTTTGCAGAGATTTCATTGGCTGTTAAAGCATCACGAAATTTGTCACATTGAACTTGGAAATTAGCCTATTTCTTAAAATGAAATTTTCCATGCAATATCTCATCAATTGAGAATCAGAGTATACAGGTCATTATAAAATATACATTAGCTCATTGTACAAAATGCAGACAAACAGGAAAATGTATCATATAGTATTCGCTCGTTATTCACGAAATTGCTATCCGTGATTTTGGCTATCCGCGAATCGTATCTGGAACTCTACATGACTGCATCCAGAATGAGAGAGTAATAAAGTGATTAGATAAAGTGATGAGAGAGAATGTGATGCGATAAAGTGAGACAAAGCTATGAGATACAGTGATTTGGCTGCACAGCATCATCATAACTTAAGGTAAGTTCATTATAAAACTATTTTAATACTTTAAGATTTATTTTTAGTGACTTTGTTTATTCTAACCAATTTTAATTTTGTTGTATTATAATTTTCATGTATATCATAGATTTACCTATTTATTTACGGTAATGGTTTTCGTAGGCCAATATCATTATCCTCGAAATTAGCTTTACACGAGCATCTCTGGAACCTATCCCTCGCAAATAACGAGGGAATACTGTACTGTGAAACTTGACCTTTCACCTTTCTTTTCCAGTTTTCTGACTGCATCTGCAGCCTCCTTCTGTTTATTCTGATGCACTGCATTCAGTTCTTCCAGTTCACATTTTTTTCCATCCAAAATCTGCCACAACAACATCAATGTTTAAATTCATGAATTACACTTCTATAACCATACAAATGTAGCATTATTGTAACAATATAAGTTCATGATAACACTGTCAGTTGGAAACATCTGGCCATGACCATGGGAATGTGTAATTTAAGTTACTTGCTCAAGATCGCGAAGAGATATGAGCAATACCTGTTGCTTATTTGAGAATGGACACAGTTTTGAGTTTAATGATAAATACTTTAATTATAATGATAAATTATGATAAATACTTTAATTAAAATATACATCCAAAATGGCATATTCTAATATTTGGACCCAAAATGCAGATATACCTATATACAAGGACAAAACAGCCATAAAAATTGCTGCAATCTGGAAAGAAATGCTAAACAATGGTGCTCAAAAACATCATAACACACACATATACTTAAGGGTTCGTTCCAGTTTCACAGTTTGCCATGGTGCATTCATTGCAAATGTAGCGCTACAAGCAAGTCTCTACTCCCAGAGAGACCGATTAAGCGGCAGCATTCTTAATAAACCGCTGCAGACGGCACACACTTGCATCAGACCTCGGATTAGTGAAGGGTGGGAGAAAGGTCATCTGCTATAATTACACAAGTGTGGCCCAGCATCCGCACCATCTCAGCTCGCCTTAATAAGCCTGTCGTTTGGTCTCCCGCGGGTCGCCTCCCATGCAACACGAAGGTTAACAATTAAAAAGGTGACCCAGAATGTCATCTCTGAACCCCCATGAGGACGTCTAAATGGAATCCAGGGCAGCTAGCTGGATAATCAGAGGCACATCGGGACCCTGCTGGTATTTCCCAGAAGTTAATAATTTGTACCTCCAAACAAAAGATACACCCAAGCAGATAGGTACAGATCAGACTGAAAAATGTAGGGTCATAGAAATGGTGAAAGTACTGAAAACACTGTACTGAAAATTCAAATATCATGACCCTTTTTAATGTCATGTACCAATAGGACATTATTTTTAGGCTCCAATGATTCACATAACATTATCGTTTTACAATTAAAATCTTAAGTTCATTACCAAGCCCTCATGACATTATCAGGCCTGCTGTATAAAAAAAATGTCAGCATTCTGTACCAATTTGTTTAAAGTATAATTCAATTACATGTGTTTCTTTGTTTATGGATCTAAGGCTTATACGTTTTTTTTATAAATTACAAAATTAATGTGCTTGCAATTAGCACGAGAACAAAAGCTGACAATACCTTCAAAACGACCGCACTAATTAAAGCTACCCAGGTGGTGGTATCCTCTACCCCGGGCATCTGGCATGGACCCAGTATCACACTGGCATGCCTTACGTGCACTACACAGGGTGTTAAATCCTTCCAACTTTAAACAAAGACCAACAACCACGGGTGGGCAGGTGGATATGCTACCAAAATGGTTAATTTTCATTTGTTTTGCTGTGCTAAAGTATATTTGTGAATTGGAACCAACAGCTTTGGTCAATCTCCTGGTAAATAAGGGCCTTCCCAAGCCGTCGACATCTCTCATGATGCTGCGATGTCATAATCTACCCAACACCTGTACACGAGCTTAATTCATGGCTCCATCGCTTTGGTGGACATCCTCTCGGATGTGTTCTGTTCATTGGCTGCCACTCCATCAATATTCTTACCAGCGGGCATCATCCCTCCTTCATAATAAACGAGTTTCCTTTGTGTATAGTTGCAATTATAGTAATTAGTGTTATTGTAACTGTAATAATATAATTAAACAAATATAAATGTAATTGTAATGATAAATTGCCCTAGGTCAGTTTAGCAGGCCCTACAATGTTTGCAGAGAGCTCCTGCCTCTAACACCAGACAACCTCAGCATTTCATTAAGAGGACACACTCTGCTAATGATTTGTATTAGATTGCCTGCTAATACAAATGCTGCTGAAAATAATTAGTTCACAAGGCTCATAGGCCGATAGACCAAAATGTCATTTTATTATTTTGTTGGTGACACAGGCCATTGTCTGTTTAAAGTCATAATTAACTAATCTTGCATAAATGCCCAAAGCTCCACCAATGTGCACCGCTGAAGGCAAGGTAGATTTATGATATTCCCTCTTGGAGCATTCTGAAATGCGCCTGAAAGTAGGAATCACGGAGAGACATGGCGCTCCACCTCTTGTACGTGAGTTTCATGCTTCAGTTGCATCGCAACTTGCTCCTTCTGGAACTGCTCCTTCATGGCCTTCATCTTGAGCCCCATCTATATCAGACAAGCAATATAGTAGTCTCACTGTGGTGGTTGTGGTGGTTGGTGTGTAGTGACACGACTACAGCCATACCACTTGCATGGAGCTTCCTCTTGGCTGCATAATGAAAATCAGTTGAACAATTTAGAAAATGGGTCTGTTTTATAATAATGGTAAGTATACGAACGTACTAGATAAAAGATATACAATTGTAATAAATAGGTGTAATTTTAGTCTAACTTTAACAAGACAGTACTCTACTGTATCAATATTCAGCAATGCTGATAATTATTTCAATAATTTACAGAAAATGTAAATAATGTCACAAAAATGTCTATATTAAAAGTAATACATTTAATCTTAATTGCATTGTTATTTGTTTACCTCTTTTTGATACTTTGTATTAAAAGCTTCAGCATCAAGTAATAATGGGTCCATTTTCCGAGAGCCTTTCCTGGGTACAATCTGGACACGTAGAGACACAGTAACAATACAAATGAAAAGCTGTTTTGGATTTCCCTCCCACCAAAAACACCGAAGAATTCATACCTTAGTTTCTGCTGTCATTTTAACCAAATACAGCTGAGATAAATTTCGATTTAAAGCGTTCGTGACTGCAGGGATTCATATTATTGGTTCTATCGGTAAAGTCACGTAGAAGGGAAATAATAAAATAAATAAAACAATAACATTATCACGTTTCAATTGCACGTTTCGATTGCTTGTGTTGCAATCGAAACGTCGTGATAATTTTATTGTTACATTTTTATTATTTTATTATTTCCCTTCTACGTGACTTTACCGAAAGAACCAAGCATACAGCTGATATACTTTAGAAAAATGTCACCATTATTTTAAACTTCTCACAGACAAAAAATTACTTGAATGAATCAGTTATTTGATGCACTCTTGTACACTGAACCAGTACTGATTAATACACAAATCAAATACACTTACTACCAGGTTCCCAACTATGAGGTTCATAGGTCTGTGTTGCTTTATAACTCATTCCATATGCTTTGCATTTACACAGGAACAGCCCTGTGCTGCATTTACAATTAAACACGTGACAAGGTGTAGTATTTTTTTTGATTTAAAGCTTTCGTGACTGCAGTAATTCATATTCTTAGTTTTTTCGGTAAAGTCACGTTGAAGAGAAACAACAAAATATATATAAAACAATAAAAAATTCTCACGACGTTTCGACCATAACTCAAACGGTCATCATCAGGTGTGTTGGTTTGCATAAATTTATTTTTAAAACGGCACATTTATTTATTTATAAAAAAAACCGTTGGCGTCACGCGCAGCGATTTGCAGTTTGCCCAGGACTAGTCCATCTATTTTTTTTTAAAAGAGGAGGGGGGAGACGAAATTTTTTATAATGTATGCTGTCTGAAAGCCACTATAGGCGTGAACAATCAATCAAGAACTGAAATGATTTATCAAATCTTTCCAATGATTGCTAAGATAGAATCCATCTTCTCGGTTGAAATTGTCTCTGTGCTTGTATATGTGGATAGCCTCATGAACGAATCTCTCATGGAAGCCAGATGGCTTACAAAGAACCTCCGTCTTGGAAAAGTCAATGGCATGTGAGCCTACTGAATTAGAACAATGATCTGCTACGGCCGAGGTGTTGGTCCTACCGTGTTTAAGGTCTGAACATAAAGCAGACCTTAAACACGGTAGGACCAACACCTCGGCCGTAGCAGATCATTGTTCTAATTCAGTAGGCTCACATGCCATTGACTTTTCCAAGACGGAGGTTCTTTGTAAGCCATCTGGCTTCCATGAGAGATTCGTTCATGAGGCTATCCACATATACAAGCACAGAGACAATTTCAACCGAGAAGATGGATTCTATCTTAGCAATCATTGGAAAGATTTGATAAATCATTTCAGTTCTTGATTGATTGTTCACGCTTACAGTGGCTTTCAGACAGCATACATTATAAAAAATTTCGTCTCCCCCCTCCTCTTTTCAAAAAAATAGATGGACTAGTCCTGGGCAAACTGCCAATCGCTGCGCGTGACGCCAACGGTTTTATATATATATAAATAAATGTGCCGTTTTAAAAATACATTTATGCAAACCAACACACCTGATGATGACCGTTTGAGTTATGGTCGAAACGTCGTGAGAATTTTTTATTGTTTTATATATATTTTGTTATTTTGTTGTTTCTCTTCAACGTGACTTTACCGAAAAAACTAAGAATATGAATAAGGTGTAGTATACTGCCTCCAATTTCCCTACTGTTATTAGCTGATGCTGAAAGTGACTGACAGAACCTTTAGTTTTCAGATACTCTCCAAACCTTAGATCTAACCTAACAGTAAAATGCAGACTATAATTACGTAACATGAACAAAGCATATATGAAAAGAAATCAACACATATAATATTCTGCAACTGTGACTCACCGGTGATAAAGGTATTGGCTTTTCACGTAAATACCTTGGGTTTTCAATCTAAAAACACAAAACATTTATTTCAAAACTTCACATATCAGATATCGGGTAGTACAGAAAGTCTTTAACAAAGTCAAATAATGCGGACATATATTTGGAATGTCTTTGTGGCATGTTACTGAATTGGTTGAAAAACTGCACGGATACACATTATTAGCTGCAACTACAAGTGTAAATGTTATTCAAGCAGAACATGCAAAATGACTCACCCCCAAATTCCAGCTGTTCAATCGGTTTTCAAAGTCACTTTCATCCATATTTACTGGTTTCCTCCCAGATAGGTCCTGAAGCAATTCAAAATTTCTATATTTGCATACTGTACTTTGCATAACTTAAATACATGTTATTAAACTAGATTCGAAGCTTTCGTGACTGTAGGAATTACTCTTTTGTTCTTTCGGCGAAGTCACGTAAAAATAAATTTAAAAATAATAGAATAGAACGTTTTGATTGCAACACAAGCGACCATCATCAGGTACAAATGAATGGGAATAATCAACCAGGTGGGGTGTTGACTGTGGTGTTGGCTAACACTCTGTGTTGTATTGCATTATATTTCCAAGTTTACTATGTTTTTTTCTCATTCATTTGTATCTGATGATAGTTGCTTGTGTTGCAATCGAAACGGCGTATTCTATTATTATTTAATTTAATTGATTTCTACGTAATTTTACCGAAAGAACCAAAGAGTAATTCCTACAGTCACGAAAGGTTCTAATCTAGTTTGAACCACCTCTACGGGGAGGTTTGCCGTGCTTGTTTGTTTCACACTTAACTTCTGATTTAGCAATCTTTGGAAGAACGTAATCAACCAGGCTATGCGTTAACTGTGTGCTAACCGACTCTCTGTGTTGCATTGCATTGCACTTCCTAATTTTACTAAATTTGCTTTCTACCGTGCGTGTTCCATGCTTGTTTCTAAGTCCATTCTCTCTTCCGGCCGCTATGGGCAGGAATTCCACACAACTCCCCCTCTGCCCCAACTCCCCACTCTCTCTATTTAAGGCCTCGACAGAGATGTTATCTTTCTGTGTGCCTATGTGTGTGTCTCTCTCTGTTTGTCTCTGTGTGAGTTCTCTCTCTGCTTATGTGTCTATCTGTGTGTCTCCATGTCTATGTTTTGCCTCTCTCTCAAATTTTGCAATCTTTGGAAGAACGGAATCAACCAGGTGGGGTGTTGACTGCGGTGTTGGCCGGCTCTCTGTGTTGTATTGCATTATATTTCCAAGTTTACTATGCTTTCTCATTCATTTGTACCTGATGATGGTTGCTTGTGTTGCAATCGAAACGGCGTATTCTATTATTTAATTTAATTGATTTCTACGTAACTTTACCGAAAGAACCAAAGAGTAATTCCTGCAGTCACGAAAGGTTCTAATCTAGTTTGAACCACCTCTACGTGAAGGGCTTGCCGTTCTTTTTTCTTTCACACTTAACTTCTAATTTAGCAATCTTTGGAAGAACGTAATCAACCAGGCTATGCGTTAACTGTGTGCTAACCGACTCTCTGTGTTGCATTGCATTGCACTTCCTAATTTTACTAAATTTGCTTTCTACCGTGCTTGTTCCATGCTTGTTTCTAAGTCCATTCTCTCTTCCGGCCGCTATGGGCAGGAATTCCACACAACTCCCCCTCTGCCCCAACCCCCCACTCTCTCTATTTAAGGCCTCGACAGAGACGTTATCTTTCTGTGTGCCTATGTATGTGTCTCTCTCTGTTTGTCTCTGTGTGAGTTCTCTCTTTGCTTATGTGTCTATCTGTGTGTCTCCATGTCTATGTTTTGCCTCTCTCTCAAATTTTGCAATCTTTGGAAAAACGGAATCAACCAGGTGGGGTGTTGACTGCGGTGTTGGCCGACTCTCTGTGTTGTATTGCATTATATTTCCAAGTTTACTATGCTTTCTCATTCATTTGTACCTGATGATGGTTGCTTGTGTTGCAATCGAAATGTCGTATTCTATTATTTAATTTATTTCTATGTGACTTTACCAAAAGAACCAAAGAGTACATGTTATTGTTTATTTTCTGCATTTTCAAACGGAATTAAACATCCTTTATGCAACACAGGAATTTTCAGACTAAGCATCATGTGAAAATGAAAAGATCTCTTCATGGAACAAGTCGACACAAAATAATTAAATTATAAAAACGTCAGCTTAGATGTGTTTTTTAGAGTCATTTGACATTCAGGGGTTTCTTATTTCCTTACACTAATTGTTGTGGGGTCATCTTCCCTAGACCTATGCATAGCATTGGTAGACTGGGAACTCCGATCTTGGGATATCTTCCATTTTCTGAAATAAAAAAAACGTAGAAATTCAAATTAAGCCATAAATCATCATATTCTTTGGGTCTTTCGATAAAGTCACCTAGATAGGTTCAAAGAAAATAACAATAAACAAAAACTACAACATATTCTTAGTTTTTTCGGTAAAGTCACGTTGAAGAGAAACAACAAAATAACAAAATATATATAAAACAATAAAAAATTCTCACGACGTTTCGACCATAACTCAAACGGTCATCATCAGGTGTGTCGGTTTGCATAAATTTATTTTGAAAACGGCATATTTATTTATATATATAAAAATAACGTTTGCGTCACGCGCAACGATGGCAGTTTGCCAGGACTAGTCCATCTATTTTTTGAAAAGAGGAGGGGGGAGACGAAATTTGTTTTTATGTATGCTGTCTGAAAGGCACTGTAAGCGTGAACAATCAATCAAGAACTGAAATGATTTATCAAATCTTTCCAATGATTGCTAAGATAGAATCCATCTTCTCGGTTGAAATTGTCTCTGTGTTTGTATATGTGGATAGCCTCATGAACGAATCTCTCATGGAAGCCAGATGGCTTACAAAGAACCTCCGTCTTGGAAAAGTCAATGGCATGTGAGCCTACTGAATTAGAACAATGATCTGCTACGGCCGAGGTGTTGGTCCTACCGTGTTTAAGGTCTGCTTTATGTTCACGAATGCGGTCCGAGATATGGCGTTTGGTTTCTCCAATGTAACTACTACCACAGAGGCAACTTAGTTTGTAGACACCAGGGTATTGTATGTCCGGAATCACATCTTTTACAGACGGAACCAGATCACGGATTTTATGTAATGTGTTGAAACGGACCTGGATCTTGTGTTTATTCAAGATTTTGGAGATCTTTTTTGTGATCCCAGCAATGTAGGGTAAAGTGATGGTTTTGAAAGGCTCCTCAAGAGGGTTCTTCTTCATGGTTTGAGTGATAGCTTTGCGGATTGTATAGTCGGAGTAACCATTAGCCCTAAGAGCTTGGTGTACGTGCTTGAGTTCACTGCTTATGTGTTCCTGGTCGGATATGCATTGGGCTCTATGATACAGAGTCTTGATGAGAGAATTCTTCTGTGATGGATGGTGGTGGGAATCCGGTTTCAGATAAGCATCCGTATGGGTAGCTTTCCTGTAGACAGAGTGGCTCATTGAACCATCAGGAAAGCTACCCATACGGATGCTTATCTGAAACCGGATTCCCACCACCATCCATCACAGAAGAATTCTCTCATCAAGACTCTGTATCATAGAGCCCAATGCATATCCGACCAGGAACACATAAGCAGTGAACTCAAGCACGTACACCAAGCTCTTAGGGCTAATGGTTACTCCGACTATACAATCCGCAAAGCTATCACTCAAACCATGAAGAAGAACCCTCTTGAGGAGCCTTTCAAAACCATCACTTTACCCTACATTGCTGGGATCACAAAAAAGATCTCCAAAATCTTGAATAAACACAAGATCCAGGTCCGTTTCAACACATTACATAAAATCCGTGATCTGGTTCCGTCTGTAAAAGATGTGATTCCGGACATACAATACCCTGGTGTCTACAAACTAAGTTGCCTCTGTGGTAGTAGTTACATTGGAGAAACCAAACGCCATATCTCGGACCGCATTCGTGAACATAAAGCAGACCTTAAACACGGTAGGACCAACACCTCGGCCGTAGCAGATCATTGTTCTAATTCAGTAGGCTCACATGCCATTGACTTTTCCAAGACGGAGGTTCTTTGTAAGCCATCTGGCTTCCATGAGAGATTCGTTCATGAGGCTATCCACATATACAAACACAGAGACAATTTCAACCGAGAAGATGGATTCTATCTTAGCAATCATTGGAAAGATTTGATAAATCATTTCAGTTCTTGATTGATTGTTCACGCTTACAGTGCCTTTCAGACAGCATACATAAAAACAAATTTCGTCTCCCCCCTCCTCTTTTCAAAAAATAGATGGACTAGTCCTGGCAAACTGCCATCGTTGCGCGTGACGCAAACGTTATTTTTATATATATAAATAAATATGCCGTTTTCAAAATAAATTTATGCAAACCGACACACCTGATGATGACCGTTTGAGTTATGGTCGAAACGTCGTGAGAATTTTTTATTGTTTTATATATATTTTGTTATTTTGTTGTTTCTCTTCAACGTGACTTTACCGAAAAAACTAAGAATATGAATTACTGCAGTCACGAAAGCTTTAAATCAAAAACTACAACGTTTTGATCGCAACACAAGCGGTCGTCCATTTCCTGAAGACGACCACATGTGTTGCGATCGAAACGGTGTAGTTTTTGTTTTTTGTTATTTTCTTTTAACCTATCTGCATGACTTTACCGAAAGACCCAAAAAATATGAATTCCTGCAGTCACGAAAGCTTTAAGTCAAGCCATAAATCATCATTAAATACATCACAAATGGTTTCGGTGCATATGCTTCTTTCTGAAGTAAAACAAACCTGCGGTGCTCTTGGCATGAGTCAGAGAATGCCAAGTGACTCCGTGCGTCCCTGGACAAGCCTTGGCTCAGCTGCGGCGATTCAAGCTCCCCTGCTGCCCAGCTGGGCAGCCTGTCCAGGTCCTCATCCCAAGCAGGCCCATCTCTCTTCTTTCCCGTGTCATCCACATACATGAACCGAGTCATCAGGCAGCAAAGGGCAGTACAAACCAAGTAAATAAGTCAGCTTTAGCTCAGCTCTAAGACATAATTGCACTCTTCTTCATGATAACCTTCACTGATTTAAAACAATTGGGACCTATATCCCATCAGTATTAGCAGGTCTAAATCCCATTCGGCTCCAATCGGATTCAATTTGCATTGTGTTGGATCTGATTGTTTTGTAGCAAAATCCAAAAACAATTGATTAATGCTGTCATACTGTACGCCTTAATTAGCAACACATGAAATTAAGTTAATCGTACTCTTCGTGTGTAATATGAGGCCCTCTAGTGTCCAATCCACTCAGCTACAGAGGGTTATACAAAGAAGCGCAGCTAGTTTCTGTGAAATGACAAGCTGTTTTTAACAAAATGATACAATGTATAGTACATTAAAATATAAATAAGTATAATGCAAATATGTTACCGTTAAATTTAAGGCAATTGGGGCATAACAACCAGATGAAGTCTTTGACAAACCCATCAGAATGTGACCAAATATCAGTTGGGTCACATTACAAATCTTGCATGTGTCTTATCCATATCTAACTAATGCTGAATGTAAACAATCATGCACTCATTTCAACAACTTATGCATCAAATTCCAATTTTTTTCTTTTTCTCACAATATTTCATACTTACCCCAAATTACATTCCAATTGCTCAATTAGTATTTGTAAATCGACAAATTTCCAAATCAAGTTTCTCACAGTAAGCACTAGTTTATGTATATTTAAATCCTGTGAAATGTTTGTTCCATACAAATACTATCAATATTGTTGTATCGTTTATAACTGGAAAGTCTTACAAAAGCCATTATTGTGCAATTAACTGAGTGGCGTGAAAAATCAACTTGCTCTAATTGAGATTCATGTTTAATCACTGATAGCTTCTGGGATTCATGTTAAGGATCTTAGCGGCATTCGCTCACGTCATATCCATTGTATTTGCGGAGCCACACAGCTACTTCCTTTCACATAATTAAATTTGTGAAGCAATTCATTTGCATTAATCATTGCAAAATTCAGAACAGCTCTTGCTGCATGATTTCTGATCGAAAACAATTTTAAATTGTATAAAATATATTTCAATGAAGAGGAAATCTCGTAAAGCCAAAGGCCTTTTTTTTACTAATCGATGAGGGTCTCCCAACGCCGTGCGGGTCATGGGGGTTATTTGACCAAACTTCGCTACACTGGTGAGAGCAGGTTGAAGGTGGGAACATAGAATTATAATACAATATTGTTGCATTGCTCTCTGCTGCAAACAAAGTGGCCCTGCAGCCTATATATCCTGTTTAATGCATGATGGTCTCCCACCCAAGTACTATCTTTGCTTAACCCTACTTAGCTTACGGGATATGACAAGATCGGGTGCATTCCAGGTGATTTGGTTCAAAATTTGGAAACTTGGTGCGTTATGAAGGTATGGCGTGCCTGGTCAGCAGGCAGAGGCTGCAGGGAGCCGGCAGGAGGCTTGCTGGAGAAGGGCCCCTCAAGCCGTCCATAGCGCAGCATGTCCAGCAGCAGCCTCGCGTAAGCGTTGCGCTCCGGTCGCCAAACGGCAGCGCGCATGCCGCCCGGTGGCTCACACAGCTTCTTAACCCAGAGTGCGCAGCACTGGCGCTCTGGAACGCGCGGCACAGTTTGCAATGAGGGCAGTGAGAGAATCCAATGTAAAAGGAGACTTCGAGGCATCGGTGATTCCAGTTTTACTCTATGGATCCTCACCCTTAGGATTAAAAAAAGATACTGGTAGCAGAAATGAACTGTCTGAAAAGGATCCTGGGAGTATCAAGACAAGTAAAAATATTAAATTAGACAATAAATGAAAAGGTATGTTAGCAGGAGAATTTTGTGAAAAAGATACAAAGATGCTGACTTCCTTAGTTTGGACATGCAAAAATGGAGCCCAACAAACGAGTAACCCTCAATGGCCTTGTACTGCCATGGAAGAAAGGGATTGTATTTGGGAACATAAAAGCTCTTATTCAGAAAGTATTTTTTTTCAGGGGAGGTGGAGCGGGGTCTGAATTACTGGTCAGAAACAAAGATGACTACTACTGAAAAGGTAGCACTGGAGAGGTAGAATAAAAAAGACAGGCAAAAAATGTGTTAAGTTTATATTAACACAGGGAGTGTCAGCAGTGTTGATCTGAAAAATAAGATGACCTCCCCGCGAGTGGAGGTTATGTTTTTTCCACAAGTTCTCCCTCTACAGTATTCCATTAGAACCCCCCCCCCCCCCGCCTCAATATACACGCTAGTGTTCTTAAACTATAACTGGGGAATAGTCAACATGGTTTCCCCTTGCCTTCCTTAATGGTTTTAGGTGACAGGTACTGGCCGCAGCTTTATATCATACCTAGCACACACGGTATGTATAACTTTGGTATTTACATCAATGTGTGATCAGTGTCTCACCTGTTTTATTTGAAAGCTTAAGAACAAAGGGTTTCATGTCCACCAGGAGGTGATCAAATTCAGCATCAAGTAGATCCCACAAACTGTGGCTTGACATTCTGTGCACATGAACCAAAAAAATTAAGTAACTTTCCAACAAACATATGTCGGTAGAAGTATTGAATTTGCAAAACTGATGTCATTTCAAAACGTTACATTTATATCACCTACTGCTGTATACTCAAGCAAAGTGAGAGTCAATACTAACGGTATTATGGTATTAAAACTAAAGTACACTTGGTTGGGGGTCAACTGAGCCCATATCATCCCTATAGAGTCTATAAAATAAATACTGTACCATTTTGTGGAAATTCATAGTGGCGAACCTATGGAGATTGGGCCTGCTTTTAGGAGTGACATTAAGGAGCGCCACTGTGGGTGCCGTGGTAGCGAGATGTTAACTACTTTGCCTGGTATACAGGAGGTCGTGGGTTCAATCCTGATGCTGATGCCTGTATATTTGGAGTTTGCATGTTCTCCCCGTGGTCGCGTACATATTTCTCCAGGTCCTCCAGTTTTTCCTTCCACATTTAGAAACGTGCATTTCGAGAATTTGGCTGCTATAAATGATCACATGATAAGCCACTTCGTTGAGCTATCATTTGTGGCCAGGTAACTTCTGAAAAAGAGATATATAGCTCAGTGGGCCTTACCTGGTAAAATAAACAAAAGTTTAGTTTAAAAGTTTAGTTTATATACCAATAAGTGAAAAGTTGTAAATAACTCAGGGTTGTCGATGAGCATTGCTCAGGGGCAGTCCAGAAATGACGTCACACACCTAGGGGGGGGGTCAGACATTTGTGACGATGCGTGACGAGGGGGGGAGGGTTAGAATTGTTATAACAGTAATTTTGATGAATTTTCATTATTAACTATTTTATTATTTTTATTGACTAAGGTCACCTTTTATTTATTCCATGAAGGGGCATTTTGCTTCTCCATGGGAGAGAAGCATACATTTTGAATGATTGTTATTAAACATTTTGATTTTAATGATTCTACCTGGGCGCTTAATTCTGTGGAATGAATGTGATTGTTATAATTGTACCCTCCATTTTGCTTCGTTCTACTACACAGTTTCAAGTATTTTTTTTAGGTTATAATTACTTTTAATATTTTATAATTATAGAATTTCAATATGATATTCTGAACATCTGCAGTTTTAGTTCGACGTTAAATATTTTCAAGTGAATTTTATGCAAAATTTCAGCTTTCCAACGCCTCCTTTTTAATACATGTTTTCTCCTACAACATCAGAGTGCAGCACCACATTAAATACGCACTACAATGATAATAGTTTAAAGTGATTTGAAGCATGTTTAATTTTCAAAATGGGAATATGGTTTGGGGGGAGGGCAGAGCTTTGTGACGTCATATTTGAGGGTGGTCTGACTTTTTGTGACGCCGTGTGACGAGGGGGGGGGGGTGAAAAATTGGCCAAAATCGCGTGACGTCATTTATGGGAGGCCCCTCCCCTTGATAACTAAACAAGGAGACACTTTTGACTTTGTGAATAATTTTCAGTTTGCAAGGACGATTCCAATGTTGCCAGTTGTGGACACAATAACATCTTACCTATATTTGACATTTACCGTGCATATTATGGCAGCAAAGCAGGAGAGAACATATTCTTGGTTCTTTCGGTAAAGTCACGTAGAAGGGAAACAATAAAAATATAGAACAATAACATTCTCACGACGTTTCGATTGCAACACAAGCAATCATCATCAGATGTGAAAACCACAACAATAAAATTTGATAAAAGTGGCGGTTATTTTTAACATTAGCACCACGGAGAGAGATTTGACAGTTTGTTCAGATGGACGAGTCCATCTATGTTCGGAAAAGAGGAGGGGGGAGATGAAAAATAATGGATGCGGTCTGAAAGCCACCTTAAGCGTGATCAATCAATTAAGACCCGAAATGGTTTATCAAATCATTCCAATGAATGCTGAGCCAGAATCCATCTTCTCGGTTGAAATTGTCTCTGTGTTTGTATATGTGGATAGCCTCATGAACGAATCTCTCATGGTAGCCAGATGGCTTACAAAGAACCTGTCTTGGATAAGTCAATGTCATGTGAACCTCCTGAATTATAACAGTGATCTGCCACGATCGAGGTGTTGGTCCTACCGTGTTTAAGGTCTGCTTTGTATTCACGAATGCGGTCCGAGACATATCGTTTGGTTTCTCCAATGTAACTACTACCACAGTACAGAGGCAACTTAGTTTGTAGACGCCAGGGTACTGTATGTCCGGAATCACATCTTTTACAGATGGAACCAGATCACGGATTTTATGTAATGTGTTGAATCGGACCTGGATCTTGTGTTTATTCAAGATTTACATTACATAAAATCCGTGATCTGGTTCTGTCTGTAAAAGATGTGATTCCGGACAAACAGTACCCTGGCGTCTACAAACTAAGTTGCCTCTGTGGTAGTAGTTACATTGGAGAAACCAAACGACATGTCTCAGACCGCATTCGTGAAAGCAGACCTGAAAAACGGTAGGACCAACACCTTGGCCGTGGCAGATCACTGTTATAATTCAGTAGGCTCACATGACATTGACTTCTCCAAGACAGAGGTTCTTTGTAAGCCATTTGGCTACCATGAGAGATTCGTTCATGAGGCTATCCACATATACAAACACAGAGACAATTTCAACCGAGAAGATGGATTCTTGCTTAGCAATCATTTGAAGAATTTGATAAACCATTTCGGGTCTTAATTGATTGATCACGCTTAAGGTGGCTTTCAGACCGCATCTATTATTTTCCGTCTCCCCCCTCCTCTTTTCCGAACATAAATGGACTCGTCCATCTGAACAACTGCCAAATCGCTCTCCGTGGTGCTAACGTTAAAAAACGCCACTTTTTCAAATTTTCTTGTTGTGGTTTTCACACCTGATGATGATTGCTTGTGTTGCAGTCGAAACGTCGTGAGAATTTTGTTTTATATTTTTATTATTTTATTGTTTCCCTTCTACGTGACTTTACCGAAAGAACCAAGAATATGAATCCCTGCAGTCGCGAAAGCTTTAAATCAGTAGAGAACACTTGACAAAATTATAATCATTGTCAGTAATAGAATCATCCAACAATTCGAAGCTTCAGGTTGGCTAAAATAATTGTGATTTTGTAATAAGCCACCAATATCATCCTATGGACAAAATATCTCCAGGGGGAATGGGAAATTTCCTCGATTGGTTGAGAAGAAAATAATACCTTAAAGTAACGACCAAATCAATAATTACAAGACTTTAGTAACAAATGCAGACGTCACCGTCGTTAACCAAGTCCACGTCTCATGTGCCTTGAACTGCCGCGTCTGCAAGCTGGGTCCACACCTGAGCGATCAAGTTGCGCAACTTAATTGCCTGTACGTGTGGATGTCTGCTTGCTCGAGACGTTGCTAGAGACGTACACAAAAACAAATCGATTCAGTTGCATGCAACCAAGTTGCGCGCAACTGATCCCTCAGGTGTGAACCCGCTTGAAACAACGCGTTTTAGTTAGCATGCCACCAAGTTACAAGAAACCCAAGTTGCATGCGATTTCACATGTCAGGTGTAAAACCGCCTTCGCCGCAACATGAAAGTCTGTCTCCTACCCTCACTGAAGCTTCAAACTTGCGTAAGGACAAGGGGAAGCGTGCAGGCACGGCCAGTGGCGGCGTGCAGTACACGCGTTAACATCCCCTGTCAATCCACTGCTGGATGATAGTGGGGGGGGGGCTGCTAGCAAAGCCCGTGCGGAATCGTGGTGGGGAGGGAGGGAGGGGGCGAGTTATTTGGCCACAATTCACGCAGGGCAGTGGCGGCTTGGTGAAGAAGACGCGGAGGACCACACAATTATTTTTTTTAGTACCGTACAGTACAACGATTTTGTTTTGTGTGCACTGCGACTCCCCTCTGCTTGTCAGAGCAATGTCGCGACGATTCGACTGTGGGTGGTGTGGTGCGGTGCGTGCGTGCGAGGGAGCAGCGAGCCTGCTTGTTCGATTTACCTCAAGCGACAACTCAGAAGGCTGGAAAGTAACGCCTCTTCCGAGTGTCAGAGACGGTTAAAGGAAGAAAAAAAACCACAACAGCCTCGTATCGGTGAAATAACGAACAGGTAAATGGCGGAATAATAACAGATTCACAGCCGAGTAACGACGATTTAAAAAAAAAAAACAGCGACTGAGTAACTGCGACGTAACGCCCTTGTAACGGGCTGAGTAACTTAGAAAGTAACGAGCGGCGTCGCTCACGTGACCACCGCCGCTGTCGCGCGCACGACCGTTTGAACCGCCCCTTCCGGATTGCGCGCGCGAGACTCTCGCGAGACGTGAGCGCCGTCGCCATGGTAGCGGCGTCAAAGCTTCGCGCGCGATCGATCACAGTCGCGTGGATGGGGGGTGCGGGGAGAGGGTGGGGGAGGGGTCGGAGGGGTGTTGCGGGGGGGAGTGTGTGGGGTCGGGGAGGGTGGGGGAGGGGTCGGAGGGGTGTTGCGGGGGGGAGTGTGTGGGGTCGGGGGGAGGGTGGGGGGGTCGGGTGGGGGTTGCGGGGGGGAGTGGGTGGGGTCGGGGGGGGGTTGAGGCTGAGTTGGTTAATACGTTGTTGTTTATTGACGTTATTTCATCATGGGGCCTCCTTTGCCAGTACCAAAATTAGAATAGGGTTTCCCTGTTTTTTCTGGCAACAAAACAGGTGTTTAGATTTTGATTTAAAGCTTTCGTGACTGCAGTAATTCATATTCTTAGTTTTTTCGGTAAAGTCACGTTGAAGAGAAACAACAAAATAACAAAATATATATAAAACAATAAAAAAATTCTCACGACGTTTCGACCATAACTCAAACGGTCATCATCACCTGATGATGACCGTTTGAGTTATGGTCGAAACGTCGTGAGAATTTTTTATTGTTTTATATATATTTTGTTATTTTGTTGTTTCTCTTCAACGTGACTTTACCGAAAAAACTAAGAATATAGGTGTTTAGATGTTAAAACACTCAAACTGAAACCTTTTACAAGGAATCACGTCTGCATTAACCACAATACTTGTGGTCAGAATGCAAATAAAAACACATACGCCCATAAATTTTTATTTAAAGCTTTCGTGACTGCAGTAATTCATATTCTTAGCTCTTTCGGTAAAGTCACGTTGAAGGGAAACAATAAAGTAATAAAATATATATAAAACAATAAAAATTCTCACGACGTTTCGACCATAACTTTACCGAAAGAGCTAAGCATATACTCCCATAATATATGCATTGTCTTTGAAACTGATTGGTCCACACCAGAGGACGCCTTTTGTTAGACACCGTTTGAGGCTAGGGGGCCGTCCATAAATGACGTCACGCGATTTTGGACGATTTTTGACCCCCCCCACCACCTCGTCACACGGCGTCACAAAAAGTCAGACCCCCCCTCAAATATGACGTCACAAAGCTCTGCCCCCCCCCCAAAAAAAAAACCAAGGACATGAAGGCCCTAAGGGCCCGCAATATTCTAGTTAATGGATGCAAACAATGCTTTACATTTCGATGTAAAGCTTTCGTGACTACAGGGATTCATATTCTTGGTTCTTTCGGTAAAGTCACGTAGAAGTGTAATTTATAATGACTTATTGTTAGTAGTTCAGCTTTTTGGAGTTTATTGATTATATTTATGTAGTTTATATTTTAGTTTGTTATCAGTTTACTATATGGTAGTCATTATATAGTGTAGTGTATACCCAGTTACTTAATGTTAATAGCTCAGCTTATTGGAGCGTATATTGAATACATTGTTTATATTGATGTGGTTTATATTTAGTTTTTTTCACATCGGTTTATTGTATGGTAGTATGGTATTTGCAGTTCTTTAGAAACTCCTGTTTTGTTTTCCACATAATGCACTAGCTTGATAGGCAGTTCTTTATTATTAAAATTTCCCTCCCTTTATTACTGCTAATCCTACATAATACACGAGCATAATATGACTTTGAGACCCCCCCACCGCCTACACATTCCACAAGGAGTGACTAACCCCATACAGTATCTGCATTTTATCATCAATATGCTTAATTCCTCTGTTGATATGTCAACTCCTTTGTCAAGGCGCTCTCCTCCTCCCACCAAGCTTAAAATACGCTGCCAAGCTTAGCAGTGTTCATTAGGACGGTGTGTTTCCGACAGCTCTGTTCTTCACCTGAGGACGGCTGCTTGCGTTGTGGCCGAAACGTCGTGAGAATTTAATTGTATTACGTTTTATATTTTTTATTGTAGTATTTCCCTTCTACGTGACTTCACCGAAAGAACCAAGACAATGCTTTACATTTGCAAGCGTCTTGTCAGTACCCTGATAGTAGTCAGCGTCTCGCAGCTAGGGGAATTTTTTTTTCGCATTCATAATTAATTTCTCCAAAGTGAAAAAAAATACCCGTTAAATGTGTAACCTGTGTGGTTATGTACTTGTCATATGGTGCGTATTTTAGTGCTTCAGTATTATAAGGAGAGCCTCTTTATTTTTTTCTATTGAACATATTTTTTTGACAGTGTTGACTTGATGACCCGGTGTTGATGGGAGGAGAGACTTCACGTGAACACGATCACTGATCGATTCGATTCGGTGTGATCGATTCCGTGTGATCGAGTCGGCGTGTTACGGCACCGATTTTAGAATCAGCTCGGCGTGGCACAGGTGAGACGCTGAATGGGTGAGCTCCTCCGTCAACATGTAACTTGTAACCGTAAAAGTAACACTCGAATCTAAATTAATTAATGAGGATAAAGTAATAATTAGTACTAAAGTGCTTGCTACCCAGAAACCTCTACAATTAAGGTTTTGGAGATTACATTTGGTTGTGAGAGTTTTAAAAAAAGGGTTAATTTTGGTGTAAGTACAAAAATAAGTACAAATAATACTGGTAGGAACGAAGTTGTAAACTGAGTGTACCAGCATGCAATAGATTAATGTGTCCGTCCGTCCCCTTTCAATACTTCAACGAAGTGAAATCTCGTGCTGTTGGGTGTAAAATCAGCAATAGACAGCGCAGAGACTTGATACGTCTTATTGCACCCAACATTTGGAAGTCACATTATCTCATTTGCGAACTTCTACCAGCCCACCCTGCAGGGACCTGTTTCAAAACCTGCAATTAATCCCATATGCGCGGGGATTTGATCGGCGAGGCGTGGGGTGTAAAGTTGACAGGTCACTCGTGTGAGGAACATAATTATTGTTACGAGTATTTGTGGCGTGTTTGAGTGCACAGGGGAGGCATCCGTTGTAACAACCAACGGATGACTGGAATAGTGGCGATAAAAACAAATGTATTTTGTGATAAGTTGCTTTAAGTTCGTATTGTTTAATTACGTTATTAATTGGTAAAGCGGAGGGCTCGGAATAGTCACTCGGCGGCTTCTGTGTTAAAACGCGCACAGATTTGCATGTACTTGTGGATTTTAGAAACGGCGTGGCGCATGGATTTGATCAGTGAGGCGTGGTGCGTGAACTTGACAGCGCATTTGGTCATTTCAGATGGTCCCCACGTGCTCGTGTGCTGGAGAGGCTGATTCAACACAAACAACGGAGTCTCCTGGATTCCTTGTGTCCACGCGTGGAGAGCAATAAGATCACACCGGAGAACTATCGTTTTTTTGTTTGTTAAATATTGTTGACCACCCCCAACTGTGCCCAAGAAGACGATCACGGCCAGAAAGGACCGAGGCACTGTGAGCGCAGGTCACAAATACAACACAGCACACTGTTGTACAGTGTATCAAAAACATTCCAGGTTGCACACCTCATCACGACTGTCACAGTCCAGATTACCTGCTGCAGAAACTGCACGTGGAATATTTTCTGTTTTTACACAATTAATTAATTAGGGGCTTAATTTGTAACGTCGTGTAAACAACTTCACTGCAGAGCTTTGAGGAAGTGTTCTGGAAAAACATACTTAAGCGAAATAGAAATTCACAAAATAATACAGAAATTCAGAATGAGTTCTGCCGTTTTTGAAATTAAACGTGCAGAGATTGAGGATGTCGAGGACATTTGGCGGATGTGCATGGAGCTGGCTACGCATGAGAGTCGCCAATACGAGATAATTTCTGAAGAAGACCTACGGACGAACGGCTTTGGAGAGAATCCCATATTTCAATGTGTGGTGGTGAAGGTGCCTCCGAAGCACGGGTCTAGTGGCAAACCAGCGGCAGTGGGCTACAGTCTGTATTTCTACTCCTATGACACCATCAATGGGCGATCGATCACGATGGACAGCATCTACGTTATGCCAGAGTTTAGGAACAATGGAATTGGCAAGGCGCTGCTTAAAAGGGTGGCTGAGACTGCGGCACAGAACAACTGCTCCTCAGTGTGTTTCTACGTTTACAACTGGAACAAGCCTGCTATTGCGTTTTACCAGAGAATTGGCGCCCAGGATGTAACGATCTCCCAGAAGATGAATTGCTTCGTCTTAAATGGTGGTGCGATGGAGGCGCTCATAAAGAGCCCACGTGCGTCTGGTTCAAGCTCACAAGCAAGCCCTGTGCTCATGACTCCAGGTATTTGCAGTCATGCTTGCGATACGTCATTGAAGGAATAGGCAACACAAAACATCGAAAGTTGTTTTAATGTAGATACACGTAAAAAAATATTTTGCTTGCTAGACTTTCTTATACAAAATATTTGTAGGACAAAAACGATGGTCAGGCACTCCATAATTGCTATCTGGTCACATCACTGCATTGATATTCATCATGAAAATGTAACCAGAGTGATATATAGTCATAACTTTCAAGTATTTTTTTATCATACAGTTTCAAACTCATGTTAAACAGCTTAAGCAAAAAGTCTTAAGTATCTAAAATTGAATATTTTAGGTTATGCCTCCCTTTGAAGTACATTGTTGGCTCTATTATTGTTTTTTCATGTATCACACTTGCTGAGCATAGGCCCAAAACGTCAAACGGCCAGCAGTGTACATCACTTTCTGAATCAACTGCTGGATGAAGGCCTCGCCACGTCATGTCAGTCAAGGGGGTTTTATTTGACTTTACTTCACCCTGCTGGTCTTGCACGTTTTTCTTTAATGATATTTCAGTAGGAGCCCGGTACAGACCACGAACCGCGACATAAGTGGTGGTGGTGGGGGGGGGGATGACAGAAACTCTGCAGACATAAGTCTCGAAAGCTTTGCTCCTGAATTTAGATGAGGGAGGAGATTGGGTTCGACCGTTTGCATGTTTACTGGGCAGTGCAGAATATTTGATAAATGAATGCATCATCACATGCCTAACACTCAACATTAGCTTGTTCGCTGTACAGTGACAAATATATAACTCGAGATTTGGGTTGAATTCCAATGCAATGTTTGTGTATGAATGTTTAGCGAGAGTTGTGGGACGTCTGTACGCGTGTGTGCAGCAGTCGAGGAGCGGAAGTCCAATGGTTAGCGCGCTGCATTACGAACCCGGCGACCCGAGTTCAATTCCCAGTGACGATTGTCTGAACCGGTCTTGGGCCTCCCCTAGGTCAACGTAGCCTCAATTGAGTACCTAGTGCGATGTGTAAAAACATTGCCATGCGGGAGACGAAGGCGGCCCGGCATGGTGTTGGCCACCCACTCCCTCGCGTGCCGTGCCGGCCATCGTAGGTGCTCGCTAACAGCACTTGCCCCAACAGTCTGTCGAGGATATATGGGGGATCTTTGTATTTGTCTTTGCAGCAGTTGATGAACACCCTATCCTGTGATGTGGACCAAGCCCATGTTGAGAATGTGCTGCTGCTATCTGAGAAGGAGCTTCTGTGCACCTACTCGGAAGAAGGCACCATCAGCTCGTCTCACCACCGCGATGAGTCTTGTTTTGCCAGTTAATGCTGTCTGTGATTACGTTTTTCAATCTGTTTTCTGCTCCAATAAACTATGGATTTATTTCCTGGATAAAAAAGTTAATGCTCGTGTAGTTAGTCCAACTGTGTCGCAGACGTTCCTTTTAGAGGCAACATCTTTATTTATAACACCGTAACACAAAGGGGTAAACTGCCCCTTTACCAGATACAACCTAGGGTGGTGACCACCCAGATAACTACACCATACAGGGGAGGTACTGCTCCAAAGGGTCGGACCCTCACTCGGGTCTCCGACCACGTGGTCCCTCGTAGGACGAAGCGCTTCCAGCTTGAGACGCAGAGCTTCCAGCTTGTCGAACGAAGAGACCTCGGTCCCTCTCAGGGACCCGCCTTATATCCCTCTTCGGTCGGGGCCGCTGCGCCCTCGGCCCCGCCCGCCTTCTTGAACATTCTCGTTCCCCCTTGATCCTTCTCAAGAGCTCTCCCCGGACACGTGATCACCCACTAGTCCCCCCACCTGGGGCCCCTGTGTGGACATTCTGGATCACGTGTCTACGGAGTCAACCAGAGTGCCACGGCCCGGGGCAACTCTGTTCCTGGACTGACACTCACCCCCTCCCCCTCGGGGGAGCCCCCAACACACGCTGTGCGTGGTGCCCGCACTATCCCAGTGCTCGCCAAGCCCCGCTAGGGCTGGTATTACACGCAGCCACCCACACGGTGCTGTCCACGATGTAGGAACATTGAACAGCACGACCCTTCCGGGCCGGCGCCATACAGTGACATCCCCGATGTCACTACACTCTTATACACACATCAACGCTTTCAAAAATGTCTTTGCTTACTATGTTTTCATCGTTTTATGATTGCTCATTCAACTTCTACTGCATAGATGCTGGAATAAAGGGTTTGCAAAGGTTATAACTGGAAATATTGTACTTTTATTCTTACAGATTAAACACGTATAATCAGATTTAAAACACTCACTGGGAAAGCCAATCCAAAATCAACTTTAAGATGCAATTGCCAAATGAATTAAAACATGCACACCGACTCACTTTGGTGGTGAGCCACAATATAGAAATGTCTAACTTGTCCTTTATATTTTGATTTAAAGCTTTCGTGACTGCAGTAATTCATATTCTTAGTTTTTTCGGTAAAGACAGAGACAAGTCCATGGAGGAGCTTGAAAATTGTGAGTTTGATTTTGAAAGTGATCTGGCATTGGATTGGGAGGCAGTGGAGTAATTTTAGTACTGCTGTAATGCGGTCTCATTTACAGGTGTGTGTCAGGAATACAATGACGCATCGAGATAACCACGGACTGCAAGCTTGACGCCGCTCAGGGGCAATAGCATGCAATGACGATGGCCACCCAGTGACACCATGGCCATGATGTGACCGCATTATTCGGCTAGCATCACGCTGGCTCGCCATACCCCGAAGGCACAACTGCAACGGTTGCTATAGCTCACAAGACGCATGTCTATTGCGTTTGAAATATGTGCCGACTGCATTATAACATAGCTACGATCAACTCACAATGTTTGAAGAAAAGCCACATCCTAATTAACAAAGATTCCTATACGGATTCATGTATAGTAGTTAAAGTTTAATGGAAAAAAAAATCCTGGCGGAGGGTCGTTACACTATAATGCAAAAGCTCTTATCACAATGTATTAAAAGCAGCTAATGATCACGGCATTTCATCAGTGCAATAACCCGAGAACCTGTTTCTTGCTTGTGCCCTGAGAGCAAAACTCTAAAATAGTTTGGCGTCACCACGATAGTCGCGGTGGCACGTGCGTTTCCTGGTCACCATGGGCAGGCTGCCACTTGAGAAAGGATGAGATTATATAGCTGGCTTGCTGACTCTGCCACCACCACCGAAAACTGCTGCTGATGAAGCAGCACGGCAGCAAAGCTGCCCTGGGTGGCACCAGGACTGGAGGCAACGTTCGGCACAAGGGTGGGGTCACCTTTCCCGCAGACTCTCGCTGGGCGGCAGAATTCACTCGGGGTGACAGCTTCGGCACCCCGGCGAGGGATGATTTACTGGCGCCGATGGAAACTTGCCAGGATTGTCTTACACACGAGTTGCCGTGCTACGGTGATGTCGCCACGGAGATTTGACCCTTGTCATCAGTATAAATAGCAAAAGCTGCTCCTGCAGGTTTAGTGGAGCCAGCTCTGAGCTGTCACAGAACCGGGGGGTAGGAGGGGGGCAGTGTGGGGTCATATGTGCCTCTTCTCTGGTCACATCCACTACCCATACATATATATCGTTTTAGAGTGGCCAGTTGGTTGGCCTCAAGTGGCGATTAGAAAGTCCCATTTTGTGAGACGGAGGAGTTGTACAATGCTTATGATGTTTCTTTGTATTTTTGAGTGTTGTATAATTGAGTCCGCTTGGTACCAATAGCCTTAACGTTCATTCTTTGTAAATCGCCCACGGTTGGTACATGTAATAATTGTACAATGCAGTCAGTGCAGCTCCCCCAAAGTATTTTTTGTGGCAGGGACTTCTAGACAAGTCAAGAAGTCAAGCTTATTTTGCTTAACCAGTGGTGAGAACTCCAAGAGACCAATACCAATAATATATCAGTACCCGTAGGCTTTCGCGACCAATATTATTCATAATAAAGGTTTTTGGGTTAGATCGCGTTATTTATAAATGTGTCGTAACCCTCCACCACCCGACACGACCAATCAGCAAAAAAGTGTCACGTTGACAAAAGACAAATAGTTCACTACTTTAGCCCACCGGTGTGTTGAAGAGTGAATCCAAACTGTAAACGTTGTGGATTCACTCTTCAACACACCGGTGGGCTAAAGTAGTGAACTATTTGTCTTTTGTCAACGTGACACTTTTTGCTGATTGGCCGTGTCGGGTGGTGGAGGGTTACGACACATTTATAAATAACGCGATCTAACCCAAAAACCTTTATTATGAATATCAGTACCCGCCGTTCGCCACTAAGCGACGGTGACGGCACCACGTCGCCTGTGCCAAGCCAGGTGCACTGTATCAAAGAGACCAGGACGAAGTCTCATTTGCAATAATGACCTGGGTCGCCACAAAAAAAAACTTAAAATGCATTCTATACAATTGGCAGTTACAATTGTGTGTTGATATAGGGTGGGAAACATAAATATAAATTTTAATATTAGTCATGTATAATTTGTAAAAAATATATATTGAACAAGAGCCCAGTATAGAGTGCGAGCGATAAAAAAGGGGTGGCATATATTCCGCGGATGAAATCCCGAGGCCAGGTGCTCACAGGGCGGGAGAAAGGGGGAACGGTGGGCTCACTGCCCTACTAACGTATGGGAGCATGGTATCTTTGGGAGAAGGGAAGGCAAGGGAGGAGGGGGGGGGAAAGGATGTACCCAAACAAATAATCTACAAAGTAGAATAACATTCACGAGCATCCTATTCATTTTTTAACCGCTTTTTTAATGACGGGCATGGAAGGAGGGGGGTGGGGGTGAGCAATACAACAATGGTGGTGGGAGGTGGGGGCGGCCCCCACTTTTACTGCACCAGTCTTCCAAGTTCAATTAGCAATTTTCAACATATACACGAACTTAAATTACTACAAACATGCAACCAATCATCGATTATATTATATCCCATGATGTCAACAGTTGCATCGAATTGTGCGTGTGTGTAATATTTGGTTATGTTTTTCGGTTTTGTGATAAATGGTATGCAGATCGTATGTAAATGTTACCTTTAGGATAGTGGAATAAACAATACGGAAAAACGTTAATCAAAACATCAGTCAGGAAAGGTACAGGGTGCTTCAAACATTTTTTATCACTAAAATGTGACTCGTTATATTCTTAGCTCTTTCGGTAAAGTCACGTTGAAGGGAAACAACAAAATAATAAAAAAATATATAAAACAATAATATCGTTTTTAATGGAAAAAGAACGGATATACACTGTAACGTGATAACAAATGTATGTTAGTAGTTTCAAAAAGTCAAAGAGTCTCCACTTGTTCGCCATCGTTGTCAACACGTGGCCTGGAATCTTCTCCAGGTGGTCTCCAGAGCCCGGAGGCAACAGCACATGTCTTGTGGTATTGTTGAAGCACCCTGTATATATTATGCAGTATGAACAAAAACAAATGTATTATTATTCATCAACTGCCAGGTCGTGATTCTAAATCGTGAAAATTAGCATTTCATCGTGGAGTGGATGTAGACCATTTCATGTATAAAACTACACAGCACAGACATATATAAAAATAACCTGAAAGTGTTTTCCGCATAAAAGTCGGAATATTTGTCATCTGAAATCTCATGAAGTTCCTGAATTTTAATACAGCTTCAACACACAAGGCGAATTATTCTGGCTGCGGAATTCACACGAACCATCATACAAATGGGTTTGTTGAAAATCAGAATCAGATGAGGCAAAAAAATATCCAAAAATTCCTACTGACACGTGCGCATAATGACATTTTGCATGGGTTAGTGATACAGGGCGTGGGATAGTCTGGAAGTTATTTATCGAGACCGAAAGATGAAAGAAGCAGCAGATGTTTTGAAAGCCAGAATGAATGGTGCAGAGAGGTGACACGTTATCAGATCGTCTTTAAAGTGCCCCTCACTCCCTAGGGAGCCATCTCGATCTGACCCCTTTGCTACGCTCCATCTCGTCGTATTTGTCCTAACATTTCAAAGGTAGTTTAATCCAGCTCCGTCGTGTGCCTAGGACCACTGACAGATTGTGCACTTTGAGCTGATCGGCATTTTGAACTTTTTAATCCAGCGGGGATCCACTTTCAACGAGAGATTCAATCAACTGTGAGTTCAAAATAATTATTTAAAAAAAAACGAGTATCTGTTGCTTTCGGTTTTGAGCAACAACAAAAAAAGCATCGAGGCACAGAGATTGAACCTTTTCTGGGCACTGGCTCTCCAAGGGACAAATGGGCTATTAGGCTATTTGCTACATAACCTTAGAACTTTCCGCATGCGTAAGGATAGACGTTTAAGTCTGGCAACCCCAGACACATCTTCACCATCAGTATCATCATCAAGCATGATCTATCCATTGCTGGATGAAGGGTTCCCAATACGCCATCATCTCTCACTGT